TAGATAGATAGATAGATAGATAGATAGATAGATAGATAGATAGATAGATAGATAGATAGATAGATAGATAGATAGATAGATAGATAAATAGATAGATAGATAGATAGATAGATAGATAGATAGATAGATAGATAGATAGATAGATAGATAGATAGATAGATAGATAGATAGATAGATAGATAGATAGATAGATAGATAGATATAGATAGATAGATAGATAGATAGATAGATAGATAGATAGATAGATAGATAGATAGATAGATAGATAGATAGATAGATAGATAGATAGATAGATAGATAGATAGATAGATAGATAGATAGATAGATAAGATAGATAGATAGATAGATAGATAGATATAGATAGATTCAAATATATAAAACATTCAAATATATAAACATGCATAAAATGGATAGCATACTATAAAAACTATACTTAAAGCACAAATTTAGCTAAAGCTGCTTTCCACGAATGCCTTGCCTGAGCGTACTTCTTTAATTCAACGATTAAATATCCCAAGGGACTCTGCTTGTCTTATGTAACAAGGAAGTCTGTTCCAAAGAGTAGCGCCACTATAGCTAAAGCTATAGACATTTGTCGGTCAGTCCATCCATCAATTAGTAAGCCATTCAAACAAAGGGCTTAAGTTTCTGAAGAAACTGTGGTGTTGCGTGGGTGAGAGAGTATAACAGGGTAATTTGGTTTATCAACTGAGTTGATGATCTGCAAATTGGCCACCGTGAAGAGTTTCAAAGCTGACGTTTCGAGCGTTAAGCCTTCGTCAGAGCGAATTGCAGTCATTTAGCCATTTAGTCTATCAGTTCGTCAGTTTGGTAACCAGCTAGCTTGTCAGTTGTATTGAGAAGCAGCCAACTAGCTAATCAGACAGTCAATCAATCAGCCGCCAGGTCAGTCAGCAAGTTACCAGTCGGCCAGTCGGTCAGTCGGTCAGTCAGTCACCCATTTGGTCAGACAGTCAGCTGCTGGCTGGTACACGTAGTCAGTCAAGCTGTCAATTGGTGACTTGGTTACTTAGTGTACAAACCTCGCAATCTGTCTGTCAGTTGGGTATACTAATTGAAAAACCAGTCAGAGGGTAACACAAATTAGCAACTCAGTGGGTCAGTCAGTAGGTTAAACACACACACAACACAAAATTCCTCCATTTGCGCTGATGAAGAGCTAATGCTTGAAACATCAACTTTGAAACTCTTTACGGTGGTCAATTCATGTTATCAACTCGGCTGACAACTCTAAATTACCCTGTTATACTCTCCCACTGATGTAGTACCACAGTTTCTTTAGAAACTTACCCACTTCAGTCAGTAGGATAGTTTGTTAATCAATCAGTCAATCAGACAGTTAGGAATCCAAGCAAACAGAAAGTCAGTAAGTTGACCAGTTAGGAATTCAGTTAGGTAGGCAGTCAAGAACCTAGCTAGCCAGCCGGCTGGTCAATTGATCAGCGAGTAAGTCAATCAGCCTGCCATCCACTCAGGATACTGGTTGGTTAGGCAGTATGACAGCAAGTCAGTCCGTCAGTCACTCAGCCAATCAGTAGATCGGTCATTCAGAGTCCCTCATCCAGAGTCCCTCATTCGGAGAGCTATTGGCCTGTCAACCAGTCAATCTGCCAATTAGTCAACCAGTCAAAAAGCAAACTAGCTAGCCAGCTGCAACACAACAAGCCATTCAGTCAGTGAAGTAGTCAAGGAACCAGCTGCCAACAAGCCATCCTGTCAGGTTGTCTGTAGGTCAGTCAGTTAGGTCATATAGTCAATCAGTGACTTAGTTACCATCTGGAAAATCTGCAGCCATGAAGTTTTCCTGTCTGTCTGTCAGTCACTGGGTATGCCTTTAACACCAACCAGTCAGTTTTTCAAATGGGTTAGCCAGCTAGAAGAAAACTAAGCCTAGTATTATACACAATGTAAATTAACATGATATTTAAGATGGACTGCATTACTAAGCACCCTGGACTGGAAAGTAAAACAGCAACTGCTTAGATGACAGCCACATCCAGATTACTGGGGCTCTAGTCCACATTGTCTCCCAGTTTCAAAACCATATCCCTGTAAATTAAACCATTACCTGTAAATAATAAGTTAAATGTTAATACTTACACTTGTAACTACTTGACTATTGAAGAGGTATGTCAAAACCATATGGATGCCAGGATGAAATTAGAAAAGGGAAGCTCCCTGTCAAGTGAAAGACATATCATGTATTCATTACATTCAAAATGTGTAATTCTGCAAGGCCTGTTTAACTGAGGGCTTGCAAATACATAGATGTAACTATTTAAATAAGTTTTTTCATCAAATGACCTTGAAGTGTCTTGTACCATAGGAAGTTGAAAGTAAAACAAGCTGAGGAGCAAGTAAAATTGCCACTACATTTTACTTGACTGGTTTGGGAAGAATCTTATTGGAACTGATTTTATTACTATTTATAAAGAGCATTTACTTTTAAACAAATATAATGCAAAAGGAACATTTCCCTTTAGACAGGGTTTTTCATTGACTGGTCATTCATTGCAAATTAGTAATTTGTAACTATTATTCAGTAGCAAATTTAGATGTCTCTCATGTTTGCATGTCAAGAAGTTGTTTTCACTATATATAACACCGTTCTCTCAGGACAATTTTATTTTGAATTATAAGGGTACCCTCATTTTACCTTTACCATTTACAATATACCACACAGGTGAATAGTGCTTATCACACCCTGATTACCTACTTCGGTAGTGGTTGGTACATGCCATTAAACTCTAAGCAACCTTAGAGACAGAAGTGCACGTCAAAAGTTTATTTCCTAACCATTTTTTGGTTTATTAACAGAAATAATTTCATGTCTTCTGTTGTGGTTTAAACTAAAATAGTTATTATTGAATGTAAAGTCGGACAAGGTTAGGACAAATTCACATCCCTTCCATTTTAAGTGTTGATCTCAACATTGATTTGTCAAGTTACTGACTGGGCATACTTTAACACAATTTAAGACTTACATGTACACAATCTGTCGAAAATAGTACAATGGCTACATATGCCTCTTCAGATTCACATCTCATCAGACATCAACTGACCTAGACCTGCCTAAAAACAGAAAAAAACCTTTAATGTAATTTTTCTACAAATGGAACTAAATTTGATCCAATTGATTTAAAAATTGCTTTACTCAGAAATAAAGAGACATGGTGCTAAGTTAGACCAAATAAAAGTGACCAAAGAAAACCTTGATTGATTGTGATTAAGAGTGCCCCTCTCTAGGGGCTGTAAGATCACCTGAATATTCTGAATAAGCATTAACCGCAGAAAAAGAACCCTTTCCCTGTAATTCTACCTGTTTGTCTCACCTAACTGATTAAAAACAAGCGTTATTGACCAACCTAAGCAGTTTTAAAGAAAATGATGGACTGATACATTTAAATTCTTTATGAATAGAGAGAACCTAATATATACACAGATAATAGAGTTTAAACTTTTGACAGCAGAAAAGAAGTTAAGTGGGTGATATCAGCCTTTATTTGTTCCAAATATGGGTTTTGTTTGCAAATTGACTAATGGTATTAAAAAAATTATTGATAATTTATTAGTGAATAAAAAAATTAATAATTGTTGATCATGAAGCAATTACCATCCCTTGTAAAACCTTGTAGCTTTTAAATAAAAGTCTGCTTTATTTTGTGAATAGTTGGTTTTGGCTGGAACACTGAGGTACACCAATAAATCATTAAAACAAATTATTTGCACAAGGTAAGGTCTTAAAAGACTGCTTTACTGTATTCTTCCACAAGTTTGATTTGTTGCTCATACTGTGTCTTTATCTGTAAGCTCTGTTTTCAGTTTCTCCTTCTACTGGGTAACACATATTTGCAAAATACTAATACAAATTGTAGTGAGTAGTTCTCCAGGCACATCGCTATGATATTGGTGTATCATTCACTTTAGTTTTTGTGTTATGGCATTTAGAGAAATAATAAAAAAATCACTTTCATGTCTAGGAAACTTTCCTACTAGGACGGTTGCATGGACATAAAATTTTATATAAAACTATAGTCACCATCAAGACAGGAGGGTAAATTTTTTTTTTCGTCAAGTTCAGAATCAAAAGTCTTGTGAACAAAATAAATTCATCAAACCCTCTATGCCTCTTCCTTACAGTGATGTTTTCTAAGATTTTGAAATCCTTAGATCAAGGGACAATAACCTGAAAACTACCCACAACACCACTCAAGGTTGTTGCATGGACTTAAAAGCTTTTTTCAACAAACTTTCTACAAACAGCTGTACTTAGAGGACTTTTAAGCAACATCCCCACAAAGCCCCATACTACACAGTTCTTGGATAAAGAGAACAATAGATCACCTTTGGGACTGTGGCTTTGCTTTAAAATAGTATGGTGTAACACAGCAATCTTTCTGGCCCTGGTTGTTCGAAGATTGGACAGAGCTAACCATTGGATAAATCTCTATCCGGTAGATAATGCTATATGTTACGAGCATTTCAGAGTTCTTTTCAATAAAGAAGAACAATTCATTCCATTTCCAATTCCGTTCTCCAATCGTCAGCTTTAAACTTCGAGCGGGCATTTTATAACTGAATTTGTAATAGGATGGTAAAACAATTTCAACCCCACCCAACAATTCAAAGAAGACACCATTTAAAGAGGTCCTTACTCGATTTTAGATTCACGATCATAAATTACAATCACTCTAATGGTGAGACACCAAACTTGTTTAATGACATAACGTAAGATGTTAGCTTAAAAAACGCCCAGCTCTCTCGATGGTATGCATGGCTGGTTCGATTTGTTTAAGAGTAGGAGGCAGGTTTTCGGTGACAACGCGGCCCCCATGTGTGCGAGGTATTCAACAACCTTCACGCGCCTCACATATCGTTTGCGCATGCTCCCTCAACCAACGTCATTTCGGTTTTTTCCCAATATCATGTTATCAGACACTATGGCTCTCAAGACGCCATATATTAAAAATACAAAAGCACAAAATCATCCACATTTTAATAAATTTCAATTACATCTACATCTGCCATAATCTACGAATCAACTAAAACAGATCGTCTACGCGAAAATCACCACAGAAATATCTTATATATCAAAATATTATGCATAAAAATATATTACATTTCTTTGGCTTCATTTTCTTAACGCTGAAGATGGCGTCTTCGTTTTGTACGATAAACCATAAATGACTTGTACACTCACACTGAGGGCTAAAGTGGACGAGTAAACCTAGGGTGGCTCAAAATGGTTCTTTGATAGAGCGATGCTACACAGTTTTACGTGTTTCTTTGTAAAATGATTGTCAAAATCTGTTTAATTATTTCTCACCGAGAAATAATCACTAACATGCAAGGTTATTAAAGCAACTGTAAGCCTCTGAGCAACGCACTCGATTACAGGTCTCCACCAATTCACTGCCTTCCTTTTTATATTATTGAATTGCAATCAAAAAGTAAGATCATCCTGAAGAGTTCTAAAAACAATTCCAAGGAAGGTGAAGAGCCACTTCATTGTCGACCAATTAGGCTTGCTCTGAACCAGCCACTAGGATTTTCTGAGTCACCCTAAAGAACTACGTCATTAGTACAGAAAGTTACCTTTAATAACATGTAAACCCCGAAAAAAATCATTTGATGCTGAAAACAAATATCACCAAGGTAATAGCACGGCAAAAGAGAACGAAGATGACGCACATTAGAGTGCATCGTATTGAGTAAAACAACAGTGAATTAGAGGAAAGGAAAATAATACGAGCCAACGAGAACTCAAAGTAACAACAACTAAACTGGTTTACGCGCGGGAAACCGCGTGGAGCCAAGTCTCGATTGGTTTTAATTTTTATTTAATCTAATTGGTTGAGAAAAGGACGCAGGCTTTCTGGACAAATCACCCAATGAAGTAAAGCAAAACCAAAACAATCTCGGAATACTTTCCACACTCTCAAAATTACTCTACCACAGACTGCAATTTGCAAATTAATAGCCATAAAATCTAGGCTACACTAGTTAGGATGGCTAAATGAACCGTAACGCGCGTCTTTCGATGAAAATACTTAATAGGATTTTTCAATCATAAAGGTACCATATAAATACTCGACTGGAGAAGATCGAAAACCTCAAAGAACTTGCATGACCGGGAGCGAATACGCAATGTGTGAACTTCGCACACACTTTCCGAATAAAAATATCTATTCGCGTGAATGTGATTGAAACTAAGATTAAAAACAGTTTTGTTGTACGTATGAACGGCGATCGACTGGTGAATGAGATGTGGCATATTTACACCGCAAGAACACGTCAGAGTAATAACCATACTTATTCAGTTGATCAAGAAGCAATTCGGTGCAAAATGTCGTTCAACTCCCTGAAAGTTGGTCAACGCTTATGATGATATCAAAAGTGGCAATCCTGATAAAATATGTAGGTTATACCTTATTTCCGTATAATTCGATTTTAACCCTTTTAGAAATTCCAGGAAGAAATTGATATGTACTAACTCCTTTAAATAACTACTTCCGCAATGGGAATGTATTAGGAGAGACACACCCATCAGATCCTAGAAGTTAAACGGTATCGGCGCTCTCAAGAAACAACATTCTGTTGCATTTCCAGTAGCTGTTGGTCTATGTTCTTTCTTCTTGCTTCATTGAGGGCCAAGCGTTGTTGAAGACTGGCGCGACTACAAGAAAACAGAAATCAGCGATGATATTAGACAGAAATCGGAAAAGAAATGTCAGTCGCACATATAACTCACCATTTATCAGGGTCCAGAGAATCACTATCGCTTCCCCTATCACGTGACATACCCAGCGACGCTTTCTTCTTCTCTAATTGTTCATGAAGATTTTCGTACAATCCGCTGACCTGCTCGTCGTCGCCATCAATTACACTAGTATCTTTCTCAGCAGTTCTGTCACGCTCTTCCTTTTGAGGTGGAGACGGTTGCGTGGTATTAAGGTCAGCGGCAGATAGAGTGACGTCACCGGCTTGTGACGTAGAGTTATTGAGAAGCAGAGGTAAACTATCTCGAGCCATTTCCATGTTTGCTTGTTTAAGAAGTCCCTCGAGAGTTTCTAAGCTTGACTGTACCGATCTACTCTGGTCGTGAGGAAAAGAGTACGGCTTCTGACTGTGTGAGTGATGTTGGCTCACAAGAATACCTGGCATTTGAGGATGAGCGTGGTTTTCCATCATGTCTTGAGTATCCAGATGGCTGAAAGTCACTAGTGTACTGTTGCTTGACACGTTATTAAGGTTTTGGTCCGAGTTACTTTTCTTCATACCGCTGGCCGAAGACTTTGACACAGTTCTCGGTGAGGTTACATGACGCATGTGCGACGCGTTTCTAGTTCCTCTCGGAGTAATTCGGCCTGTTCCGTCAAGACGAACATTCGTACCAAACGTAGCTCTCTCATAGCCGGACACTTTGGCCTCCAGACGAGCGATCTGTGGTGTGAAAAGACGACAGATGTCAGAAAATCCGCAATCATAAAATAAATATTTGATCTTGAGGAAATAGCGATGAATTGGAAAGAGTGTGGTTGATAAGTAAATCCTCACATTAAGCTGTAATAAAAGGCTTTCAGGGTTCAATGAGGCTTCAAAACATACAGCGGTTAGGCGCTGCTATCAACTGATTAAAAAGCCAAATAAGGGGAGCGAGGAAAAGTTTAGTAGGTTTTTTGTTCCCAAAGAGGAGTTTGATCACAAATAATGGTGGAATGGACATTTGCTATGCCCTTGGAGTTTATATTCGGCGAGTACTCCACCTCAGGTACAGCGTTTACTCAATTACATTTTCAACTAAAGACCGAGCATTAAAAATACCTCTGCATCTTTTATAACAAGCATCTCACTCGTCGCCTTCGCATCTTCTTGGTACAACACAAGCTGAGATGCCAAGCTTCTGTTGTCCTCTATTAAAGTTCCGTTTTGTTCTTGTGCTCGAGCTAAATCTTGGGCGTGTCTTCTTTCCTGATCTTGAAGTCTCTGAATTTCTATACGGTGAGCTGCGTCGCTTTCATCTTTCTGTGCGAGTGCTTTGGCGTGGTCTTCCTGAAGGCGTTGTACCTTCCACAAAGAAAATCGAGAAAAAAGAACATAATCATACAAATTAACGACGTTGCGTTTAATGAAGTAACCTCCACAAGTAAACTGGTACTTAAGAGCTCTGCATTACTGAGGAACATAAACAAAATTACATGGTAAATAATCTGATCCCGTAGAACTTATTGCAGAAACGAACTGTAAGCCGTTATTTAAAATAACGGGCTCAAAGCACTATCATATTTTTTTTACCTCTTGATCCTGGGTGGCCTCTTTTAACTCGTGCTGTTGATGCGCTTTTCTCATTTCCTGCACACACCTAGCCTCAGCCTGAGCTTCCCGCACCTGAGCCGCTCCAAGTTCCTTTGCAAGCCTTGTACAATCCGACTCCTTCGTGTTTAAGAGTGCATGCGCGTCATCAAGTTCACGAATAAGCTCTTGTTCCGTCCTCTGACACTTCAAAAGATCGCGGCGAGCTTCCATCAGTTCTGCGTGCTATGGAAGTAAAAATTTAATTAAAGCTAAATTCTTCTTTAGAAAAGTATCTTTTAAAATTTCTCTCCTTGAACATGGAATTCAAATAACAAATGGCTCCTAATAGGGCTACTTCTCCAGGTTTAAAGAGATCTGTGGCAAAATGTATGAAAAATCTTCCTAAAATTGACTCGACAAAGTCAGCTAGCAATTACCGTGTTTTGAAGCTGCTCACGAGCCAAGCGTAATTCTTGACTTGTCTCTTCTGAATCCTCACGTCTCTTTTTCCACTTCGAAAGTTCCTGACAACCAAAACAAAAAGTTGGTCTCACTTGTATCAATTAAGTGACAAAAAGAAACAGAGATTCTTAGTCGACATTATTTTCCCATTGGCTCGAAAAATTGCGTGACCTACTGCAAACAATATGAATAAAACTGTTCCTCCCTCAACTACTTGCTGTTAATCACAAACTGTTAATCAATCTTGACAAACTTTCGCGCGTTCTAGCGACGCGATTGGCAGTGGTTGCATATTTAGGTGTCAATTCTCCCGCCTTAAACGACTTTGGACAATTTTTCTTTGCAGCGACTAACCACTAGCTCCGTGGCAAGTTTCTGTTTGCAATTCTGATTAACTGATTACCAACATTGTTGAACTGCCATGTGAATTACAGAAAAAACAACGATGCAGCACTTACTCTCTCAAACTCAGCCACTTGAGTAGCGCGTTTCTTTAACTCTTGCTGCTGATGTTTTACAGTCTTCTCTAAATGTTCGATTCTGGTTTTCCTTTGCCTCTCTTGCTCCTGATTTTGATCCCGTTTAGCTCTAAGCTCGGCAATCTGCAATAGTAAACGATATAATCGAAAAAACGGTAACTTTCTTGGTGTAAATCATGTAGATTATTACCTAGGATTGTATCTCTGGACAAACAACAATGTGACTTAATTCCTTGGAATAAAACCTTCAATGCTGCAAAATACTTTATAATACGCCAGCAATGCATCACGCCACGGAGTACACAATATATAAAAAGTTAACATTTTCTCGTCACTGGGATGACTGATCTTATTTCAACAACTACATTCAATATGTCTGTACGAGAGCTAGGGAACTGGGTCGAGTACATAAGCCTGCTGGGGTTCTTCCCAAGAAAAAAGGCTTAAAACACAACTACATTAACAACAGTAACAAAATTTTTTGTCTGTCGTGGCTCGACTTGTGAGGTTGGGCTTTGCTTTTCTTATTCTAAATTTCCACAACAGATAACGAGTTCGTACAATTTTCCAGGTAGTTTACTAGTAAGCTTCCTCTCTATGCATAAGACAGAGTGTAGGATACATTAGTATTTGTGTATGACTGAGAATGTTTTTTGGTTGCAACCAAAAGATTCCAAACTCATTTCGAGCAAATAATTTACTGGCAATAACAACTTAAGGGTAACACAGTTGAAGAAAGTGACGCATGTCTTCAGGGTTAATTACCTCAACAGCTCTCTCGCTAAGTTCATATCGAGCCTGGTTTAACGCATGCTCTAAAGTGATGACCTTCTGTTGGAGTTCACTCTTGTGTTCCTTCATGGTCATATCAAGCTGGGTAACCTGGAAAGTACAGTGAAAAACGTGAAGCTTTGTCTTAATTAGAAACAAAGAAAACTGCTGGTACAGTGGTTGACATCAAATTCAGGATATAGAGTAGAAGAGGAGGGACGAGAATGCTTTCATCCCTACAAAGGCGAGTTTCAGTTTATGTCAAATCGTTCTCCATTATTGTAACTCGATGTCAAATCAATAGTTCATTATACAGCTGCCAGAGGAAAGAAGTACAGTGCTAGTACAATGGTTGACATCAAATTTGTGTGTAGAGTACAAGAGGAGGGATGAGAATGCTTTCATCCCTACATAGGCGAGCTTCAGTTCATGTCAAATCATCCTCAAATTAGAAGTCGATGTCAAATCAATAGTTCATGTTGCATCCGCCAGAGAAAAGAGGTACCTGCCGTCACGTATTTGCGGACCTCTTTGAAACAATTTTGTTATCTTGTAAACATAAAAAGGTCATAGAACTCATTTGCGCTTGAAAAAAATTTTATCCGTTTTCTGCTTTAAAATGATTGTCACAAGAATCATTGACGGCAGCACGAAAAGAACTCGCAGTACTTGCTCTGAACCTCTGAGTCTCATGTTAATGTGACGTTCAGTGACTCACCTGAGCGGCTTTCTGCTTTAGTTCCCATTGTCTCTCCTTGAGCGCTTTGTCGAGTTCAACGACTTTATTCTCCTTCTCTTTCAAGTTCTTATCTTTCTGTTGTAGTTCTTCCATGCTCTCGTTCAACATTCTGTCCAGTTCTTCGACTTTCTTTTCTTTTTCTTGAACTTCTTTTTGACTTGTCTGCAACACCTCTTGGAGCGATTTCAGTTGGGATATTGTGTCCTGTAATTCGGTCTGAATTTTGTTCACCTAAATGACAATTGCAAAAGATGTTAGTCTGCGAGGGAGACGTATAATCACGACGACGTGAGCAATGACTAAGAGTGTACTCCCCGAGAACTAACTGGGCTTGCTTACGTCATAGGTACGATTATAGCACCAGCACTTGACCGATCAGAAAACTGGAAAATACTACAAGGTGGATATGGATACTCAAAGTAATTACGTGTTACGGTCCACGTGTACATACACATAAACACACGAGTGACTAAGTCGCCACTGTTTTTAGTTTGACGCACTGTATGACTGTTTTATAGGATGACGCGGGTTTTGCGACTAATCACAGAGTGGTAAAACAAAACTTAAACAACGCGCTATAGATACCGCATTGTATGTCACAATCTCAATGAACCTCAGTGTTTACTTCACGTATTTTCACTTCTAAGAGTCTTCAGCATCCAACAGAAGTTACGACAAATGTATCGAAATATTACCTCGTTATCCAGTTCCGCATTATGTTCCGTCGTTTCCGAAAATTCTCCCTCCACCTGACGCAACCTCTCCTCCAACTCCCCGTTTTTCTTTGTCATCTCGGACAGTTGCTTTCGCGTTTCCTTAAGAGCTTGCTCCAGCGTCTGTGCTTGCGCGGTCTTCTTGTCACACTGGCTTCGGGACTGTTGCAGAAGCTGCTCCAACTCCACAATACTCGCTGAGCTGTGTTTCATGTCTTTATGAACTTCTCTCAGAGTCGAGTTAAGTTCGTTAATTTGCCGAGTTCTTTCGTCAATATCTTCTTTGGCTCCTTGGAGTTTCTGATGTAAGTCGCTCGATTCCAATTGCGATGTGTTTCGTTCCCGAGCAACTTCTTCTTCTAAGATGGCGACTTGTTGTTGCAGGTGAGAGCGCGATTCCTCCAAATCACGTATTCTCTCTTGATCTCTTTGTAGCGCGATTTGCTGATCGGCAACCATACTTTCTAGCTGAACATTCTGTTCGTTTTTTTGATGGACGTCTGACAGCGTGTGCTGCAATGCTTTTTCCAGCTTGGATATCTAAATAGGACAGACAACATTAAAGAAAAATCAGGTGCGGGGATCTTGGGCTGACCGCACTGATCTCCAAATCATGAGAACTGTGTTCTAGCTTGCAGGAAGGCTCTCATTAATAGCCCGTCGGCAAGAACGTTTCTTTGTCCGCGAGAAAGCTTGAGGCCTGGGTCAAAGCAAGCCGGTGAGAGGTCTGCAAGGGATCTGGCACTGATTACGGTTATTGAGCTTGTTACAATTACCTCTGTCTTAAATAAATTCCAAGAGACTCATAGGAGCTGCAGGCAAAGAAGAAAATTTTCATGCGATTTTTGCAGGGCTTTAGCGAAAGCGTTTCTCTAGGAACCTTGCTACGAATCTCCGGAATAGTACACACCTATCATAAATAGTTAAATTAGTACTCCTCTTGGATCTCACCTCTAGTCCCTTCTCTTCCAACTCCTGTTCATGTGCACTGCGAGCTTCTTTTAACTGCTCCACGTACATCTCGATTTCCTTGTGACATTCTGCCAACGACACTTCCATCTTTCTGACCTGCTGTGTGGCCTTATCAGCCTGTTCTTCCAGTTTTTCCAGTTTCTGACTGTGCTGGACAGACTGAGTGTCCCGTACTTCGATCTCTTTCTTCTGTTCCTGTAGAGCTCGCTCCATTTGATCGCCGAGTGACTTTTTTAGAGTCAGTTCTTGGCGGGAGGCTAGAGACGTGACGAAAAACACATTATTACAAAGGAAATCCGATAATAGATTCTGCGACATATAATGTGAAATCAAAGTAGAATTGAAGCGAGCGCTCATCGATGTCGTACCTGCCAAGGAAGTCTCAAGATGAGCTAAGACAGCATTTTTCTCCTCAAATGATCTCTGCAACTGAAGAAAAGAAAACTTTTCTTTTGAATACAAACAATTTTATTGCAATATCAGCGAGAAAGCATGAATCTACGACTGAAAAAGAAATGTCTTTTTCAGACAGTCTTTATTCCCAGCTTCAAACATATGACTGGCGAAAAGACGAAATTTTACTTTAAACAACCACGTAGTTCCGAGCCTAGCTGCACTATGCATTGTTATAAGAAATGCAGTAATATTATAGGCTCTTTCACTCCATCTGGACTGAATCCTATGCTTCTGGGGGTTTTCGTCGTGACAAATTAATTCCTTACAAATGACTGCTTCTAACATAATAATTTCAAAATTTTGCGACTCTTCCACAATCAAAAGAAAGTATCTTTGGACATATAAATACAAAAAAAGAAACAACACAGTAGCAGCGTTAAGCCTCTCATAATAGGAATCCTTTTCATCCATTGTCGCATTTTCCCCTAGATAGCAATAAGGCACTAACATTAACGCCACATCAAAAGGACAAGTTCGAGAGCTTTCTCCCCAAACTATTTTGCGACCCGTGGCAACTATGATGCATTGCTCATCTTCATCTTACCTCCTCTATCTGCCTTTGCAGTTCGTGACACTGCTCACCGTGTAACGCTTTCACTCTGTCTACGAGTGCGGCAGATTCCTTTAGTTCGATGTCCTTTGCTTCCAGGGATCCTTCCAGTTCCCCGATGCGCCGAGTCTTAGATTCCAGCTCCTCTTGAATCTCCTTTAATTTAGTTTCATGTAAGCTCGATTCTGATGTCCTGTCAGTTAGCTGTCTCTCAACGGTGCTAAAGCGTGACGTAGCTTGTCGAACCTTGTTAAGATTAAAGATATAAAAGAGACAGTTAGGGAGCGAGACTCAAGATCATAAGTGCTATCTTGTCTTATGCAGGGGGACTGGAGGCTAGAATCTCATCCAGAAGGAAAAGCAAAAAAGCAAAGAAATAAAAGAAACAAAAGTAAGCTATTATTTTGAAAGACATAAACAACTTTTCCAGCGTTATGAGGCCTCATCAGAAGGGAAAAGCTAACCTGATGGCCTTAGGTTCTCTCATAGAAAGCCTTAATGGGTATTCTGTGCATTTAATAAGAAGGCAATGACAACAGAGTCACTCTACTACCTCTCGCTGTAGAATTCCATTCTCTGAAATCTTTGCTTCCAGTTCGTTTTGTAAATCAACCACTTTAAGATTTCTCTGACCGAGCTTGCTCTCCAGAGACGCAATCTGCGCCATTTTGTCCGCCAGTCGCTCTTCCAGTTGAATGGCTTGAGCCGAGTACCGCGCCACTTCATCCTCTAAGCGCGAGATGATCTGTTCAAGTTCCTGTTGCTTACGATCACCAATACGACTCCGTTCCACAATGGCCGACAACTCGGTTCTCAAACCATCCATAACACCACCATCACCAGCTAAACCTGACAATGAAACAGACGAAAATGCACCATGAACACGAGGACAAACGTTCCCGATTGCCATGAAACTTCCTAGCATAGTTCTCAGAATTAAATTATAAAAGCCTTCAATCATGATTTCACTCTGCGCTTCCAGGCTGGGGAGTTTGTTCGGACAATGCGCATTTGGCCAAGAAGCTCCTAACTTGCGCACAAAAGGAGGAAGGCTTCAAAAAAAAGGTAGGTACTTCCTCTCTGAAAAGTCCGTCTTGTCTGCTCAATTTGAACTCCACTTCAAATATCGATAGTTAATATCGATAGGTAGGAGTGCTTGAGGCCAAGAGATTCTGCAAGTTGTCGCGTTCTTATTTCACGTCGTGTCTGCTCAAAATGATATGACTACTGCATGATCCTCATCCCACCTCCAAACAGTTTTGACCCTGTAATTCCCACAAATGATTAACAGGTAACTTCTCCCTAAAATATCCATACATTATCCAGCAAACAGGTCATGAGAATACTCAAACTTACCAGGCAGAAGTTGTTTTCTTACTCTAACACCAAATTCTCGTAACTAACTTACAAGGAATTGTGTAGTAGCTAGAGGGGAGAATTAATAGTCAGATCTTCCTCACCCGCTATGTGCTTCTGCTGAGCGGCTGCCCGTGCTACAGCAGTAGCCTGTAGTTTTTGTATCTCAGCTTCTTTCATTGCCAGTTTCAGTTTCAGATCGGCTATCACCGCTCTCGCTGTTCCCCCGCTGCCCGTCACGTGATCGCGTTCGTTGTCTACGTCATCTTGTATGTAACTACCCATGTTGCGAGGACTAATGCTATGGTAACCGTTCATTGTCTGGGTACTGCTACAAATGCCACTGTCACTGGTCTGAGAACAGAAGAGTAAGCAAACATTACGACAAACAGCGATCTGCTTTGTGTATTTTGATAGAGACTAGGCAGGCACGTCTCAACGGAAATGGATTGCAAAAGTATCGGCCATGTCAAATAAAAGAGCAGCTTGAGCAAACGAAATGGCTTACGGGAAAAAAGGCTGGTCTCTTGCTACAAGTTTGGTAAATTTGGAATGATTCTACTTCAACCAAAATAATGAATAGAAGTATTGAATCTTTCGTTCAATTATCAGAGCGAGCAAAAACTTGCCTCGTTCACGCAATGCTGGCGTTGTTACGGTACAAGTTTACAATAAACCTCTCAGAAATACTCACAGAGGGCGTAGCAGTCACATGCTCTTTCATGCTCTGTTCCTGAACCTGATGAACTAATCCTTCTAATCGGGCCATGTGAAGTTTTGTTTCTTCGATCTCTCGCTGGTACTGGATGATTTTCTCCTTTTGTTTCTCCACTGTGTTGTGTAGTTCTCCTTGGTCTTTCAACAAAAGCTCGTTTTTTCTTAGTTCGTTTTCAATTCTACCAATTTTTTGGCTCTGACGCGAGATAGTGGCTCGCAAACTGGTATTCTCGTGAAGCATAGACGTCTGACTGTCTTCCTTAGCTGTCCCTACGGCTTGGAGAAGTCTACGTCAAAAAAGATTACAGTACACCATAGAAAGCTACCTCCTTGCGGATCTTACGTATATAAGCGACGTGATGTAAACTGTATTTCATACATCAGTTTCGGTGCTCAATGCCATGCGAGTTCGATACCCACACCAACAAGTTTTATGTAGTTTCTACCTTTTGAAATGAGCTTTTTCTCTTCGTTTCCAGCCCAACTTGCGACCGAGATGATGAGAACAAGGGAGCGCCGGGCAGTTTTTAAATGGGTGTAGTGAAATTACACTCGCAGTGGCCAATCAAGGCGCAAGGAATCACAGAAGGAGGAGGGCAATGAAAACTCAGGAATAACAATTTAATTCTGGCTTCATGCTCGAGTAAACGTGCATGAAATAGTCACGATTGCTGTTTGCTTTTCACTTGCTTGGTTCGATTTCAAGACAATGACCCAACGTTAAGATGAAAAACCAATTAATGCAACAATTCAAACAATGTGGTCAAAAAAAAGGATTTCATGGAAAAGAAAAACAATAAACAATAAATTTTGTTACAAAAGATTCGAAAAAATTTATTTCTTTTAGTCTTGAAAAATCGGACGCCCTTGACAATAAAAATGACAGATCCGTGCCCCTGTTGACGATTCAACATGAAAATTGGAAGTAGTTTTGGGGTTGTAAATTCCACTTTAAAAACCTTAAGGTTGTACATTTACTGTGTCTTACAAGGGACTGATAACTATGTTTGCACCTCCTTTTCTACTTTCTAAACTCATTCACATATACATGTGCGTACTGCCATTAGAATGTAATTAAAGACAAACGAACTGCATTTAATTATTGATTTTGACGCATCTTACCTTATTTCTTCCTGTAGGTCTGTTATTTGCGCCTGTAAAGTGGCTTCTCTATCCAGCAGATCATCTCTTTCTCGCTGGGATTGGGAACTAACGTCTTTCCAGTGTCTCTCACGGTCTGAATGCTGCAACCAAAGAGACAATAACGTAACTAAGTTAATTAGAAACTAAACGGTTTTCACGAATCCTCTCTGATTATCTAACTGTCAGTCACAGAGGAGCCCAAAACAGTCCGTTACTCTCACCCGGACGACAACACTACACAATGAACTGTTAATTCTTGGTTCAAACCATTTAATGAAATATATAATTTCTGTTTCATCTTATGTGCGTGTAACTGACACATCGAAGAAATAAATTAAGAAACAACAAATAGAATGCTTTCGAAATTTAGTTATACCACAAATAATCCAGCTCAACGCTGAAAAGATGATTGAAAAAAAAAAAAATGAATAATATGTATTAAGAAATTTTAAAATAGTTTCAAGTCTGATTTGTTTTCAAATAGAGGGAAGATGAGGTGTGCAGACGAGACTGACTCGTGCATGCTACTGCCTCCAGGTGGAGAGGGTGCTGCTGTCCACAGAATTTCAGTGCCCATAACATTTTGCTAAGGACACTGTGTGGTTGGTTAGTAAACTTGCACCACCCTCTCAACCAATCAAGTGCAAAACTGAACCAGTTACGACTTGGTCACTCGCGTTTTCCCGCTCTTTCGGGAGTTAACTCGCTTTTACTTAAAGTTCCCATTGGTCCCTTGTTAGATATCATTTGCTCTAATTGGACGCTGTGACTACTTTGAAGCCTGGCCTTACAACAGCCAATCAAAAAGTGCTCTAGTTTCACAAGGTGACTACCAGTCCTGAAAATGATTTAAATCAAGCAATGTTGAATAAGTTAACTCCATGCGGGTTACCTGTTTTCTTAATGATTTTATTGTGGTATCCTGTTCTGTGAGTTTGTCTGAAAGCTCTTCAACATTTCTTAGAGCTTCTTCAAGCTGATCCTCCAATCTATTGACACATGATTACAGAATTTACTTCTTTGTTTACACAAAATTATCAGGCGTGCACCAAATGACAGAAAACTTATGCCCTAACATCAGTATGCATATTCTCCTTACGTCTCTCTCCACATTTTCTAGGGTGCTGACAAGGAGAATCTGTTTAATAATCAGGAGCTCTCTAAGTTCATGATCATTTCCTTTATTATCATAACTTACATGTTTGATTCAAGAGTGATATTGTAAGGAAAAATTAGATCCTAGTCACTTACAATGCAATGGGAGTCTAAGGGTTAACTGAGAATCTGAGAAAGGAAGATCACAGTTTGTCTAAGAAACTGTGTCAGCAAAGAACTTGGTAGTTCTCAGGTACACAGAACCCATTTATTAATAGCAAGTTGAGGCATTGTGTACGTATTGTTTATTTTATTTTGTCACTATTTTTTTTTACATTATTTGGTGATATCACCATCTGCAGGTGTGGAGAAGAAACTGAACAACAGCTTAACTACTTAGACCATGATCAGGCAGTACCACTATTTGGTGCTATGATTGTTTCAATGACCTTGCAAGAACATGGACTGAAACATTCTGTACAGGAGAAAAGAGGACAATGGAAAGCCTGGGGGGTTAAAAACTCTTTGGAAAAAAAAAAGTAACAGACAAAATTTGCTTTGATTCTTGCTTACCTCTTCCTTAATTTTGCTTCTTCTCTCAGTTCATTTTCAGCTGCAGTTGCTGATTCAAGAACACTTCTAAGTTCTTCTGTCTTTGACTGAAGCTCTTCCCTGCATTCTTGCATGGTTTGTTCTGCAAATCTGTAGAATACAAGAAAGTACCCATTGAAAGACAGCCACAATTAAAATTTTTGTTCAGAGGTGAAATGTACTTTAGCAGTCCAAAGAGTTTAAAAAAAAAAATGTAATTAAAAAACAATTGTTTTCAGAATGTCTCTTACTCTGTTTTCCTGTGCTTGAAGAGGGGAAAGGGGAAAATTGATGGTTGTGGAAAACATTGCCCAGGTAAAAGTGAAGCTTCAAACTGATTGATACATAGTAGTGGCTAGTTATTTACTTAGCTGCACTTGAGGTAACCTCCCCTACAATCAAGTAGCTTTGTAGATGTTGTTTCCCTTACTACCAGTTTCCTTTTGGCTTAACCTAACATTCCCTTAAGACTCCCTGTAAATCAGGGTTTGGGATGTTAAAGTTGACCGATAATATCATAACCAATGTGCTCAAAAAGACAGTGCTTTACCTCACAGCATCCTCCTGTGAAGCCAGGTCCGACTCTAAACTCACAATCCTGTCTTCCATAGGAGGGAATCTTTTCCTTTCAACATCTAACTCTTGGCTAAGAATCTTTACCTGAAAAACAACAACAACAACAAAAAATCAAGTTTCCACACACATGTGTTTCTATAACTTCAGAAGGACTGTAAAAGAAGCAAAATGGTGAAAAATCTTTATTTGCAGGAGTTTGACCAGTTGGCCATTTACAGATTGCAGCTACTGAGTTGAGTTCAATGCAACTGAGAACAAATCCAGTGGGTTGTAGGATGGAAAACTCTAAGACAGGAGGACCACAAGATTACTAGTCCTGGGCTCTTAAACATTGAGCAATGCTGCCATCATTTTATCACGCGCTAACTTACCTTGTTTCTTGCCTGATGTAGGTCATAGCTGAGATTTTCAAGTTCTGTCATAATCTTGTGGTTCTGGTTGACAAGTTGGGAGTTTTCCTCGCGCTGTTTAGAAAGTTTTTTAATCATGGTATCATGGTCATAGTCACTTGCACTACCAAATGACCGGCTATCAAGCTGAAACAAGATTTTAAGATATTTGTAAATAAATAAGATAAAAAAAAGAGTAAAATAAAATTAACTGCTCATCATTGATTCTTTGAGGATAATGCATCCCTTAGAGCAAAAATTTCTGTTGATGATGAAGCTACAGCTCATATTATTGTGAAGTGATTACAGTGACCTCAAACTGGAATAGTAAACTTTCTGTTATCTTCACTTTAGGCTGTGCACTTGGGCACTGAGAGCTGTGTCTGTGCTTGTCCACAGTAAATTGTCTAATGAGGAAACTGCTCTCAAGTAACAAAGTTAATCTTTTCACCCTAAACATCTGGTCAACATCAGTTCTTCACATCATATATCATAAAGTCTTTCCAAACTCAATGTTGACAGAAACAATATCCCCCACTTTATGTTTCCTTCATCCTAATCACCTTTCTAGTTGAAAATGTATTGATATTGCAGAAATGTTCCATAAAAGTCTCTTCTTTGAGCGAAAGTGTTAAAAAAAACCAACAACATTTTGTAAAAATTTAACTGAATAATACACTTGGTATACCTCTTGGTCTCTTGGTGACAAGTGAGTTGATACATTTCTGAGGTCTGTGTATGATGACCTCAAGGGCTGGGAGTTAGTTATCAATGGAGTCCCTCTGCGGCCCTTGGACAAAAGATTTGGCTCAGAGCCAGCTGGGGTAAGGTCAGCTAAGGTCAACACTTGACCCACAGCACTCTCTGGTGAGGATGAAAAGCTTCTTCTCTGGCCATTTAGACTGAAAAAAATGGACACTTTCTTTACACAAGAGCCAAGATTTGCAGTTACAAATAATCTGTCTATGTTATACTTTTGGTTGCTTTCTATGCAATAGGCAATTTCAACTTAAAGAATTTAGTCTTCAGAAAATTTTTAAGCTCACATATAGCTTTCTGTTTTAATCTTCATCATCATTATAGCACTCTTTTATCTTTACATTTATTCTTTACCAAATGGGTGATTGTCCATCCTTGTAAATTGTTATGTCAAGGTTTTGTTATATTCAAAGGTAATTCTTAATCCTAGCAATCACTGTAACTACTTTTGACATAGGTTCTGTGATATATGTGTATTAAATATTAGAACATCATTGGTCCTTCATAATCTAACCGCCTTACTAGACAAGAAATTTATTCATCAACATACTAGTAGATTTTCCAGAGTTGTGCAACAGTTTGATTCCTAAATGCTTATTAACTGCCTTTAAACCCTCTACAGTTTAACATCTGTAAGCACATTCTCTGTACTTTTCTCTATATATTTCCTAATGAAGGTGCTGACAGTAAGGATTTGATTAACAATCAAGAGCTTCTCCAGTTAGTTATCTTTTAGTCTCATGACCTTAATGTGTATACAGGAGTGATATTGTAGGAGAAATTAGATAGCAGTCACTCTTAGAAGTTAAAAGGCTAACGAGGCCACTTACCCAAGCTCTTCAGCATTGGCACGAAAGTTTCGATCTTTTGTTTCAGCTCTTGTTTCATAAGAAATTTGCTTCTGAGGAGGTTGTCGTGATTTGCTGCAAAAGGCAAAAAAATTGATTGACTAAGCAGTTTTTCCATAAAAAACCCCCTCATACAGTTGAGTGCTAAGTTGCCAGGCCTTTTATAGGGAGTTGGGCTGAAGTTGACCTTGTTCTTGTTATAATGGAGAATAGTTAGACATAAATAGATACCATGTTGCTCTATGTCTACCAGCATGTCACTGGTAATCTTACCACATTTTGACATCATCTGCGATTTGTTACTCAACAGATACATGTACACTGTGACATGGAATCTATTTGTGTTTTATGTAACAAGGAAGCAAATGGTGACGTCCTCTGTATATCTTTCCTCCACTAGATCACAAGTTAAAACCAATCATGATGTCAGTATCATTCAACTTATTATAAGAAAGACACTAGCTAACATTTTAATGCAGTTGAATGCAATTTAACAGAGTTGACAATAAAGAGCATCTACATTCTCTATGAGTCAGTGGTTTTTTTTGCACATGCACATGTATGTGTTGGAATTCTATGTGTACTTTCTTTGAAGTGTTCTTGCCTGTGCTTTGAGTGTGAACTTGCAGCATTGTGGCAGCTCATTGTCCAGGCAGTTTTCCCCACCCCTTCCCTCCCTCTTTCCACTGTTTACTTAGTGTGATGGGTGCCTGTTTCCCTTTCCTGTATGGGGGCTCGTGGTTGGGTTGCCAGAATCTGCCAGCCATGGGAGAAATCTCTATCTAGGAGTTGGCTGCCAATAGTGGAAGCTCCTGGATGTATTAGGCACCCAACCTTCACTTAAAGCGATGCAGTTGTTAAACAGAGTAAATCATGTGAGATACCAACCAAGGTTTAGATCATGGCAAATTTATATTAAATATACCTCACTTAAGAAATAGGGTTTAGTATGCAAATTGCAGTGTCACAACTGGGCCTTATAACTACAATAGCTGTATTCAAAACTGACAAACTTCTCCTTTGAATGGTACACATACTGAAATCTACTTGTGGTATATTCCAAATTCATGTCTTTCTCTTACCTAGAAATGAGCTCAAACATGAATAAACTCACATCATAATCTAACCTGGGCAGAAAATACTCACTGATAGTAAATAGATTCCTGAGCTATTATCATAAAGAAATCAATGTCACTTCTTGACAAACACTTCCATTTATTTAGATAAGACAGTAAAAATTAGCCTTCAAAATTCAGTTGTCAACAAGATCCAGTGCTGCTCTTGACAACATAAAATTCCCTGTTAGTATGTTTTTCGCTTTGAAAGAGTGCAGTGGATCACAAAAATTAACCCTTTAGCCTAATCTTTCAAAAAAAAAATTATACGATTTTGATCAAGGCAGACGTGTCTAAATTAAATAACAATTACATGTTTGGGTGCACCTTAACAAGACCATTTAACCTCTGGAGAAATATTTCAAAAGCGGACATATTCAAAACATTAGTCAGAGCTGTAAAATGCATTGATCCTTTTGAAGGACCATGAAACGTTCATGTCTGTGTGATCAGCGATGACTTCGTGAAGAAGGCAAATACTTTACTATGATAACAGCGAACATCAAAATTTGTTGATTAAACAATTATCACCCTGACTGTTTTGCACAGCTTATCTTCGGAGGTAATCCGAAGTCTTTACGATAAATCTACGGAAATTTCCTCCGTAAGATTGGAAAATTGCAACACCTTGTCGAAAAAATCAAATTCTAAGTAATCAAAGGAAAACATAGTACACTTTCGAGCTTTGTCAATTCTTCGTACCCTTGGTTACGACACACCAACTTCGGAACGCGGACAACATGTGCATTGTCTCGTGTTAGTATTTCACTAAGACACGAATTTTCTTTTCAGTCCTCTTTTTGTTTTGTCTGTCAAACACAGCAACTAATATAAAATACCGCCATTACTTTAATTTAGTCAGAATCCAAGAACCTTGATCAAAATAAAATCAAAACGTGTGTAACGTGATTGTTTACACGGCATTGATTAGGAGTAGAAACTTCTAAAGCTCTTGTAAATAAGCGACTACCACTCTCGCACGAATCAACAATTAGGAATGGCATCGAATGTTATTTCCTTTTAAAAGAGCTACATAGAGACACAGTAAGACTCAAAAATTTCCCTTCCATCAAATTCTAGTACAAATGACTCCTAATGATCGCGAACGAAGGCCCATAAGTGATAAACTCACGATTGTGATTCACTGCAGGACGTCCAATCGCAAAATGAGAATTAACTGTTTGGAAATGATCGTATGGATGAACAAAAGGAGCTTACTGAGCTGCTACTGTAACTTCATTTTATCTATTCCTTATAGGGGTGAGTGCGAAGTAAATAAATGAAAATTCTTACCCGTTTGTCGCATGTGGTGGATTCAAACTTTGCAGTGACTGTTCGGTCTGGAGCAATCTTCGTCTCAAATCATAGCAATCTCGCATCAAAGGATCATCTTCAACGCCAGATCTAGCACTGGTGCTGACACTACTGCTCACACTCGACCTCCGACTCATCTTTCAAGATTTCCTCTCCACAATTACATACTGTAAACTTAATTTATTGCTGAACGCTTTCAGAGGTGACGAGATCGCAATAGACGCGAATCGCGTTCTTTTGGTCTTTAGCGTATCATTAACTCGACACACCGTGGCAAATCAAATTTAAATTAGAGACATTTCCTTCACTGTACTGATACTGACCAATTTTTAACCAGTAAGGAAGAAATAAGAGCGTTTTCGACTCCAGTAAAGTTTCCCTTGTTGCTCCTACGGCGCTGATTGGGGTTAAAATTTGAAATTTGTTCCGAGTCTCTGTTGACATATGCAACGAAAAACCGCCGCGGCAGTTGAACGATTTTCACTTTCCCGTGATATCTGTACACCAATCAAAACGCCGTATTCTGGCGAACGGGCCAATCAGCTAAGAGCGAGCACAAAGCTCCATGGTTCATTAAGCAGGTACAAAACGACGCGGGTCGCTATTATAGCAGGCTATTGAACATCTTTTTATCACAGTCGCAAATTAAATGTACGATATAATGAAGTTGGAAAAACCATAGCCGTCATTTACGGTTTTCAACATTGCTATGTTTCCTTCCTTGGCTTGATTTTGGCGAAATAAGTCAACCACTTTTCACTCAAAAGGAAAGTTACTCGAAAAATTATGCTCAAGTATAGTAGGTTTTCGCTGTTTCTCAGATAATTAAGGTGACTGTGTTGTTTAAAGTAAAAGATGAAATCTACTTTTAAATATAAACACAGGATGTGATAATTTGCATATTATAAGAAATAATAATTTTTAAAGATAAAATTGCCAAAACATAAATGGCAATGGTAAAATTTGTGGTAACAGGTGTCCTGTTCCCATAGCAAAAGGTCTCTCCTAATATTTTCTTTATATTTCAAACGTCGCTAACACTTAACCTGTTTATAGTTAACAATGCAGCCTTTGTCTTTCCCCAGCTAAAAAGTCAAACGGTGAAAAACCCACCCACGCAACAATTTAGCTCCTCGGAAGCTGGAACAATGATCGTGACTTGAAATTATTTTATATTGTACCAACGTAACTCCTTGAGGAATAGCTGAGGTCGTGGAGGAGTACAATGGCGACTGGAGACTTAAATATTTGAAAAATGTGGCCTCCATTGACCACTTCCTAAATGATGCTTCTTATGGCGCAACTCAGAAAATAGGTCTGAGTCACTTGAAGCAGGGGTTTTTCATCACACTTCTGGTGTTTCTGCCTCTAAGAATTGGAATTGAGATAGAAATTTGCACAAGGCAGGGGATACGAACAAACTTTAGCCTTGGAAAAATCGAATTCTCAGTCCTCTCCTTGTGAATCATAAGAAATATCTTTGCAACAGCTATAATTACAGAATGATGCAAATTTAAATGAGGGGTGAAGACGGTCAACAATATGGAAGAGTAAACAAGCAACTATCTTCCACAAGGAAATCTGAGACTACACCATTCCCGTGTTTGCTTTGTCTAAATGGAAATGGTATCAAGGTGTCATGTTACTATGAATTAGTAAAATTACAAAATATAATACGTGTGTGTCGATAAACAATATTTCATTTATTCATCTCACTCGAACGTATTACCTTTAAAAATACTATAACACTTTCGCCAAATAACTTTATAAAATATGCAATGGTCTTTATTTATTCATTTTATTTCTCGATAATTCGATAAAATTTCTGTTTGCAAATTCAATAAAACCTATAGCAGAGGAAAATAGATTTGAAAAAGGAATTAAATTAACAGTCACCGCGAAGAATGACACATTGATAAAATGGTAAAAGGTGTACATATCGGAAAAATTAAGGATTGCGAGTCCTTTTTTTTCTTGCGGTCGATATTAACAAGGGCCACACTTTCACTTATCAACACAAGAAAAGGAGTTGTTTCAAAAACGATGCTTTTCAAAACACTCCTTTCTCTAAGCTGTTTTCAAAAGGCCCCGTTTTCATGAGCCTTTTTGGATCCTTTTTGTTTGGATGTTCGGCAAAAACGCATAAAAAGGATGTGTTTTGAAACAAAATCGCCTCGGTGTAGATGGGACCCACAGCTCTTTCGTTGTGATTTTGAATGATCACAGTACTGTGTTTTTATTTGAAAACAAACAATTTTGATGCATTTTCTTCAACCTTCCACCAAAGAGAATTGGGAGAATGTCAAATTGATCAATCGTTTGTTGAAAAATCCTACGACCTGATCAAGGGGAGATTGAAATAAATTTTAAAAGAACTCCTCGCTAATCAAAACCATCCCATTCATCACCCCAGCCACTTTCCACCTGAAAAAAAGTAAGAAAAGAGAGTCTCATTTTAACACTGAAACAAACAACTGTTATGATACTTTAACCATACCACAGGAGACGTAACTTGACTTCTAATGACAAGATTGCCAAAGCGCGAGATGAAAGGCTAAGGAAGGGCGCTAAGGCAGGTGTACGGCAGTCATAACGTTAAGGTTCTTAGAGAGAGAAACAAAAAAAACCGCGATTACTCTGGACTTAGTTTTCGAAGGATTTAAAAGAAGCATATTCGTTAATCCCTAGACCAAGTTATCCCTTATCTTAAGTCCAAGAAAATCACTTTTCTATGGTACACCAGTTTGTTCGCGTTGACAGCAAAGCAAAAAATTGCGAGTAAAAACCCTGTTGACAAGCAGATCAAGTCGATGTTTTCTTTCTCTATACACCTAGCCCCGGAGGTTCGAATGATGGCTAACGCTATTCCGCAACTAAACAGAAACGGCGAAGAGCGCTGTCCGCTCTTTGAAGAACTGGGCCCTGAACTAAAGTATTCACAGGTTATCCACTCATTCTCAAATACGAGCCCGTGCACAGGCCACCCAATCTCTAAGCCATACCTGTGATGTATCTTCCACCATCGCCAATTTAGAACTTAGTCCTGCGCCTTGGGATTTTCCGGGTTGAACATCTGAATTTTTCTCCTTAAAAGTCACTGACGGCTCCATATCAGCGAAGTAATCGGGCTCTCTTGAGCGAACTTCTATTCGCGTGATTTCAAATTCACTACCCAGTCTCTCTTCACTTCGCCGTCTTGATTTCGAAGACTTCTCTGTTTTAGTTGAAGATTTTTTAGAACCAAGTTTTAATGCGTTCGAGTGCGTCGGCGCACTAGATTTCGATGGATAGCTCTCTTTATTGCGAGAGAGAGAGGAAGGTTCGTTTGATTTCCCCGCTTGCAGGGAGATATTAACATCAACGTTGTTCGTTTCTAATTTGTCCTGTTCGCTGGTAACACTCTGATCATCACTCCAGTAGTTAACACCATGCTCAGCAGTTGCTTGGCTTGAACGACTGCTCTAGAAACAAAAAATAGCAAAAATTAATAGTCGATGAAAATCCTTCATTACCATCTCTGTGCAACTACTGGTACTGTTCTTATATGAATATAAAACTTGCTTAAACCAATTCAGAAAATGATTGATGAGTTCCATCTACATTCTACAATATGAAAGATGATGTTATTCGGTAAACGACAAAGCACACTCGAAAAAGAACTCGGGGTGTTGCCATCAAGAGCCATACCTACAACCATCCGACCTACCAATTAGTAATTTGGATGCTCTAGCACTAAGCTATAGGAGGTAAGGTCAATTGTGACGGTGATAAACTTCCTGCATACTGCTAGGGTAGGAATGTCAACACGCAATGTAATGCTTTTGCGCAAACATGGTGTGAATTACAACCGGTAAATTTCTCTTATAGCTCGAAAATGCGAAGCAAAATGAAAAGGTTCACTTACGGGTGGAGCGAAAACAAGATTAAGCCTCCAAAAAACGACACAGTTACAAAGTATTTGGGGATAAGCCTTACTAATAACGGCCTTTTTTAAATTCATGTTCGACAGTCTTAAACATGTTAGTTTTTTTCTTTTATGGCTTTGATCCGTGAAGTTGTCTCTAAAAATACAAAGTCGGTGCTCTTCTAACGGTATAAAATGAAAGTAACTTCTATTCATGTTCCCTTACCGTTACGTCTGACCGCGGGGAGCTTGGGGACTCATCAAGTTCTTCCCATTGTTCAAATTCTCCCTGATCAGGGTCCCCTTGTGGGACAACTAAATCTGTAAATCTCTTAGGAGACGACTGTTTAGCTATTCTTTGTTTCCCTCGTTCCAATCTGCGCCGTTCCATCTCTTTTTTCCTCTCGTCTTTCCTCTTCTCCATTTCTTGTCTCCGTTTTTCCCTTTCCTGATTTCGAATTTGGTCGTTAGTATTACGTGTGGATGTCTGTACAGTTACGTCTGATTCTGGGCTCAACTTGTTCTCAAAGTCGATGACTCCACTGACATTTGTGGGACCAATGTTGCTGATCTTCTTTTCCTTCATGACATTATTTGTAGATACTGAAAAGCAAGTGAAGGCTGCTGGTCGTTTTTTTTCGTCTAAGGGGATGGGGAAGATGGGGGGGCAGTCGATTTTCCAAAATTCCCCCTTTAGACTCCGTTGGTGACGACCGATTTCCCCCCCCCCCCTTCTTCTCTCTCTGAAAACCATGTGATCTCCCCAAAATCCTCCGAACCCCCCATCTTCCCCCCCAAAAAACCATGTGATCTCCCAAAATCCACCGAACCCCCCCCCCGCATCTTCCCCTCCTGAAAACCATGTGATCTCCTCCCGACCAGTCCCATGCGGTAAATAATTACTGGTCCATAAGGACAAAAACCGAAAATGGTTATGATCATGACTGAAACATCATGATAAGAAAACGAAGAAAAAAGAGCTTAAAGCTGAAATAGGCGTACGTTATTTAGACAGGAGACAATATGCCTGGATTACAGGAACTTACTGGTAGGCATGCTCTCAGAACTGTTAAACTGAAAAGAAAAACAAAACACGAAACGTCAAAGACTGACAATAACTATAGTAAATCTCCTCCCCCTCTCTCCACCTCTCTCTTACTTCGTGGTTGTTACAAACAATTATACAGATTGCTAAAAGACACTGCTGTTCCCAAGCAAGCGTAGGGACTTCAGCTGCTGTTCCCAAGCGAGCGCAGGGACTTCAGCTGCTGTTCCCAAGCGAGCGTAGGGACTTCAGCTGCTGTTCCCAAGCGAGCGTAGGGACTTCAGCTGCTGTTCCCAAGCGAGCGTAGGAACGTGGTTCCCAAGAGCTTCAGCTGCTGTCCCCAAGCGAGCGTAGGGACTTCAGCTGCTGTTCCCAAGCGAGCGTAAGGACTTCAGCTGCTGTTCCCAAGCGAGCGCAGGGACTTCAGATGCTGTTCCCAAGCGAGCGTATCGACTTCAGCTGCTGTTCACAAGCGAGCGTAGGGACTTCAGCTGCTGTTCCCAAGCGAGCGTAGGGACTTCAGCTGCTGTTCCCAAGCGAGCGTAGGGACTTCAGCTTCTATTCCCAAGCGAGCGTAGGGACTTCAGCTGCTGTTCCCAAGCGAGCGTAGGGACTTCAGCTGCTGTTCCCAAGCGAGCGTAGGGACTTCAGCTTCTATTCCCAAGCGAGCGTAGGGACTTCCCGTTTTCATTTCAATTGGTTTATACCTTAGGTCTCCCTTCGATGAAGTACTTTTTTCTCTCTCCACCGACAACAACATTCGCTCCTAACACGGGTACCATGATTGATAGGGCAGAAAATGTAGCTGCAACTATTCTATCATCTGTTTCTCGCAAACCAATCAACATCTGCAGGAAAAACATTTAAAAAATCAAAATTGTGGTTCAACAAAGAAGCAACACTATGTTACAGTTTTGATAGAAAAGCAATTTTCTGCTATAGTAAGAAAAGGCAGGGAGAAAAGAAAGAGCATTTTGGTATACAATGAAACACCACCTTACGACGGTCTCATAACCCGTATGACTCCTCCAAACTGTTTCGATTTTCTCCCTTTCTGTTGCTATACTTATCCTTGTAAATTAGTTGGGACAATTTAGTTTTACTTCTAGACCACACCCTCTAGCAGATAATTTAGTCCAGCTTCATCCCCTTTTTGCTGATTACTACATTGATATTGTAACGAGAAGTACCTTGCCAATCATCTGTAAGTTATCGACCCCCCCAACCTCATTCTTATAGTTTTCGTGTTCCAAACGACTTGAGAGGCGCGTCACATTCTAAGTCTAAAAGCCCGTTAAAAGGGTAAATCCTGCTTTTATAATCAAATATTCAGAGCCTTAAGGTCGTCGTATTCGCACAATGGTGCGCAATTTGGCTTCTCGTTCAAACAAGCTGTAGCCTGCGTAGCTACAATTTTTCTCGTGTGCGCGCTTGAAAGCGTTGAGCAGCAAAACGTAGAACACGAGAGGCGATAACGCGAGAACTTTGCGATCCGCTGTCAGTTTTACGTTTTCCCGTTCTTATATTCTATCATCTATCGGGAGGTTCCGCCTCATTGCAAGTTCGTCCCGACCACCTTTGCGAGCTCGCCTTCTGTATCAAAGGAAGTTCGCCCCTACACCTTAACTAGCTGAAAGATTTGGGGGCAAAATGGTAAAGGTGGGGGCGAAACTGTTTTACTTTAGGGGGCGAACTGGCAAGGTGGTTGGCGGTTGGGTAACCTGAATTCGATTGTAACCGAACTCCTGCTTTGACGTAAATGCTTTTCGTGCGTCGGCATTTTGAGGAAAGCAAAACATATCTTCCAGGTAGGAAAACTTCACTAAGGCAGCTCCAACAGCTGTCAGCTATATCGCTATACAAATTTCAAGCTAGCGAAAGGAATAGTGAGAGGCGTCTCAAGGATATCTGGTGTACCGTGTTCAGAATTTGATACTAAACTCCGGCACAGTGTCTTTCAGTAGCTATAAATCTCTACTGCAGTAAAACCATACCTGAGGTAGAATGAAATTTTCCAGAACTTCTTCCTCAAAAGAGGTGGCATAGAGACCAAAATATTTGAGAAGAATCATCCGGACATGTCCGTCCCTGATGGACCATAGAGTCATTAAAATGGGAATACAGTGTTCTCTAAAAGGAGATAACCAGTTAAAGCAATTTTTAATTAAGTGTAGAAAGTAATCTTGGATTCAGTTTGTTTTGCTTACCTTTGCTCTCTGATCGGCCCAGCTAACTCGCACCTTTCTCTCAGTCAATCAAATTCAAGACTAAGCCAGATCGCTATTTGATAACTCGCGATTTCCCGCGTCTCACGCGGCTTACTTGATTTGCTTTGGTTCTAATCTATTTTCCGTTTTTTTTTTTTTTTAATTGAAACGGCCGTTAGGGTAACCTCGGTTTGGGTTTTACGGCACTAAATCGAAAAGCACTCTATTAGCAAAATGTCTCTGTTTGCCACAGTGAGTACTGCACACCAGGAGTATATTTCACCTTTTTACTTAAACACAATTTGACTGCTTGGATTTTTTTAAAGAGAAATCGAGAAAATCTGCCAACAAAGATTTTGAGGAAGCCTCAAGGCCCCAACGACCTTCTCAAGTTAAATTAGCAAAATGGCTTGAAAATATGAAAGACAAATATTAAATGAGAAACATATAAATGTTACTTATTCATGTTGCTCTATGTCCTTTGAAAAGATTTTGGAAAACTCAAGAAACTGAAAAGTGCATAAAAAGCTTTATAGATCCTTAACTTCTAGAAGAATACTGAAAATTAAGAAATCCTCCCTACGTTGGAAAAACCCGTCGTTGAAATGAGGTACACTGAATAAAAGCTAAAACCTGCTACATTTTGATAGTTTGGGTGGTCTGTGGTAGCCCCACAGAAAAAAGAAACCATTACCTGAACAGTTCGTCTGGGAGAACTGGAGAGAGGTTGCTTGACTGGTAATCAGCATCATTACCATCTGGAGGTAAATGGATTATTCAGCATTTAAAATTGATTACCACACATAAAAAATTCCTGATATTAGAAGAGTTACGGAAACCCTCCAATACGGGCAAATAGACGTGAAGAACACTCTTCAAAAATACAGGCCTTAGCCAAACGAGGATCTCCCTCGCATAAAAGCGCTACACAAAGTTTTAAGTAAACCTTCATTGCATTGTGCATTATCACTTCTGGGATGATTTCTGTATGATGAGCACAGGATTATTTTACATTTGAGGATAGATAAAACAAGAGGGAGGCACTTCAGACATGCTAAATAAACCGCAAGGAGGGAAAAAACATAGCTACAGATGACAAGGAATGACGCAGATTGTAGGACTCGATCCGTGATACGGCGAGAACAAGAACAAGGAATATAAATGACAACCTGTGTGAAAGGCAAATTGTAGTATATAGCAACGATATTACAAATAGTGAAATTTATCCTGTATCTGATGAGATAAAACGTTTTCCTCAGTTCTTTCATGAACCACTGAATTATCCAACAGAACAGAATAGAACAGTTAGAATAATTCAGCTGGAATTCCGTTGGATCAATTTATTTTACGGTGACTTATAAGTCACCGTTAAATAAACATAAAAAAACTCAGTTGGTATTTTCCAACAGAGTTTCTCTCAGCTCTCAATTTAGTAAATTCTTGCAGATTTTATCTGTGATTTTCCGTGAGCAAAATTAGGTTAACTTCCACTTGCAACATTGCGTTTCACCAAAAACCTCGCTGTAAACGACGATGGGTGCGTTTTGGGTAATAAACAACACTTTACCTTTGATAGGAGTCAGGAGATGAGGGAGGAAATTTTTCTCTGCACTAGGGTCAGCCAGAACAAATCTCGACATCAATCTCGGAAGCATTCGCTTGGCAACAAGCCTTGGTGGAATTGTTGTCAACTTGTAGGCAAGAGAACTGAAACGAACACACCCTTGGTTAAATAACCTACCATGCCAAAACCCTGAACCCTTACAGCTAGGGGTGAGGCTGAGAGAAAGAATTAATTGGGGGGGGGGGAGAAGGCTTTCAATCCTGCCTTTTCCCTACACATCGCACTTCGCGTCTGTACTAAATAGTAAGTGATTCGTGACAGATTAAAAAGGTAACATAGCTGGCAGTGAGAACTCTCAAACGTATCACAGCTAGAGGGGATAATTGACATAAAGGGCAAACTCCGGGAAACAGGTCACCCCATTGGTTTTAAGGGTTAAACTTTACCTCCCGTAATGAAACTTATAGGTAACTTCCATACCTGAAGAATTTTTCTTTCTCAACATCAGTTTTAATGGTTATTTGGTTAAGAAATGTCATTATCTCCAGAAAGCCGCTCCTAATAATATTAAAAATGCCCTATAATTAAAATCTCACAAATTTCAAATTATGCAATTTAAAATGATTTTCATGTTGAAGGGATATACATTTCTCTAAGGTAGGTAGTGGTCGGGGACTAAAATTAAATAAAATTCATCAAAGTCTTTTTAAGATAGAAAAGGTGAAGATCATTATCGCCTTCACTGAAAATCATTTTAAAAAACGGTGTGGTGTAAATTTTTAGTTTAATTTGAGGCATCAACATTTTGAAAAACTTTCTCAAAGTCTTGTTACTTTCCTAGGACATTGACTAAGAACTCTTGGTCATTTTTTATCAAATTGAGAACGTTTTCTCCACTTCTGCCATCTATCAGGGAATGTATAAACCGTTTTATTCCTTTGCTATGAAGTTCCTAACCAAAATTTCAGATAAAATAAGATTAGCTTTGACAAACCTGAAGAATTCATCATCAAGAAGACTGGAAAACTGAGGCCGCATCTGGAACATATATCAAGAACGCAAGTGAACATTAATACACGAACTGCATACATAAACACATAAAATGTGTAACTGCTTGGAGGAAACTGTGATTGAGATGGAGATGACTCAACTTGTGTATGCACAAGGTAAGCAACTTTTAGCCTACAGACCCTCATAATAAACTAGAATAATTATTACTGATTATTAAAATAATTTAAAATGTCTGAAGCTCACAAACAAAGAAGTTGTCATGCCACCTTAACAAGATAGTTTTAAAAACACAAGCAAAACAAGATAAGCTTGAAGACTTGATACAGTTTTTGCTCACAATCATCAAATACAAAGGTGACATTTGTTTCTGTTGTTGGCCTCAAATGGTTCAAATTACGTAATTCATAATGTGGTTGTATCATCAGCTAATGACTGCATGGACCATGATAAAAATCATGTTGTGTAGAGTGGTTGTAAAAAAAGTATGACTGTCGCAGCTGACTAAGTGGAGCAAATATCACAGTGGGTATTTATTCAATAAAAAAGGGGAGCAAATATCACAGTGGGCATTTATTTAATAAAAAAAAGTGAAGCAAATATCACAATGGCTATTTATTTAATAAAAAAATCTGTGTATGGCGTGTAAAACTACATAAATGCCGCAATAAGCAGAAAAAGTAGTTAGTATGTCTCCCATTCGTAGGTGGTTGTCAATTCTCCACTCAACATAAAAACAGATTTACCTATTTCCCCTCAAGAAGTTAGTAACAATTTTGTCAACACCAGGAAAAAGAAAAAAAATTATGAATTTAAAAGTAGAAGAGCCACTCAATGTAGCAGTTTCATTAAATTCCTACACGATGTTGATGAAGTATTGTTTAAATCCATAAAATTAAAATGAACGGAAACCCACTAATTAAAACCAACAATAAAATGTATCCAGAGCATTAAAAATATATATATATATATATACCTGAGGATTCTCATGAAGAAATAAACTCTGCATCTTTTCTCCAAAATTTTCACCTGCATCTCCTTGGAGGAGATAAATTAAAGATATTCATTGAGTGCAAAAACAAATAAATGTGAAAAGGAATGGTCTGTTTTGAGGTTAGACGGGAATCACATGTTGAATGAACAAACTTATGCTTGTGCTGCAGTTGGTTAAAAAAACCATTGGCAACCTTTCATGGCCTGAATTTGTTGGAAAAAAAAGACCTGGGAATCAAAATTTGTATAAAAAAACTGATTCAACATTTTCAGGATTTAGAGTGGAACAAAGGTTCACACGATACATGTATCACAGGTGTTAATTAACTGACTTCAGCATTCCATGTGAATAGATCAGATCATAGTTATGGACTAATGGAATAAACATTTTCCTCTCCTTAGTTCAACATTATAAAATTGCAATTTTTCAATATCGTCAATTCGAAGGAAACATAAATAGTTACCTAAATCTGTACGAGTGTCCAAGATGTCACTGACAAACATACCAAAGCCATAAGCATCAAGGGCATGACCTGTCTTAAGACTAACATTTACTCGACCATCCTGACAAAAGAGGCAGTAAATCAAGAAGTTTTAGTAGAGATACTAGTAAAGAAAGTTTGGGGGTTATGGTGGTGATTGCTAATTGATCAGTGATGTTGTTGACACTATAATAACCTTTAAACTCCCATGTTAACACGTAACTTCTCCCTATAATATCTGTACATTATCCAGCAAACAGATAATGAGAATACTCAAACATATTAGGTAAAGGTATTTATCTTGATCTAACACCAAATTCAAGGAAATGTATAGCAGCTAGAAGGGAGAATCAAAAATCAGATCTTGGAATTTTAACCCTTTAACCCCTAAGAGTGACTGGCATCTAATTTCTCCATACCATAACACCCCTGAATCAAACATTAAGGTTGCAAGAATAAAGGAAATGATCACCAGCTACAGAAGCTCTTGATTGTTGAAAAAATTCTACTTGTTAGCCCCTTAGGAATGTATAGAAAACAGAATGGAGAATATGCATCCTGATGTTTGGATAAAAAGGGTTAATGGTTAGGGCACTGAGGTGACTTAGGTCTTCATTGCCAAAAAAGTAAGCTATTTACTTAACAGTTATGGACAGCCATTGCAGTATTGCTGGCCTTACTGATACAGGAATAATTCCTAGCTTCTAATGCTAGGCATTGTACAGTCATAGTTTCAAGAGACAACACCCTATTGGTAAAATACAAGTTACTTGAAGCAGGAATAACCTTTTCTTCTGGAGAAATAGACTTGGTGTCCCTTTGTGCTCTTGTTCCTGACAAAAACTTGAGAGACAAGAAACACATTACATCAATTTTGCAATAAAATTATTCACAATATGTTAAATTCCTATACACAGGTTGGAGAATGAATTACAAACCAATTAAGTTAGAGGGGTAAACTAAAAACAAAGCTAAATATTCTAGTACACATTTAGTTCTTAACTTATGTAGATAGGATCTTCATTTAACACTTTTGATCATGTCAATTTATCCTACCTGTTGCCCTGAATGTCTTTTGAAGTTGGTCAATTTATCCTAGCTGTTACCCCAAATGTCTTTAGAACCACTACAGCACTTTCTTAATTAATTTATGCAAAATCATCTTGCTTATAGAAAATACCAAGTGAGGGACAGAAAGAGTCAATGAACAAACCAGAACAAATTAAGAGATAACTGGATTATTGAAATTTGCCTTCATATCCATCACAAATAAAACTATGGATTAACGAGCTGTTTCATTGAAAGATTATAAAAGTTGACCATTTTTTTCCTCCATTATTAATAAAAGTAAATTCAATTTTGACATAGGAAAATTTTAGACAGTACTACATTGCCATAATTTACAATTTCACATACATGTAATTGCTAGAAGTGTAATAATACATCTTTTAAACTGTTCTAGAAAGAAGAAATTCCATCTCTCTCTCATGAGATGTAAATTAATCTACGGACATAATGTTACAAAAAAAATTTCACATAATTTTACCTCATTTGTCAATTCAGAAAATCTGCAGACATGTTCCATTCCACCAAGTCTCCATCCCCAGTCATTATCACTTACGTACACAGACGACATGCAGACATTGTTGTGTGACAGACCACCCTTAAAATTTCAAGAATAGAATGTTACAAACCATCATAGAATATGCATCTGAACAGAGTTAGAGTTATAAACCCTTGTGAGGAGCGATAAACCCTTCTTTTAACCCTTTCACTCCCACAAGTAACAAGACAGAATTTCTCCTTACAATATCAATACAATATCAAGCCTAGGTGATGAGAATAGAGAAGAATATCAATCATGGGATTATTAGTTGATCTTTCTCTGAACTAACATCAAAAATTGGAATGATCTTGGGAGTGAAAGGGTTAACAAAACTGGAATGAGCTTTAACAGGGTGAGCTTGTGAGACCTTACCTTACACAATTGTCCAGTTCATAACGGGCAAAGTTGCCCTCTGAATTATACACAATAGCATCTTATTTTAATTACAAAATGTCTGTTGAAGACATGGAGAGCCAACCTGCCACACACTTATTGAAACACCCACTTTTATAAACATTTGTAAAAGGGTAGGTCCTAAATAATTATTTTCCGCTTGAGCAAGCAAGTTACACATGTTGAAAAGTTTCTGAGGAATCCTTGCCTAATTTTAATGGTAGTACTTGTGGGGCTAACTTCTTACTAACCTCAGCTACATGTACCAGGGAGAAAGGGCAGTGCCTCAAGATTAGATATTTTTCTGACAAACATTTTTGACCAGAAGTTTTCAGCTGAGAGCACTGATATTTGTATTGTGATGTTCTGCTACCCATAAAATTAGTTAGCATCATGAAAGGAAGGTTTATTTTGCTAGCAGAACAGTTTATGTGTTAGGGTGCAGTTTCATTCTTAGGTTTGTTTTTGTGCTAATTAAGTGTGTGACTTTAGTGTGACTTCAGTATATAGAGAGTTTGCCAAGTGAATATTTTAGTTCGGCAGTTGTGTTAAGTTGCAACTGGTTATAACAGTTTTCTTAGTCCTTGGAAATGGCAAGATATAACAATCAGTTTGAAAAAGAGGAAAGTGACATTTCAACTACTGCCAATGTTTGAACTAAGGATTAACATCAATCAAATAATACTAAAACAATCTCAACACAGGTACTAAAAATAAGAACTTAAAACAGATCACTCTCTGGCAAAAGCATGAAATAACTCTTGGACTTACCCTCTCATGCAAAAATACTAGAGCTTCAACAACATTATAGAGTCCAGCAATTATCTCCATTGTGTCTAAACTCTTTATAACAGATTCTAAAGGCCTGACTGGTTCTGTCACCATACAAAACTCTTCTGAGTTATCATAGGACCAATGGTGTTTAAGAATGGCTGGATGTTTAAGAGTTTTGAGACACTGAAAAAGAGACATTAAGTTATGCATGTAAAAATGATTATCTCTTTCCTCTTTCCCCAGTGAAACTATTGTATTGTGATGATAAGAAAAATTTTGTGTCATGATTTATCCTTAATCATTTTTAATCATTTATCATGAATTAGTAATGATATCAGGGGTTTTAATAACTCATAAGCAGCTGTGGATGGCACGGTAAGCGCCCATGCCAGGAAATGGCATAGTAAGCTAATACCAATCACAAGAGCCTGCTCTCCAGCAAAACAGATGGTGCTAAGGTAGACCACTGGTAACCTTCTCTTAATGAAACTCCTTGATATCATTACAAAATTGACCCATTGACAGTGGTTTAACATCATCTGTAATCTTGTTGACGATGATATTCATCACAGTAGTCAAAATGTTGTGGAATCGCAAGATGCAGCTGATTCAGTGCTCAACAAAAATTTTGACCATAGTGTAAGAAATATCATCGTCAATAAGAGTAAACACCACTCTAAACCACTGTCTATTTGTTTTTTACTACAATATCTATGTCAGATAAACAGTCATTCATGTTTGAGAGTTGTTAACCCTTTAACTCCCATGAGTGACCAAGACAGAATCTCTCCTTACTATATCAATACTGTATCAACCAAATAAGTGATGAGAATAAAGAAAAATATCAATCTGGGGATAATTAGTCGATTCAATACTAAATTCTCTGAACTTATATTATAAGAATGGTATGGTTGAGAGTAAGGAGAATTACAAATTTGATCTGGGAGTAAAAGGGTGAAAGGCATTGCATGACAGGTTTGTGCCAGCAGTACTGTCTGTAGTCTTATTGACAACAGCAAACTCACCAATCAGATTGCAACATTACTGCCCATTGAGTTAAAATTCCTTTTTGGCTCTGGGCACAAGATATTTCTTTTTACAGGTTAGATTAGTTGGCATTTCCTGTACAACTACGTTGCACAATGACTGATTTTTTTGTAACAATAAATGGTTTGAAGCAGGGAATGACAGTGCATCATGTAGTTGATCATCCAGCATGGGTGAGGGAAGTCCTGAAATAGACTGTTGTCAGTATACTATGTAAGATACTGATGTTTCTGCCCACAACATCAAAGGAACATATCATCAAAGTCAATTGCCTGACTGTAACCTGACTTGATTTTGATGACGACTTATAAGGTTTTGCAAATTTCAATCACGAAAATTAACGACAGTTGCTTTCAGAGTTACCCTCACAAGGATGATCAGACTTTCAGTGGACGTACATCATTAACGAACGTTGTTTTTTCAGGCAAAACCTCTAAGGCTGACGTGACATGACGTGACTCATTACCCGGTATAATCTGCCTTACCTGTGCAGCTTTAGAAATCCTTTCATAATCCCTATTCTTTTCCTTCCCTTTCTTCTCATGGACAAAAACAGTAACTTTGAGGCCATCTTGACTCCTTCTCGCTGTGTAAATACTCCATTCTTTGCTATTACATTCGACAGGTTCATCCAGCTCGTAATCCTTTTCAACACTACATTCTGATCCCATGGCAAGCCAATCGCACCATAAATGATTCAACCCAACACAAAGTATATGTTCTTATTTTTTTGCCAGTGGATAATGTAAGACGAACCATTCATTAGTGAGCGTGACGTACGTCGAATGACACGTGAAAAGAAAAACTTCTCAAAACACCACGACGAACAGCTATTTTTTTAAACTTTCAAATGTTCAAGGATAAACTTCTTGGATGAAAAACGGAAGACTTCACTTTGCCATCGTGGAAACGGAAAAACATAAGATTTGAGAGGGATCCTTACAACCTAAAGTCAGCAGCCATGTTTGGGAATATGCGCTCTACATATGTCAGCGGTATATGCGTACTTTCTTCGAATCTCGGGGGTGGGGGGACTAGTTTGATCTTCAACTCGTTCGTGTTAACGTCACTAAGATGACAAAGATCATGATGAAAAGCCTTGGATCTAATAAGTTATGCAAACTATTAGAAGACGAAGGAAGTAGATGATAGGTAAATTTGTACATGTACCGTAACTGAGAATCTGTAGGCTGAAGAGAAGTGCGCTGATCGTAATGCAAAACATAGGAAGCATAATTATTCCGAGCCTGCTAAATAATTATACTTACATTCGTGATGTCGGTTGTCAGTACTCAGGCTATATACCTGCTAACTTTTGTCGCAAATTTACGAGACATGCAAGCATTCTTTTCATCAAAGCCGACTTGAGGGTCCAAAATAGACTTTTTCAATCCCGCATCCCGCAGCTATTCTTCATCCCGCCATTCCACTGCAATGAACATTTTTATCCCGATCCCGCCGGATTAAACCAGAGTTTCTTTAGCTCACCACCAACTGATTACGTACTCTCGTCATGGAGAAAGGCAAGGACTTGCTGAACGCATACTTAACGCACATTTAAGCCTGGATAAACATTGCGCAAGGAAAAGCAAAAACAAAAAAAAATTCCATCGTTTGATAGGGAAAAAAATTGTGTACTTCTTGGTACAACCTGATCGATTCGTAAACTCTGCAAAAGACGATTTCAATATAATATATGGTTAACATAACATAAACCTTCACTCATATCTGTAAACTAAGATCAACAGTTTAAAATGTTTTTGTGAAAAGTTCATAAAGTTCTGCTGTTATCCTCAACTCCCTTCTGTCGTTTTCCTTCTTCGTGTAAAGATCTTGGAGTTTAGGAGTCATAAAAAACATTTTCCCGAGTAAGAAGAACATAAAATCCCAATTGTTCGTTCTTGCTTTCTTTTCTTCAATTCAGTACCTTCCCCCCTTAACCCTGAACTAAGACTAGAAGTATGATTGTGTTAACTTAAACAGTACATATGCAGCTACTGCATTAAAAACCAGTTAATGTGTTCCGCTCAGCGTTTCTAGCCGGCGGTTCAGGCATCTTCTCGTCTGCCGCACTTTTCTCTTCTCTGACTTCCACTCCCTTTCGTTTACCCGTCATTTCTTGGACGGCAAAATACAAGTTGGCTCGGAAGACGGCATCTCTTTTTATTAGCTCTCTTTTGGCTTGAGCTTTCAGTTGAATTCTTTCAACTTCTTGTTTCGCCCGCTGGCACATCTCCTCGACTTTTTCCAAGTCGTCAAAGTACTTGTCTGAGCGCTGCTTGAGTTCGCGGAATTCTCTTTCACATTTGCCAACAAAACTTTTGTCTTTATAAGAAAGATTCCGCGAAGATTCCATTCTGCTTTTAATCGAAGTTGAAGCCATTTTTCGTTATGGAAACTTGCAATTATTCAAAACGATTTTTCTGCAAAAAACTTGCAGCTTAAAGGCTGCTGATAGAAAGTTGTCTCCTTTGCGTACGCCAACTTTTCAACAACTAACGTAACAACGGATTTATTTTCTTTGTTGTCATAGCGCGCGCTTTTACAGGAGGAAACGCTCGCGCTCACGCTTAACTGCATGCTTTTTGCGTACTGCATAGGAAGCGGCGGTTTTCATGGTCAGCGCGCTAGTCTTCTGAAGGCCTTGGTTAAAACTCTCATCAGGTCATAGCAACGGATCTTATCGCTCGGAAGTTGATTCGCCCGGAAGTCGATTCACATGAAATGATTGTGACAGGGTACTACGGTTTTATTATATCAGATGACGCGTCCCGCCCCGCTCGCGCAATCCCATCGAAAATCACAGTGAAAGCTGACGTGTGTAGGGCCGGACGGGTTACGTGAACTACGACCCCTTCACGGGAAAAAAAATAGCTCGGAGCTTAATTCATCTGTCAGCTTTCCGTATTTAGTGTGTCCGCTTCTTTACCCAAATAGAGTATTACCTTGTGAGGTAAATAAAAAGTAATAATTCGATTAAAGAAATAAACTTTGAATTTTCACCGAAGTTCGCTTTGAATTTTAAGTTTAACTTTTTAAAACCTTACAAGCTCTTAATCCATGACTTACGCAAGAAACAGCAGGCGAGACGATCATGAACCTTGGGGGTGGGGAAGAGGAGGAATAGCACTACTACTGAAAACAAGATAAGCATTGGTAATTAAGTTGAATGATCATGCTCCTGTTCAAATTTAATTTTTGTGGCATTTGAAAATTTATACGTAGAGTAGTCGCCTGAGGAATTTAAAAACTTTATTTACAGCCCAATCTCAGAAGTGAAATTTTAAGGACGTTAACGGGCCCTCCTCCAACAGGGAAATATAAACAATCAAATCTTGCCATTTTGAACAATGTGATAATATCCAACACATCCAAAGCCTAAAAAAATCCTTTTGAGCAAGTGGCATTTAGCACAGCAACAACCATTGTTAAGAGTCTTCAAAGAACCGCTGATAACATCATAAAGAAAGGGGCGTTTACTCAGACGTACTAATGAGAGCAAAATTATTACGAAGGCGGGAAAATCGGACATAATAAGGGTCGTGTAAACACTTGTAACTGTTACGGAGAAAACTCGACGTACTACGGAGTCATTTGGGCCTGTCAACCCCAGTTTACACGGTAGCATCAATTAAGCCTGTTTCTAAAGCAGATAATACTTTCTGATGTCTCTGAAGCCCGGGGTGACGCGTAACTTGGGCTTCATTATGATCCCGCCTATGCTCGTCTTATTCCCTATCCCGCCTCCGAAACGGAGCACATCCCGGTCTCGCCCTCCAATTTTCATACCGCATCTCTCGTATCCCATATCCCGCCTCGATTTTAAGCCTCATCCCCCATCCCGCCAAACCTATGTTGGACCCTCAGACTTTGTACAGTCGACTCAAACCGAAAATGTCCCGAAGAGTTCCGTCCCAGACTCGTCTACAGTCGGGACTTCAGGACCCACGACAGTAAGGGGAAGGGTGAGGATCTAACCTATGTTAGACCCTCAGACTTTGCACAATCGACTCAAACCGAAAATGTCCCGAAGAGTTCCGTCACTTACTCGTCTACAGTCGGGACTTCAGGAACTAGGGCAGTGAGGGGAAGGGTGAGGATGGTTCTTCTCTATCTCTGCTCGATAGGTGTGGGTCGCCCAAAGGCTTTCAGGTTTGTAAGGGTTCTCTAAGAAAATTAAAGTATGTCTTTCAACTCCCAACGAATAATATAGAAAAGGAAGTAATGAAAATAAATAAAAGAAATGGCAATTTGGTAATGAACACTTCACCAGGTGGCTCTTCTTGTTCACTGTTTCCAGACTGAACTGGAACTTAAAGTGTTGGTTTTTGTGGACGGATGAAAATTGGAGGACCCGGAGAAAAACTCTCAGAGCAAGGACGAGAAACAATAACAAACAAAACCCACATGTGACGCCATGTCCAGCCAAAGTGGCGGAAGTAATTTAGTATTATCAACTGAGTTGGTAACGTAAATTGGCCACCGTAAAGAATTTAAAAGCTGACGTTTCGAGCGTTAACCCTTCCTCAATCGCTGTGACGACGGGCTAACGTTCGAAACGTCAGCTTTTAAATTCTTTACGGTGGCCAATTTACGTTATCAACTCAGTTGGTAATGCTAAATTACCTTGATATTTTCTCCCACCGGCGCAGAACCACAGTTTCTCTAGAAACTCACCCCCTTTATTTAAAGTGGCGGAAGGCGAGCTCTCTCACCATTGCTTCATCCCCGCTGGCTCCAGAAATCCAAACATATCACGTTTTTCGAGAAATTTTTGCGGTAAAGCCAATTTGAGGACCTGCAGGATGTATATTAGACGGAATTTAAGTAAATCAGCTCGGCGAAAAAACGCTTGACAGCAACAGTTTTGTAAAGAGAGGTTACTCAGTCTTGGGGCTCTTTCTCATGTTACGCACTCAGGCAGACACCCCGAAATCTGAATGTATTCTATGAACCAATAATTTGCGCTCCGTCGCCAGTGAAGTGCTCGCTTATAATTATTTTTGTCCCGTTTTGGGTCTCCAGGTGATTATATCTATTTTAGCAATTTTCTTGCAAGCCTACATGGGCGTCACTTTACCAGATGGGAAGATTACGCTCCGTCTTTCTTTGTGAGTCGTATAAACGACTTTTCCGAAATCGCTCATACGTTCATTTTACCTTTTTCTAGTATTTCGTGGGAAGAAGCAAAAGGCGGAGATTGGAGTTTTTTTTCCGGGTATTTGACATCGTCACTTTGTCCTTCCATAAAAAGTGAAACGGAACACACTCACTGCACTCGATCAGTATGTCAATCTCCACTTTATCAATTCTTATAATTCAATAATTTTACTTATAATTTTCATATAAATAATGAGTTTGACTTAAATTGTCATATTCAGTGTTTAACACAACCATTGCAATAACAAAAAATATTTTCACATTCCTTCGACAGAAGAAATATCTGATGAATGAAGATTCTTCAAATTAACTTCCTAATCATTATGCCTTGCCAGATTCTTCAGCTCGGACGTATTTCTCCCAGTCACTTTCCTTTTCAAATTTCTTGCAAACCTCAAACAACTTCTTTACTGTCGTCTTAACTTCTTGTTTTCCTTTTAAGAGAGAAGCACGTAAAGTATTAAATGCAGCACGACTAAGTAACGCTGTGAGGTGTCATTCTTCAAGTAAGACATACAGTCGACTCCTGATAACTTGAACCTTCAAGGGAAACTGAAAAAGGTTCGATTTGTATTTTCAAAAATTGTAAAAAAAAAATTGTATTTTCAAGTCGTCGTGTGCAATCTGTGTCAATCTTATGCATTCTACAACATTTTCTTCACACCTCTTTGGTGCTTTGCTACACAAGAAAACTGTCATTTAAAGAGAAACTTCTAACCCCAGGGAACCATTCAAGGCTTCGAGGGAAGAGTTGAAATAAGGAAGTACCTGCTAATTGACACTATGCAGAAAATGCCGACAGTGAGCATATCGGCAGGAACTTACTTGAAGAAGAAGACGCTTTGCCAGATCCCATGAGTCTGTGAGTGATGCAGCGAGCCAAAAACTTAAACAAGGCCTGTTATAATTTAAATCGTAGGATACAATAGTGAAAACATTAATGTGTTGGAAACTACAGGCAATTGTGCTGCTCTAAACATGAAAAGCCTTCTGTAAGATTGCTCACTAGCATTTACTATTCAACAGTGTGGGGTAGGCAGAAAAGTCAGAGGACCGCATATACAGTTTAAGTCAGTCATTGGAGCGAAGGACAGGTTTAAAATAACTAAAAAAAAATACCCGGCAAAGTTTAAGATCGTATTCAAATTTCGAGACAAGCTGACTGTTGGATGATTTAAAGAAGTAGTAACGAACCAATAGTTTGCAGGTTACAGTGAATCCATTAAGGAGAACTAGTAGGTTAAGAAATATTCTCAACTATCGATAACTTAGAAGTCATTATGAATAGCAAGAACACTGAAAAGGTTTTATAAAAATAACAAACTAAGCGCTTTCCATTTTTCGGCGTGGCAAAGAAAAAAAACTCGCGTCGGTGGCTTTGATAGAGAATTGACTTTTCTGTCTTAATCCCAGTTCCCTCGCGGTTCCAATAAATACATTCAGGAGTAATGCTGGAACTTACCTTGGAGGTAATAGAGCCTTGTTTGAGGTAGGGAGACAAGTACTTAACAACCACATTCGCAACATCCTTTACACCCACAGAGTCTCCTGGCGAGACATTACCATGGATACCAAGTGGCGAGCCATCACTAGACCCTTTCTGATGAACGCCTTCGTTAGAGGCCGTAGTGTTTGTCTTTAACGAAGGACGTATGTTCAGCAGAAGCTTGTCCTTGGGTGAACAACTTTCAAGCATTTGCCATGGAACTGAATTTGTATCATTAAGCTTGAACGAGGCACTTTTGCTGACGCGTTTCAAAGGCTTCAACTCCGACGCTTTGCTGAAGAAGACGTCACTGGAAGTCGCAGCATTTTCAGTTTTACTACGATGTTCTGAATTATTATCTTCTAACCTGGTTTTCTTACGAAGAGGTGAATCTTCCAACCACCAAAAGCCCTTTTCAAAGATAAATGGTAAACAGAAAAACACTAACAAAATTAGCTATTTACATGATTAATTGATGGCCTGAATTTCAAGCAGTCAGAGGGAAAAACCCTCTACTTTCCAAACCGAAAAGGGCAACCAACTGTTCACCAATGTTTAAACAAGGTAAGGGAGAGGAGCACCAACCTCTGACGCAACTTGTTTGTGATTTTTACGCTTTTTAGCTGACTTTCTTGCACCTTTTCCTACGTATCGTGATTTTGGTGGCTCTTGCTCGGGCGGCTGCTGCGGTTGCTGCAAGGGTTCTTCTTTGACTTCACTATTACTACTGTATTCAAAATAAACAACTGAATATAAAAATAAACGAATGACATTACGACAATTCCGTGTCATCAGTTTCAAATTCAAGTTAAGGCACACTATACGCATTCGTTGAAGTGGGAAAGACGCGCGAAAGACGTACAAAAGATGCAAATGACTAAAATGCAATGTGACGCGCAGAAATACTTTGTTTCTCTCTAACGGAGTTAGACTGAGTGTCATATTTGGGTATCGTCCTTAATGAAGAAAATTCTGTACATTAAAAAAATTAGTATGGTGAATTGTTCACGGTGACCAGTGGTGATGATTTCACTAGGATCGTTTCTGTTTAGTGATTGTGGGTGTCCCGCTGGTGTGTCTCAACAACAACATGCCTTTTGTTTTTCTAATTCATTTGCATGAAGTTGATAGAAACCTTACGGTCGCTAGAATCTAACTAACTACAATAAGTCTTAACTCTACCCGATTTCGAAGAAGTACTTTATTGTTGGAATCACTCTACGAATGGGAGCCTACAAGACACAACATCAAAACATAAATAAAAGAATAAAATAAGAGCAAATATAGACCATTAGTACAATTGATACGGATATTATAAAGATGCATGCGCCCTGATTGGTCGAGGATTTCGTCATACCTCGATATAATCACCTTGCGCGTTCCTCGCGCGAGATGATCATAGCAGGAGCGCTAAATTTCAAAATGGCTGCCTCACGTTTTGTCAGTGTTACCAGGAAGCGATGAACGCGATGGAAGAAAATTCCATTTCAAAGAGCAAAAAAAAATGCTGCTGGGTTTGGCGGAACACTTTAAAAAAGAAAGATATGAAGTTCTCTCTGACTGAATTAAATAAAACTGCTAAGACTCAACAATATTCACTGAGCCTTTGACGAATAATTGTTAATTGGTTTGCCTGATTATCGCTTCCTTGGCATCAAAGGAGCCATTGGTTGGAGAATTACCTTAACTGGTTGTTTGGATTCAGCCGGCTCTTTTGTTATGGCATCACTTGATTTCTATGTGCAGAGAGAGATACAAACAATTTCAAAGTGAAACAAAAATAATTCCGTTAAATCTTTTTAAACAGATTTTTAATTGTTCCAACAGATCGGCCAGAGATGAAAAAAAAACAAAAAAAAAAAAAAAAAAAAAAAAAAGAGAGAGACTGTCTTGACTTACAGGTTGGCGGCCAGGTTACAAAGAAAAATTTTACATGGCGGTGACCATAGTATTTTTTTTGTTTTGCATATTTGAAAGCAATTTTTGAGTGACATAGAAGAAGTAAAATTAAACAGTTACTAGGGCACTTTTACCGCTTAAATTTAACCTAAAAAAAAACATTAAGACGTTAGTCGTGCTAAAACAAAACCAATTTCCGTTGTAAATAGTGTCATTATTGCAGCTGCAGTAGACATGGAGTACTGCCAGTTAGAAGGAGACCTAGCATATAGTTAGAAAGAATAATAATGAATCAAGCGGTGACGGATTTTCGTGCTTTAATTAGACAAGCCTGTTGTGACAACGCCAATACTGAAGCACTAATTCTTGAAATGACGGTCTCAGAATTATTTTATGAATAATGCCGACGAAGAAAGAAAGAAATACGCGATGGAAACTCCACCTACCATCAACTGTAGTGCAGACACAAATGAAGTGCATCCCATGTTGTCCCTCTTCTCTGTTTCCTGGAACAGTGAAAATTTATTTGAGCGGAGAGTAACACTTATACAAAATGGTCATAATGGAGACCTTCAGATTTTAGGACGAGTACAAGTAGGATTTTCCACGCAAAAGCATCTTTTGTCCTGGAAAGTGCGATCACTGTCCTCAGCAGGAGCGAAAACAGTATACAACACAAAAGAGGTATTGTGAACCTCGCGGTTTTATTTTTTTCCGATCAAGAAAGGGCTCCACTGCCTCCCGATTGACGCGCCAAGTTTTTTGCTTAAAAAGACAAAAATGATGCTTCCTAGGGTGTTATTCTTCCCTATAAAATGGTTGCGACAACTTTACAAATGGGGTATAAAGTGGTCTGAAATTGCATTGGTTTTTGCCTTTCTCTGTTCTGTGATTGGTCCAGAAAAATCCCGCCACCATCTCAGTTGCAATATTAAAACCAATCGCGATTTGATAATCCTGATTTCCAGCATTTCAGGCGGTTTGTTTCATCGTTTGTTTGAGATCGCATTGGCTCCTTGTCATACGTTCATCGTTCTGATTGGCTGTTCCTATTGTTTTGTTTGTGGTTTAAGAGATGACTCCTATCGGACGAAGTAGTAACACAGACACATACCTCGTCGAAGTCTCCGTTTTTTTCATCCATAACTGAAGTTGAAGATGTTGTGCTGTTCGAATAGGCTCCATCCCAAACAAAAACGCTGCCATTACTTGAACTAGACTTCACCTCACTCACCTAAATTAAGTTAAACCAACAATCATAATAAATGTAACCGCTACAGTGCTAGGACATTTGGTGACTATAAAATGGAAGAGAAAGGACTCTAAGTCACTCGTAATACGACCATAAGCAGTACTGAATGAACAAAAACATATTGCTTACATTGAAAAGGAATTCAGCCACAAAAGAGTTGGATTTGTACATCGATATGGCCAAGTACGGTGCAACAGTATGGCTGATGCTAAGTTACCTACCCCAACTTGTTTGTTTTTTTTTAATATCGAACGCATCTAACTCCAAATATGGCAAAAGAAAGATCAAATTTGGATAAGAAAGGGAAATGACTACCGAAACTGAAATGGCCACGATTTAAGAACATTAATTCATGGTACCTTTTTAAGCATGGTAGTTTTGTATCCGATATCAGTCTTGCTATTCTTGAAGATAGTATGTTCAATGTCAACCAGAGTGGACTCCATCTCAAACAATAACCTTAAGAGGACAAAAATAAAAGGGAAAAAGTTAAGCATATCAATATCTCGTCTTCGTCGCAGTTGCTGTTCGGGTTGTCGGCCCAAAAAACGGCTGTGACTGTGATTGTGTTTCTCGATTGTACTGCACAGAGAGCGCAGTGAAAGCAATCTGCCATTTCTGTCACTCATAGAGCTGTCACCAGAAGTCAAGGAAACTTCGTCGTCTTCTTTGCGAAACCGGTTTGATGCAACAAGAAACGCTGGGACATAAATGTTTGTCGATTTTTACTTTTTCGATTAATTTTTTTCAGCATCAGGTAAGTTGTAAGAGAAAATCCTTCTCGCAGATTTGCGTGATTTTTCCTTTTCCTTTTTCGACATGTGAGGTAATTGACACAACACAACTCGACGCCATCTTAACTTACAAGCTGAGTGCACAAAGTGATGTGGTTAGGACAAGTTTTGAAACTCTAAGGCTGTTACCCATGCAAGACTACAAGTTTGTTTAGTAACAGAACAAATTCGTGATCGTATTTAGGCATACCTTGCAGAATTGTCCATTTTGGCACATTGATTTATATTTGCTTTCATTGCTTCGTCCAACAGACCGAAACAATGTTCTCTCACCTGAAACAAAAATAGGGATAGAGTGAGTGCATACAAAGGGTTAACAATTTCTTGGTCTAAAGAGCTCGTCTGCCTCAAAAGCTGACGGCCACACTGCTTCCCGACATGGAGAGAGCAGAGCCGGAAGAAGCTTTTTTGAGACAAGTTCTACACGATGATGAGATTTACCCAGACTTTACAATCCTACCTGGACGGAGAGCTTTGGAATATGTAAGTAATTTGTCGCTTCTTTGAGACGACAGTCAGGACCTATTGCAAACGAAAAACGAAAAAATATGGTTGGTACTGCAAGGGCATGGCCAGGATTTTTTAATAGAGGGTCTTTGATTAGCGCCCTTCCGTCAGTCAGGTCTGCCATATTTTTTGGTGCTTTGTCGCAAGCACGCAAGAACCGAACTCAAATCGCAAGCATCCATGATTGAAATTCTTCTTGAAAGATACAGATCCAACTTAAGAAAGGTACTCCCATGAATGCGAGATTTTTACGATTCCATCTGAGAAATAACTGCAATCCTGCATTTTCTGCGAAAATAGCTCTGATTTGCTTTTTTTATAAGGAAACTACGATCTTTTAACTCCAAAGAATTAATTATTAAACTTACTAGGTGATTGGTGACTGATCGAAGAGAACTGAGGCTGTCCCTGCACAAGTAAAGAAGAGAGATTAAGAATGAATTTTGATGCTGAACTTTGCACTTATTAAAAATAGCTGAATACTACATGTTACTCAGTTAAGTAAAGCGCTGAATACTTAATTACACAACTATGAGTTTGAGGCTGTAATGTTTTACTTCTTTGGAGATTAAGACAGCTGGTATTTATTTAGCAACGAAGCTAAACTAACAAGACTGTGGAGGTAAAAAAAGGAGACACCAGGGTTTTGCTAGAAAAAGAATCTTTACCTCCAAAGAAATAAGAATTTCCCAACGAGAGTTAAGACTTTGCGAGAAACTACGTCTTTCCTCGAATGATAAGTTAAGGCAAGTGCTATAATTGTGGGACGTTGACTGCGCATAGAAGGACGTTGACTGCGCATAGAAGAACGTTTTCAAGCATTGTACCACCATATTTCAACCTTTCAGACCAGATTGGTCCAGATTGCTGTGCTCTGTTTTGCTCCTAGATTATTTGGATTTTGCTCCACTTTGCCTTGTGATTGATTGGTCAAGAAAACTCGCGTTACCCTCTCAAACAACCAAATGCAAAATTTAATCCAATCGCGACCTGTTTACTTGCGTTTTTCCGCAATTCAGACAATTGGCTTGTATTTACTAGAGCTCCCTCTGTCACCTTGTGAGTAATTCCTTTGCTCTGATTGACTGCTGTGAATACATTGGTTTTCGCTTTACACATTTAATTGAAAAGCGTTCTTAAAGCGCGCAAGTTTTTTCGTTGAAAAGTATCTTTCGTGTTGGTAACGTAACTGCGTATTCATCGTTAACATTACCCTGCGGCGTTTCCTGAACTCATCCGCGATCAGTTTACATCGGAAAGCACGTTCCTCCTCACTGGCTCCTGCACCGCTATCATCATCATTGTCTTCGTCTTCAAATACCCTGGAAATTCCAAGCATCAAGATATCATAGGACTATTCGTGTGCACTCCGTAACAGCGAAGAAGTAACAGAACAATACCTTACTCCATCTAAACTCAGCACCACTGCCTTACCAGTGACAAAAGATAAATCTACCCGACAGATAGAAATAATTAGATTTTTAAACGGCATAGGCTACTGGTTGTTACTTTCAGCAAGTACTCCTTTTCGCACGATGAAACACCATAAATCGTCTCAAAGAAATCATTGGTAAAGCATCTACGGTCATTTTTCTTAAGAATACTAATAAGCCATTAGAACCCAGCGTGTTTACCATCTCAAAAGGCCTCCACCATTTTGCTCCAGAGCCAACACTAAAGTTGCATCTATTGAAGCTGCGGACTACACTTCGTTTGAATATACATTAATTTATTTCTCTACGACCTATCAAAGTTTCACTTTGAATTTTTCTTAAAATTTCACCGTAACTACTGTTTGGACTTAGAAGAGTTCAAACCTCATGTATTATATATGTTATATATTCTTACTTTCTGTCGTATCCCCACTTTCCTCCTCCATAAAGCTCATCATCTTCTCCGCTCGACAGACCGTAAGCAATGTACGTTCTTCCAGCGGTCACGTTCCTGTTGCGAACTGCTATAACTCCGCGGCGCCAGTGATCCACAAGATTGTCTACTGCATCAGGATCTTTACAGTAGTCACAGCCTTTGGGACACTGTGAATAAAGAGACGAGGAACTCTATTTTGAAAAAGGGTAACATGGCAAGGGTTAAGCATGGTTTTCCATACGCTACAGGCCCACCATAATCGCTTTGGTTTCGCTTTAAAAAGCTCTGTGATGGTTTCGAAACTCACGTGACCCCTCAACCTGAATCAAATGGAAGAGTGAAACTAGTCGCGACTTGGTCACTTGCGCTTTCCCGCGCTTGAGCTTTATTATGAATTCTCTTTGGTTCTGATTGGCTGTTGGGCTCTGGTGTAAACACGCTTAATCAAACCGCGCTCTACGTTGACTAACTCATGAACGCCTAAGCACACTATACTTTGAAGAAATGTAACATCCTTCTCAACGATACTCCACACTAACTTTGAGATGCCGAGATCCATTGGTTGATTCTCGGCCACCTACACTCGCAAATCCGAGAGGGGTGAGCATCCACCAGATTCTCCTCTTAACAATTGCGTATTTTAGCGAGCATCAAGTACGCTTCGAAAAACAAACAAAGAAATAGACAAGCGAACAAAACAAACAAAACATTTAGTACGCTGTACTTAGACGAACCTTTGGTTTGCTGTCTCCAAAATAAGACGCAATCGTAGCGTGTCTACAGCTGGAATATAAAGGCAATGAACATTTTAAATCAAATTCTTACACCGTAAAAAAAAAATACTAACCACTGTTATGAACTTTCTCTCGGTCAGAGATGTTGAGAGTTAACAAGCACTAACGCAGAGGAACCAATAAAATATCATTGTCCTTACCTGGGTTGTTCGCAATATTTTACAATTGCCTCGTAACTAGACTGAACTGCTTCATCCTTCCTTCCACTAGACAAAGCACTTTGCTACAAGAAAACAAACTGCCATTTAGAAAAGTTTACCTTGCGCCCCACGTACAGAAAAAGCTATGCTATTAAGTCATGTTGCGCAAAGTATCGAATTTGGTTGGACTCGTGCAGAATGACATTTAGTATGGACAGAGGTAACTACTCTTGGCCTATTCCAGATGTTTGTAGCATACTGATTTCTCGAGCAATTGAGCAAGACACTTTACCCTTACATTACCTCTATCTTACAAGGAGAACAAATGAGAAGCAGTAAACTAATGGCAAATCGTAATGGAAATAGCCTATGATGGACAAGGAACCCATCCAGAAAGAGTATTTACCCTCCTAATTGCATTTTTTTTTCAAAAGGTAATTGGCCAAAAGGTTTTTTCAGAGAGTCGTTCTTCACAATGACCATGTGCAAACATGAGATAAGCTTTAGCAATGTGTAGAACCCTTAGCCCTTGCACAAATCTAAACGCATCTAATCCACAATTTATTGAATGCGTGAATAGCGAGCCTGACAACTACAGTGTGCCTCCGTGTAATGTTTAATAAATGCTGACATATTCCTTCAGTTGTGGATTATAAAAAATAACCTTTCAAACAAGGAAATCTTCAATCACCATCAAATTTTAAGGAATATGTACATCACTTTCCAACTTCAAAACAACAAGCACAATGAAGTTTGAAAGTTTTCAATTGCGGGCAGAACTACAATTACAGGTTGTACTTTGGGAACATTTTTGTCCCATTAATCTTATTTAAACCTCTACCTTCTTTTCCTTGATTCCTTTTTTAATGAGAAAAAATACCTGATCCCTTTCAAGCCTGAAATCAGGGGCAAAAATAAATGAAATTCCAATAGATTTCCTTGTAACAATCACTACCAGTTCTTCTGAGAGAGTTACTTTATCAATAAGAATATCATGAAATGCTGTCAATAGCACAAAAGGTGATAGGTAATTAACAGTAGAGGTAAGACAAAATTATATAGATTTTCATTGACCACACAGGAAACATCACAAACCACTCTGACTCACTTGGAATAATACAATCTGCAGAAGGAGGGTTTTCCATCCCTTCCAGCTCTACCTGACTCTTGGTAGTACCCCTCCATTGACTGTGGCAATGTCCAGTGCACAACAAATCTGGAATAGTGACAAAAAGACAACAAGTTGATGAGCTGTAACTGAAAATAAGAAGGTGTCTCTTAGTAAAGAAGAAAAAATTACAAAAAATGATCAATGCATGTCACCTTAATGTCTTCATGTAAGGTAAAACGAAATTGTTGCTAAACATTTTTACAAAACTATGCATTTTCTGCAGTGATGTCTACCATTACAATATGAAAACCTTATAACCACTGTCTCACAGTCCAAATTTTTAGTAACCTTCAATGGTACCTTCTCCCCTTTCCTACAAGCTTCTAGTCAGAATATCATCTCTTGACATTTAAGAAAACAAAATTAAAAAAAAATTGTAATGGCCACTTAGAATTAAGGCTAATAGCATATATATCCAATACACTTGTCTAGAAAAAGATTATTTACCTCACGGAGGATTTGTCAACTCCCATACCAAAACTTATAGTAGCCACAATAACTGAAACTTTTCCATCCATCCACTCCTGCTGGACCTCATCTCGTTTAGCTGGTTTCAAACCTGTGTCAAACACTTGCATTACAATCTGTGCCAGTGCCAAAGATCATGCTTTATAGAAACATACTCAGGAAATTTTAGAAATAAAAAAGAATCTGAATTGAAGTGAAAGATGGGGAAGCAAACCCATGCAATGCTACATTGATTGCACCCATCAAGGGTTCTGTTAACCAAAGGGTAAAGAATGACATTATCCAACAGATAAATGACTATCCAACAGATGAGCTAGTGTTAACAAAACACACTGCCCTATCCACCCACCAAAGATTTATTCATATACTTATACTGGTAAACTATCAGTGAAACCTAATGAAATTCTGAGGGTTACATTCTTAAACAAGCATCCAATCCAAGGAGAGAAAAAATAGTCCAAGTCACCTCACTCAATATAGAAACTGAGATACACTCCAGCCATGCAAGCCACTCAGCCTGTGTGCAAGAGTTTTAGGCCTCCAACCCAATAACAGCGACATGGAATTAAAGTATTTCTGGCATTAAGGATGACAGGTTAGGGAAAATTACATGTGTGTGCTCATTTAGGGTGTTTGGCATGTACCTCAGAATCAATAAAAATTTACTAATACTGTATTTTACACTTAAAACAAACTGGTACAGCCATACCTGCATGATAAGCTTTTGCAGAGAGTCCCTTTCTACTCAGCCTTGAAGCCACTTCTTGACAGGCATCACGAGTACGACAGTAAATAATACCACTACCCTAAAGGATAAAGTCAATAAATGGAAGAAGAGATTAGATATCAGATTTGACAAGCTCCTAGAGAGAGGCAGGGCTTACTTATTTCCAAGGCCACAGATGGACAGCTTAATAGGGTGGAGGATGGCTAATCAAAATTCTCTGAGAGCCTAAATGGGAGTCATTAACTATTTTCAAAATTGCCACCTATATTGAACCATACACACTACACATTTCAGTCTTTTGTTGAAAACACAGAGTGTGTAAATCAAAAACCTATACAGGCTTTCAAATACAAAATACAATTTGTTGTGATGTCACTAAATACCCAAATTAATAGCAATAAGACTATAACTTTTTTTTTCATTTTTTTGTGGGAAAGGGAGGAGGAGGTGGCAGGAGTAGAATTACTATAGAGAGAGGCCTATTGGCAAGTGAAGGATTAAAAGAAAGAGTACATTCAGTCTGAAAAGTTTCACCACATTAGTTTGGAGGAGAAGTGTGTAATAACATTACTTAGAAATCACCTTTACCCCATCTCCACTGTTGTCCGGTTCTGATAATGCTGACTCAGCAAAACCCTTTAGGTCAGCATATGGATCATCAAGAAGTTCTTTGAAACTTTAAATGCAAAAAAAAAAACTTATTACAAGAAACAGCCATTGCACAATTAATATCCTAAAGCACAAATGTATCAGAAATAATTCAGTTAGAAAGAGATTTGATATGGAAACTTTCTTTTAGCTAAAAGGAAAAGTTGTAGCTTTTTAAATTTACAAGGATCAGACCTCTTAAATTCCAATGGTCGGTTCTACATACCAAACATCATAAAATAAATTTGGCCGAAAACAAGAAGTCTTGAAAATTGCTGTGGGTTTGTGGAGCTGGAGAGAGGAGAGCACATCTTCTTGAACATGAGGTGTAGCAGTTGCTGTGAGGGCAATCCAATGCACATCACTAAACTGTCCTCGCAATGAACCAAGCTTCAGGTAATCAGGCCTGAAGTCATGTCCCCACTGTGACACACAATGTGCTTCATCCACAACAAAGTATGACAAAAGCTTTCTCTTGTGCAGAGAACTCAACACTTTCTGAAATCCAGGTGTTGCTGCAAGTTCAGGAGTGATGTACAAAAGCTTGATCAAAGGCTTCAGTTTATAAATTTCTGAATACACCTTCTTTCTCTCAGAAGCTGAAAGTTTTGAGTTAAGTGTTTCAGCTTTGATAGAGAGTGATTTTAAGTGTGATACTTGATCTTGAATCAGGGCAATCAGAGGAGAAAAGACAACTGTTATTCCTTCAGCCACAACTGCTGGAAGTTGATAACAAAGTGACTTTCCTGATCCAGTAGGCATGGACACAAAAACATCTTGTTTCCCTGTTTAAAAAAATATATTTTTTTACAATGAAGTCCAAAAATGGAAATTTCCAATTTAATTATACAAGAACAACTTCCACCCAAATGTATTTATTTGGCCAAAATAAACATTTGAAAAAAAAGTTATCAAAATACACGACTTCTTCCTTTGACTCTTTGTAGAATATTTTGATCATTATTATTTAGAGTGTGAGATTTTGTAGAGGCTAAAAAATGAATTTCTCAATAAATTTCTCTTGTTACAAAAATTCTGCATGCTATAGCATATGAAGAAAATTGTCCTGGTAACCTCTGTCCTTGTAATTTGATCGTTAATGTGTTCTAACAGTAGAGCATGCCAGTGATTTCAAGTTGCCATTGGTCTTTGTTTGCATTTGATTGGTTGAGAGGGTTGGGGAAGTTTTCTAGACCAATTACAGGGCCTTATAATTTAAACCTAACCCAATCCTTGATAACTATGGACTCATAACTGAAATAAAACATTTGTTTGCAGAGGTCGATACACTATATGTTGCAGAATTATCTGGCCCCAGTCTTAAGAATGACATAATAATATAATTTAGTATATACCACACAATTGAATAATCTACTTTCTAGTTCAGAAGTGAATAGCAAGTACTACTAACTTCTGAACAGCTGATGAGACAAAGTCATGTGTAAAGAGTTTCATTTCCTACCATTTCCTTGTATATTGAAAGAAATATGGTAATTTTTTGGTATCTGTGTGATGTATACTAAAACAATGTGAATGTCGGTGTGAGTGGTGGATATCTAATTCACCACGGCACCTCTCAGTATTAATCCACCACTATTCGCCTCCTCTTTGGCGAATGATTGTTAAATATAGCATTGCATTAATTCCAATGCTTCATAAATTTAAACGAATTAACATGCACAGATACTGACAGATAGAAAACAACATATTTTACATAGTATAAGATATACTCCAAGTATAAGATATAATGACAAATGATCAGATTTCTATGGGTGTAATCATGCAAAAATTAATCTCCGAAATGAACGAGTCTTCAGCGAGAATTTGAAATCTGTCTTCTACACAAACTTTCTAAAATTTTTAAATGCCACTCAGTTAATTATTGCATACTCCTGCTGTTACAGAAGCTGCCAGATGACAACAAATCTGTCATTTGGAATTAAGTATGATACAGACCTGATCACTTCGGAGTCTTGCTAATTTAAGAATGTTTTAAATTTATCTTCAATAAATAATATCACGGGCTTTTTAAAATTAATATGATAGACTTGGCTATAAAAGTGGCTTGCCTTCACAAAGACATTCTATCGCTTCTTTTTGGAGTTTTGATTTGAAATCACTATGCTTAAAAACAGTCTTCAAACATTTCGTCAGAGCTTGAGTTTCCATTCTGTCCCAGCAACAAGTTCCACATACTAGAGTTTCATGATATAATCACACTCGAGCCATTACACGTCCAACCATGTTTTTAAATCTTCGTTTGACTTTCGGTTTCCGATTAATTTACGAAGAGGAACCCAAGCGATGACGAAGAAGTGACACAATACAAGGCCCCACGCTCTTGACCTGAGTTTACAAGGCGCGGCCAAAATAGCATGCGTTGGTATGGTTTGTAACTTATTGTGAGTGTTTCAGCTGCGTATGTGCTAAAAGTAGATGATGATGTAAGCATATTTTACGCGAATCTGATAAGATTGTTCTATCAAGCTACTATATAGAACAGATTCCACAGCGTAGATTGATAAATCTCTCCCAGTACCGCTGTTTATTTGCTCCTGTTCTTAAGTCAGGTTCTTAAGATATCGTGAGATGGATCCTACATCTTTTGGAATGGTGAAAGGAGAGGTTCAACGCCTTCCTTTCAAAGACGATAAAGTGAAAGCAATTGCTTATGCTCAAGGATATTTCTACGCAGAGCAAGTCGGAGAACTGATGAGAGAGTTCGGTTTTGACGATGATCGCCTTAGAGGACTGCAAGCTTGTGTTGGGAAAATGTTGCCAGCGACGTGTGCCAGCGTAACATCGATTCTGAGGGCTTTTTCCTTCGACAAAAACAAGATTCAGGCGCTTGAGCTGGTCGTTGTACAAGTCACCGATCCACTGAACTTTCTTGTTTTTAACGACGTATTTTCCTTCATGAAAGATCGGCAGCGAGTCAGCGTTATTATGCAAAGGAGGGCAAGTATGCCTCCTCCACAACCGCCTGCCTTTGTGAACCCCGCTGTAGCAGGCAATCCTTATCCATACGGTAGACCTAAGCCGAGTGTGGATCCCAACGACCCACTTTACAGAGCTGTTGACGGTGCAGTAAGTGGTGTTGCATCTGTAGTTGACAGTGCTTGTGGTGCCTTGTTTGGTCGGCCTTCACGTCCTGGTGCTGTTGTTGTACAGCGGCCAGTTGCATACCAAACAACAGCCACTACCTATGTCACACCTCCAGGGCCAGGGGTGCAGATTTTGAATGTCCCACCAGGTGCGACAGTGACAACCATTCCACAAGCAGCACCAGGGTACCAGCATTACCCACATGGTTCTTACCCCATGGGACAGGCACCACCTCCATATCATCCTGGAGGATATCCAACCCAACAATGGAAGTGAAGACAGTAGTGAAATTGCTCTGATTTTTCTTTAAAGTAAAGATGTATTCTTTGAAGAAAAATTTCATATTTCTCTTGAAAACAACAAGTACTAATAGACTGGTTGGCTAATTTTCTAAGTACAAAACCTTTTTATGTTATTCACACTTGATAGAATCAAAGAAACATTTTGCCCTTCCTAGTTAGAAAAGCAGTAAGTTATTTCCTGTTCCATCTTTGCACTATAAGAATGATATTTAACTTGATTAGGCACTATATTGCTTTTACTTGTCTTCTATTAAATAGCTCAGTAGACTCCAGCTTATTCCATAGTGACACTGTAGTCTATAGACTAATGATATATTGTGGTACAGGTTATACAGTACAGCTGTAAAATTATACTTACTTGGAATTCGGAGTATAGAGACTATAAAGATTACCATTTTTAATTATGGTAGAGTTCCACATAGTGATAGATTGTACTGTAAAGCAAGAACCACAACAGGGTCTCTGGTCATTGTTGTTTCTAAGAGACATCATCAATTTAAGTTTAAAAATTTAGATTACTTAAAGGTTTTTGTTGTCTTAGTTTATTCTTTTGTAGGTGGGGGGTATGTTTGTTTCCTAATCAGTATTTCGTTTTAACATCTCTATGGAATGTTATTAGGATATTTGCAGTTTATGGCAATCTTTTTTTTCTAGAATCACAAATCAAATATATGTATAACAAAAGGATTCTAATCTTGTCTTTTGAAGAGTATAGGTAAATAAAGAGGCAAATAAGTGAAACAATTTCAAGAGCAAGAATCTTCTCTATCATTTGATGCATACCCTAAACTTTAAGCAAATGATTCCCTGCAAATAATTCCAAAACCCACTCTTCAGTAATTGGAAGATAAAATAATAACTGAACTCTGTTGCTGAAAAATATTTTGAGTTCAGTAACAAATATTCTTGTTCCTCAATGTATCCTAAGAGTATCGATTATCTGTTTGGGTTACAAAGATTTTGCTTTGTCCCACTTCGATGTTTTCACGTAGCCTGAGGCACACAATTCAACAAGTACATGCACATCAAAATTGGAGTTCACATAAAAACCCGCCAAGATTGTTCTATTGGCTTGAGGAGGAAGCTGTGAGCAAACACATAAATTTGCCATCCCTACCTTAGACTACATGTTGTTGCTTTCATCCAACTCTCATACAATACAAAATAATTACTTGTCTATAGTTTTTGAGGGTCAAAGAAAAAAGAAGAGCAATAAAGGTGTGAGCAGGAAGGCCACCATGTAAAGTAATCTTTAATTACCATCAAATTGGTGCCCTTAGTTAAGAATCAATGAAGGTGGTAGGTTATAGAGAACAAACTTAAATTCCTTTTATCTGTTTTTGTGAGTCATTTACATATTAACTAAACATATCATTTCCTTTCTGCAAAACAAAATGGTGGGGTTGGTTTAAGTTTGAAAAACATCACACTTGTGAACAAGTTGAACAAATCACTGGAAAAATTAAATAATTGAAGAATCAGTGAAACTGACTTTCCTGTACAGGTGGACTGGATTGTCTGCAATGAACAATGCTAGTTAAATTGAGAAGGATAGGACATCAATACTGTGCAAAACACTACTTCAGTGTACAACAAACAATAAAAATTTTTACATAGAAATTGCATCAAAAATATGTGGTCATGTGAGACATTAATGTTCCCAAACTGAATGTAACATAGGATAGCAGGCATGAAACTACCGTTGATCATAATATGTAGTTTTATTGTAATAGCATCAACTACAAAGTACAGGATCAGCTGGAGGTGATGGCTTACCTGGAAACAATATTTACTAAAGAGGTACATGTATAAGTTTACATTGACATTAAGGCCTCTCCTATTTAATGGTAACCTTTACGGAAAGACAGGGATATCAGTTCTCAAATTCCCTAAGAAGAGGAAACGAAATAGAGCTCAATCTTCAGAGAAAGTTCTAACTTCAGGATCTGTTTAGGTGTATATTATTTTTCCTTTTAATTTCCTACTTGCAAATACCTCACAATGTTCAAATCATAGCTAATAACAATCAAATACCTTCATTATATCATTATAGCATATTTCTTGCCAGTATTTTCATCCACAAAATTTTCAAATGAAGCAACATTTTGCCAAACTGAAAACCCATTCTTCTGTAACTTGCAGGATAAATCATACAGTTTCATAGCTAATACATTGTCCACATGAAAAGACAAACACTCATTCACTCAATTACATATTCCCACATCTTGGAACATAATACAATATTAATCATTATTCTTTGCAAAGTTCTTGCCAAATTTTATCATCAGAGCTTATGTCCTCAGATTCTGGTGCAGTTCAGGTTTGATGTCATATACAAGAGTTAAAAGCCTCTGAATAACCTCCTCCTTGTTTTTCTTCACACTTTCACTGATTTGGTCAAGTCTCACATTTGTCTGTTCCTCGATTTTAGCTTGAAAATCATCTTTGGACCCCATGTGCTGTTGAAAAAATTGCATCAAATGTGTTGAATTTCATAAGTAACACAAGGCCTTCAAATAGCTAATCCACAAAGATGGAAATTCATGTTCAGTTGTTTGGAATTCTTTGTATAAAAAAAAAAAAGCATTGATATTTTGCACTTATTTAGATATTCAATCACTGTATTCAAGGTTAAGTTAAAAAATGTAAAGACAGGAAATTAGTGAAAAGCATCAGGAAAATATATTACATAACCACTCCATGTCTCAATAAGCACAGCTTGGTCCATTAACCCTCTCACTCCCAACATTCCAAATCTGCACTCTCAATCCCCATAGTAACAATTATTGCTTTTCACTTGATTAAGTTATTCTTGTTTTTTAGTCACCATATTCCCACTAATAGCAAAGCTCCATTTTCTGCATATAAACACTCGCACACAACCCACAATTTCTCCATTCACTCTGAAGAAGGGCTAATGCTCAAAATGTCAGCTATGAAACTCTTGACAGTGGCAATTTATGTTATCAACTCAGTTGTTAACACTAAATTACCTTGTTATACTCTCCCACCAACACAACACCACAGTTTCTTTAGAAACTTACCCCCTTTATTCATTTGTCTTATAATGTTAGTTTGGAGAATTCAGTATTACACCAGCTAATAATCCCTAACTGATATTTTTCTTTATTCTTATCAATTGTTTGCTTGATATTGTGTAGATATTGTAAGGAGAAAGTCTGTTTTGGTCACTAAGGGTAAATTAAAGATTAACATGTTGCCAGATAATTTTTTCTCATTGAATTGGGAAATCGGTTATCTCCAGTTCTTAGTGAACACCTTGCCATTCATGTTAGTTTCCCTCCACTCTCTCAAATGAACATGAAAAGTTCTAAAAAATAAAACAATTGATAGTACTTGCTTGCACTATGAAAAACTCAAAACCTGCATTTTGGCTATTTTCTAACATGGAACTTTGTTTTAAGAAATATCACAAATTAGATCTTAACAATTCTCACTACAGCACATTGCTAATTGTATCTGTATTTTGTGTAAGTGTTACAGCTTGCACAAAAGAAAAATAAACTCATCGAAGTACCTCTTGTTGATAATTCAGAAACTGTTTTTCACGTTCTTCGCGGTAAGTCCTGATTTCAGCCTGTGCTTCTTCTTTAGCCTCTTTCAACTTTCTAGTCTTACCTGACAGGAAATAAGTATAATATTTTGCAGTGGGACAGATTTAATGAAATAGGTTCAAAAATGCTCAAGCTTAGCTAAATTTTGGAATATGGGAGACCCTAATCAAGAGGTTGCTAAAGTTTCAATTTCTTTGTTTCCTAAATTGATTTAAAGTTTTCACCCAAACACTTCATGACATAGGTTTACTCCCATTTCAAGGATTTCATTATTCTCAACATTTCTTATTGTGGGAAACACTGATGTCTTAAGAAAATTTCTAGAATCCTAAATAAATTGAAAAATATACAAAACATGAAACCATAAGAGGGAGTTTCACTACCTACATGTAAATGTTGGAGGCCTCAATACAAATAATTATTATTTGACTTTAGGATAGCTACATACAATGTAAAAACTGTGCTATGCACAGAGAACAAGACCGTTTTCGACTTAAACGGAGATTTGGTGAAGCGAAACACGAGCAAAATTAGGGGAGAGTTTCAATAACGGAAAAAATCAGCCAGCTATCTTTCCAAGCATGGGAAATAATTATTTTACCATAACTGAATCAGATCGCTATCCCAGTAGCTCTGACGAGGGGCTAACGCTCGAAACGTCAGCATTAGAAATTATTTACAGCGGCCATTTCACACTGTCAACTCAGATGATAAAACCAAATTATCACAGAATACAAAGCTCGTTCAGTGAGCCAAAATTAAAACTGCGGCCAAGATTATGTAAACCTAACTTTTGAAATCTCTTTATTACCCTGAATTGAAAAAAACTTATTAAAAAGTTAACCCTATTCAAAAATGGCTCCATAATCTGTAGCACCACTTGCTAAAACACAAGTTTAAAAACAACCACTGTGCCTTGGGCTGATGGTTTACCATCTTCCGTCATCACTGGTTTGCGGAAATATTTGTATTTTTTGCTCTTTTCTTTAAAAATTTTGATAAAATATATTAAAAGAGATATTTAAATGCATTTTCTTACGTTTTCGAGCATCAGACACCATGTTCTCAGCCTTTTTCTCGGCCTGTAACAGTTGTTGAATTCCTTGAGATTGCGACGCCATCTTGAAAATCTTACAGAGATGTCATGTGAGTCTAGAAAATGTTACTAAGTAGGGAGGGTACGGGATTAGTTTCGTTTCTGAGTTCCAGTCTAGCGCGTTGTAGTTTGTAACTCTATATTTGATAGTCAAGTTTGATCCCATTGCTTAATCTCGCTGGAAACAGATTGTTTTGGAAGACTCCGTCCATTTTCGTATACAAACAAAATTGAATTCATGTTACCATAAGGGAAATTAGTAGCCCTAACTACTGATAAATCATAGGCCTCATCTACACTTTTGGGAGGAATCTTATGTCGTTCGCACTTATCTATCGCACTACATCCTATCGCATGTGATAGGTTTTTTTTTAACAGACTGGAGACAAACCACAGAAGAAAAGAGGGAATGCAGTTCGGTTGTAAAACTTATTTTTCAGGAAAATTCCGTGGCATCCTTAAAGGCAACCTATAAAATTTATTAAAGTTCACACGGCAACCAGGTGAACAATCAGACATAGTTTGATGCTACTCTGGTTTGCAGATTTAATGAATTTAACCAAAGAAGTTACAATTCATAGACCCAACTTTTCGACACTCCTGTCTAGTGCCTTCATCAGGGGTGATCTAAACGCTGCAACAAGAGGTCCTTTCATATGATCACTAATTAGCGGCCTTTTTTTCTGACGAGGTGTAAATAGGCGTCAGGAAGCAAACCGCCATCGTCACGATTTAAAGGAGCGTGGGCGGAGTTAATAAGCCAAGCCTCCAAACAAAGGCGCTGGTGGTAACCCCGATTAGTGGTGATAATTTTAGAATTATCCCACCAAATTGTATGGTTGGTTAGGCATGTATGCTCCGATAAAGCTGAATTTTCCTTTTTGCAAAGAAAAACCGCTTTTTGGTGCTCTTTTAACCGTGTAACAAACTGGCGTTTGGTCTGTCCGATGTATTCGTTGTCACAGTCATTGCGAGGAATAGAATAAATGGCGTCGGTTCGTTGTTCTTTCGTGACAGGATCCTTAGGTTTGGCGAAAATATGCCCCAAAGTCAGAAAAGGTTTTTGAGCAACTTTAACGTTGTGGCTACACCTCGTCAGAAAAAAGGCCGCTAATTAGTGATCATATAAAAGGACCTCTTGTTGCAGCGTTTAGATCACCCCTGATGAAGGCACTAGACAGGAGTGTCGAAACGTTGGGTCTATGAATTGTAACTTCTTTGGTTACATTCATTAAATCTGCAAACCAGAGTAGCATCAAACTATGTCTGGTAACCTATAAGTTATAATATTCTCTACAGGGCCGTTCTGGAAACCAATTGTTAGATCGCCTCTTGTATAAATATTATTATTATTATTATTATTATTATTATAATTATTATTATTATTGTTATCAAACGGATGCTAAGGAAAACCAACCGAGGGCCTTCCCATGACCTGATAATGGAAACACAGCAGTCCTATGTTTGCAAATGCGAAAAATTTGAGATTATTAGGAAGGGGCTTGACACTGATCTTTAAGGCTTTTTTAGAACTAAGCTCTCTCACACAGGCTATAAACAAATACAAAAGCTAACCTTTGATTAGCCTCTCATTAGAAGCAACAAAGATTGCTAGTTTGGAGGCGGGGAGAAATACCAGCGTGCGAGCGTGCGAGAGGCCTGCGAGGGGTTGTGTATAGCCTACTCACAGGATACACAGAAGCCAGTAACTCATGGCGTTTAAAAGCGTATTATATTTTTTTTCAATAAACCTCGAAAGAACATGGTAAATCAAGAGAATACCCGTAATCAAAAAAAGTTTGAGAATGTATAAGCTTAGTTTTTCCTTCTCTCTACTTTTGTTGCCTTTTGCAGATATCTACGAACTTTTCCATTTATTTTTGTAAAAATTCTGCATGATGGCGGTCACTCCTTACATTTTCTTTCACGCAGAACCAAGTCCTGCATTCGGAGGAAAACAATATAATGTAACCGGCTGAGCCCAAAATAGTTTTAACCTCTATCCAAAAATTTGTGATCTCAAGAGGAAAACAGAACAAAGGGAAGCCACCCCAAGATCAAAGAGAGAAAGATTTCTTTAATACCAAGGAAGTGGCCATTATGGAAACGTAAGCGAGCCTGTTGAAACTCAGATACATTAGTCAGGCATAGCTCTTTCTTATGCACATCAAATGAAATGTAATAAAATTGAATTTCCTCAGTTCTACTTGTAAAATCCACTTTTTAAGAGCTTAGATCTATTTTATAGCTTCTCAGTTAAATTCGATCAAACATTAATAGTTGTGGAGCTGTTTTCTCACTCCATATGCTCTACCTCTTTATCTTTTTTCCGCGAGAGAACATCTGATCCACCAAACACACAGTCATTTTCTTTTTCTTCCAGCTCTCCGTCCTCCAATTTTTCCGGGGATCCCGAGCGAAAACTTTCACTACATTTGCTAAACTGCTCATCCAATTCCTTAGGCCGCTTAATTTCGAAAGTTTTTTGTAAGACATCCGGTATGGGGAACTCAAAAAACTTCTGGAAGAAGAAGACGCACAAACTCCCTCTATAGAATACATCCAAAGCTAAAAGAATGCTGTCAAGCTCCCGGTACTCACTTTGGCGGGTAATATGCCTTGCTACCAGAAACGAGTCGTACAGGAATAAAGCAAGCATTCGAAGGCCATATGTAAACAAAATTGTTCTGTACAAGTATGTCAACTTGCGTGCGGCTTTAGTGGGAAAGTGTTGATACAGCCAAGCTTTTACATTGTCAAAACCTACAAATGCCAGCGCACAAGCGAAAACTGTCGTCAAAGCGAATTCTAATGGCAACGAAAAACCAAGGACGATGAGAACCGAGTAGCTCTCCTGAATGCCTGGGATAATTCCTATTAGAACGTTTGTGAAAATTCGCGCAATCCACAGAGCAGTCCACATCCAAAAGTGTCCTTGTCTTGGAAGAGCCTTGAGAAAGTTCCTGTAGTTAAACGGCTTCCATCGAAAGATGAGAAAAATGAGAAATGATGACACAGCAGTCTCCACAAAGGTGCTAGTTGTGTTGAGACTGTCAACTGCTTTTTGAGAGAGGGTAAGATGACCATCGCACCGTTCAACGCGGCTCTCTGCATGTATAATACAAATGACACTGGAAATGAAGAATAATATCGTGAAAAAGACTCTCATGATTGTCAGGATAATGACACAAATGATAGCAGCGGTCAGCCGCTGGCTTTTTTCCATGACAATTCTCCCTGATGTACACATTATAAGATTCCGTGAGCGCCTTCCAGAAACGAAGTCACTTTCAGTACTGATCTGACGTTAAAAATTGAAAGCTGTAAACACCTTCATTATGAGGGTTAAGAACCAATTCGAAAGAGGTAAGATTACAGCGATACCATAAAAGGACAATTGTAGAGGAAGTAAAAAATATTGCTCAAGTTTTGTATGAGAACCTTTTCAAATGTTTTGAATGAGTGCTTTATATCTCCTTTCGGTTTCGGGTGGGAAGCAAGACTTTTAAATATGAACGCATTACAACATAGTTTTGAGTTCCGATATTTTCCATAGTCTTTCCAAGAACATTGAGAGACTGTCTGACGTCTCTGAAAAATGCGGAATCCAACGCATGCTTCCCATGAAAGAAATGCCGTATAGTTGTGATTTTTCCGTTTTGATGATCTCAACTTAATTATTTAAAAACTGAAAAATGAACAGCTGCATACGTCCAATATCCTGGGAGTTAAATTAATTCACTGATCTTTTAACTAGCAGGAATACAGACTGTTTTCTTTGGCAAACATACGAGAAATATCTTCTCTACAACTCTTACTGAATTCATACACTCTTTCCACCCTAGCTCGGTTTCATCATTCCGGCTTCGTTCAATCCATAAAAAGACATTTCACTTTCTTGTCGGGGGTAATTAACTCTAAATGGTTGATGCTGTTGAAAAATATTTTAATAACTAAAACGATACAGATCATAGAAGCAAGAACTCTTCGGCGCTCACGCTAACTAATGTCGAAAGTAATCAGGACACAGTTCAATTTGAGAAGGAAATCGACGCAAGTTTCTTCTTTGGAACAAAACAAAAACCCTGGCAATTAATTAAGCCTCCAAATTTAGAAATATTGCTCATTCCATCATGCCGTGTAGAAGAATGACTTAAAGACTCAATGTTGTGCTTGTTAAACGTCGATTGCAGTCGCACGGTTTGAATCTTACCCTCAGTTTCTACGTGCGTCGTGCTTAAGCTCAGAACTCACATTGTTAGCACAACCCTACGCTATTTCAACAATGAAAAATAACCATTTTGTACTTTCAGAGAAAGCTAAGAAAGTTAACAATCTTGAGGAAATTGTCATTTTTTCTTCTTTTAATGATCTGCAAACCTTTTAGGTAACGGTCGACTCTAGTCTCCCTTGCAGCCGTTTTTCGGATGCTTGCCACTTTCTATTACATGTATAACTAATTAAATATTAATTTCATTAGCATGCGTCTCGTATATTTATAACTGAGTGTGGCGAAAATTCTGTCAGCTTTCACGAGGTAAGGTATATTACTTTTCACTGTAAATAGTGCTTGTTTGCTCTCTTGGTAATTACTTCGCTATTTTGAGTTTGGAATTGAGGAGAACCAAATAACAATGACTGCTGGTCTAACGACGCACGCATTACCTTTCGGCTGAGGTTTCATTGCAACTAAATTGATAAATTGTTCATAGACATTTACAAGGCGGCCGCGGGCGTCCATCAATCAACGTAGACTTGATAAACGAATATAATTCTTTAAAAAAAGTGACTTTTTTATTATCATTTTTGTTGATCATTCATACTTCACAAGTGATGCGAATTATTGCAAGGGACCAAACCTTTAACTTACGCGAGTACACTTACAAATACAGGGGGAAATTAAATTAGCTGAAAATTATTGAAACTAATCAGTTATCGTCGATAGATTGAACCCGCTGTGATCATACCTCATGTTACTGGGCGACATGATAGATATTTGTTACGCCGAATGGGTGTTAAATGTTTGTTGGTCAGCTAGTTTTAGGGGTTAAATCATTGCCGGATATTTTAAGCAATAAAGTTTTGAGAAGTTCTGGAAAATTAGTATAAATCTTCCATCTTCAATTTGACTGTCATAATCTTCAAATCTCGTTGTTACATCTTTAAGTAAGTAAAAGCCAAAGAAATGATTATGGTTCGTGGATACGATCATGGTTCCATAAGTGAATTATTTATATGTGCAAAATATATCACGAAATTAGTTCGTAAATGAAGATTCTTTCGAAAAAGCGGTAGGAAACGATTTTGTAGTCGTCAAAACCTTGAATTGAACATCATTTCATCGTCTTAGAAGCTGCATCAGTCTATCACATGCTATTATAGTGACACTATATTCACATTAAAAAATTTTTGTACCATGATATAAAATATACTTATGTATTTGAAATATATGTATAATTTCTTTAGTGATCCAGTAAATGCGCAGCTCGTTAACAATTGCCGCAATGAATTTAAACCTATACTGAAGGTAGATCCCGCGGTGATATCAGATGTATATATACTGACAAGTTGTTTCATTCCAACTTGTACACCGGCTGGAGCATGACTTCGTTTCACTAGACAAACAGATGCAAATCTCAGTTATTTACCCTTTCACCCCACGGAATGACCAATAAGTAATTTCTCTCTAAAACTTCAATACTATGTCAAGAATACAGTGATGAGAATAAAGCCTCATAAACACTGCTAGATTACAATCCAGATTATCAGATCTGCTTCAATGTAAGAAATTCATGGCAGACAGGAAGAAGAATTTTTAAACCTGGAAGTGAAGTGTATGTATTAGTTTTTTGACACGCCTGGCTATCTTGATGGAGTTCAGAAAATAATTATTATACAAAAAAGCATCATTTTTCTACAGGCAATATGGGTTTTTATATACATATTGAGCAGAGTTACGATTCAGCTTGTGTCCGAGCATTTGAAATCATATATTGAGCTGTCGCATTGAAGCCGTCGACGAAAGACGAAAGGTGTTCTTTCTTGAGGTAACGCATAAAATCTTTCCGAATTGATGTGTCCAAGGCGAACGTGAGTGATGAAAGGAAAAAGGTCTTGCTCTTGTGATGTTGATATGCTGAGCTCATGTGTTCGTTTTGTCGTTCACAGGGTTTTTATTCAACCGAGCTGAGCTGATGGCAATAGTGCCTTCCTGCCATATCCATGCAACACACTCCTCCTGTTCCACAATCTCCTGAGTCTTTGCATGTTTGGAATCCAGTGTAATATGGAGTTCTAAGCGGACAAACTGCTGAAACTAAGAAAACAGAAGAAAGTTTCAACCTTAACACGGAGAGAGACAGGATCAAAATGATATCCAAATTTAGGTAGCTGCTTCGAAATATCGCTTTATGAAGTGTAGTTGTCATGTATCAAAAAAAAGCAAATGGAAGCTATGTCTTTCCCTTCTGATTTAGTCAGGTAAAGATGTTAAATTGATGCGCGGGCTTTCGATAAAAAATAATCTACCTAATCTTATTGATCCATATGATCTCTTGAATATAAATTTCTGGCAAGGGCGCGTCATCATGAATTTGAGTAATGAATGAATAAGTTTGGACGACTCACCTCGTGGAATACACATCTTTTTACCATATACACATTTGGTGTTGCAGCATGTCATACCATTCTCGATACAATCATCATCATTGGAACATGGAAATGAATAGAGTAGGTTCAGACAGCTTAGAGACTTGATTGGGGGACACGACCCTGGAATTTTTATGAAGAAAAGTTACATTTACTTCCTAACAAATAAGATAACATAAACTTATCTTTTTCAGTAATCGAACATGACGACTTGCTCTGCAAGTAAGACACTTTTCCTTAATTCGTGCGAAATTTTGCAAAGTTAAAGGCAAAGGAGAAATATTTCACCTTGGTTGAGGATGGGTTTTATGAGTCCGGCCAGCCCTTTTCCCGGGATGTCTTGAACAGACGAAAGGTCATTTGATGCTGTCAACAAAAATGATTAACTTAATTGTACAAGATTGAATGAATTCCATTTAAATCTTGGAAAGTTTATAAGATTTGGGAATTTCAAGATGATGCTTCGAGAGGATTACTTTGCACATTCATACTATGTGTCTAGTCCATAATCATAATGTGATCGTGCGAGAGATAATATCCCATGACTCGAAAGGTGCAATGTTCGTACTATTGGAACGTTAGTACGAACGCTTTACGCAAAGCTGGTTGGCTTGGGGTCTCCGTAACACAGCTTTTATTCAGCATCGATCAAGGAGGGTGAGTGACTTTGATATCAGAATCAATTTGATTCTCCTAAAGCTCTGGCTCGAGAGATACTCGGGATAAAAGAAAGATGTGTAATTAAACAAACACTGACTCACCCGATGAATTCTTTGAAGTTTGTAAATCATCGATTGTTGATTTATTTTCAGCATTTTCTGTGAAAAGAAAACAACTCAGTAAACAAATTTAAAAAGCGAAACTTATGACAATTAATTATGATCTGGTGGAAATGTGTTACAGGAATATACTGAGAATAAGTAAGAGTAAAAGGTCCCCCGCCTGAAATTTTCATGGTTGACATCTAAATCTCATCTCAGGAGGACCTCAAGTTGTACAATTCAGGGCAGGCTTGCTCGCCATAAACTCGTTCGTTGAGCTCCTTTCGATAACAGGTATCAAGGCTTAGGTCTTCTTGTCTCCGAATTGTTCATCGCGACAACCGAAACCGTTTAAGTGAAAACGGATGGATTCTTCCGACATATCCCTTTATCAACCGCTCTCGCAATAACCTCTTGGAATGTTCATTACCAAACTTCTCCGCATTGTCAAGTTGAGCGAAAACAACACCGCGACTGTTAGGGGGCCGTCCTGTTGCGTTCTTTCTACTTTTAAAGTTTTAGAATTTAAGAAGGCACTGTCTCAAATTACTCTTACTTGATGACCAGGGCTCTGTTGTTCAGGGTGGATAACGCTATCCAACCGATAAATCACTATCTAGCGGTTAAGTGCCAACAAAATGTACTGCGCTATCCACTGGATAGCGATTTATCCAAGAAAAAGCGCTATAGATCCTTTGGACACCCCCTCCCCCCCTTCTTTGTTTCTTTTTTATGATTGCCACATTGTTTGTCGTCATAAAATGGAACTAACGACTGACTTGAAAAGGCCAAGTAACATTGCAATATGAATACACTCTTAACGTGTGTGGATATAAACTCATATTATGTATGAAGGAGCCTTTTGGTTCGATGAAAATTATTTGTCGAAAGCGAGCAAATCCAGCAGAGCTCAGTGCATTTAAAATATTTGGATAATTTGATCCTTTAATCTTGAAACCAAATGGCTAGAAGCGATAGTGTCAATAGTGAAAGTGCATACCATGTGATTTGATAGCTTCCGCAAGAGCTCCCGCGAGAGTCTGGTTACTGGATGTTTCTGTGAGTGACAATGAACAAAACGTGGAAGGAAATGAACATGAAATGGGAGATGGATGAGATAAAATGATGAGTTGAAAGAGAAAAGATAGGTTGTGGGTGGAAATAATACTTTAAAAGCCAGTAACACCGTATGGTGGAGAAAATGTATCTGTCGGGGTCTTTACTGATGAAAACGTATGATTTACCATCATATAAAATATTTTTCATGTAAAAGCATTTTGGAAATCTCAACACATGTATGCAAAACTGTGACTAGAAGAGAAATTGCGTGGTATGTTACCGTTCATCTGGGAATCATTAGTGCTATTCGAGGTAGTCCCATTAACAGCGTTTTCTGAAACAAGAAAAAAATAAGATCCACAAGAATTTCCCGAGATCATGTCGTTTTGGAAAGGCTGAACTGAATTTCAAACAGGCACCGGTGTCAACATGTTGCCTCTTCTGTCCATGTTTTTACTTTGCTTCTATGTGTTGGCTAGAAAGTATACACCCGCCTTCATATATATAGAGATCGGATATGGCTCCCTTTCACAAATTGCAAAGTCTCTCCTTTTCCCTAACTCCAAATCTACCTTGGGTCTCTGGTATTGTTTCCTTGGTGACATCATCACTATGGTTACCTAAGTGGCAAAAGAGATTCACTAAATATTATTATCTGACTATCTATTAGCATGTGAAAGCTAAAAGTTTGTTTCTGAGAGCAAAGTTATTCAAACATGACCAAAATTATCATTCTTCATGCGTGTGGAACAAACAGAATCTAAGTCTTTCGTGGGGTGTCAAACCCTACTATGTTCCGAATTCGCGCTCCGACACATCACTGAACTGAACTACTGTTGATTGTTTAGTGAGCTGGGTCACACACATAAACTCTTATTCTGTTCACTTATTTATACCTTGCAAATAACAACCCTGCAACATTGTTTACTTCATCTTGAAGATTTGAGTGACAATAGAAAGCCATGTTACCTTCTGTCTGGTTCTGTTTCCCAATATCCTGTGGTACGTCATCCTCTCCGCCGAGTGTTGAGTTACTGGCTTCTGTTTTGTTGCTTTTTTGGTCATCTGCACTACCACTGCCACTCAAGTCACCGTTGAGTTGACTAAGTGCTTCGGTTTTAAAAATTTCAGTTAATCATATCAGCATATGTATGCTGAAAAATTATCTTAAAAATTATTAACAACGTAATCAGGTGTACTAGTTATGGTTCTACACAGTCATTTGGACTTAAAACTGCAGAACTTGACACTTACCACTCTGAAGACCACTAGTGGGCTTAGTGATTATATCGTCATCGATATTCTCCTTGTCTAAAAGAAAAAGAGCGAAATTTACCTCAAATTCACCAACAAATCACTCCTCAAAGCTTAATATCTACCAGGTAGAAAACCTGAGCTGAGAAATGCTTGCATTAATCTCCATTCTTTCCTCTCTAAACAAATTGTTTCAAGGTATGTCAAAAATATTTCAAAATCAATCAGAGTTTCTGAGGGGGATTAGTCAAGGCTAAGACCCTGGACAAGTGAATATCAATTTATATTATCTTGCACTGGATAAAAAGGACCATTGCGGAAGAAGTGAAATCAATAAAATGTATTTTTCCATTCCGCAAATACCACTCACCTGTCTCTCCGATACCAGCGTCAATGTCTTCTCCTTCTTCCTTTGAGACTACGACGAAAATAAAATTGAGACCAATTTTCTAAATGCAGATGGAGAGATGCAGTAGGCCTGCAAACTATGGGACGGGGGATAGGTATGGGGCTCCTCTCGCACGCGCCTTTCAGGCGCTAGGAACAAGTGCAGAATGTCACAAAAATAGATTCAAACAAACGGACTAAGAAATCAACAAAAAAGAGAACAATTAAATCACATTAAGTTACCACGTCGCTGCTGAGGTTGAATACAACCGATTCAATCATTGATAAACGAAGCAATGATCATTGTCTTAGGGAACCATGATTTCAGACTATCAGCAACGTACAAAAACACCCGAGATACCTTCTTTGCTGTCTTGTCTTGAAACAGGTAAGAAGTCCACTCCCATCCCTGCCGGAAGCCCAGTACTAGAAGGTTTCGGAATATGTTCTGTGATAAATATCAAATGTTAATAGATCTTAATAGTACTCTGACGTGTCCAGTGGGAAACCATTTCGGCATAAGAGAACTACTAAAATTGACATTGGTAGGTCGGGACCATCTGATTTTGATGATTTGAGATACTCAAGTTAAGACGCGAGAAATACGAAGTTTGGTTTAGTCATAGGTTTTCCACTGATGAGTCCTTTGCCAAACGCCTGACACCACGCCGTGTTCACACGGAATTCAGGTAAACTCAGAAAAGGATGGAGCCGTTTTTTGTTGTCTAGTTTAATAGCGAAGAGAATCATTCACCCACTGAGACCCAGAAAATATTTATGTTAAGAGAAAAAAGAATTATGAGCTTCTTTAGAATGAAATGCGAGCGAGATCATCACTAACTGTACTTAATAATATATATAGTGTTCTGGGAAAAAGAATTAAAAGGAAAAACATCAGAACGTGTCGGGTGAATGCTTCACCTCTAGTTACTGCATCCGCCAAGAGTCCTTGATCTAGTTTAGAAGTAAAAGTTTTTATTCCTGCATTTCCAGCTGACTTTCGTATTTCATCTGAAAATGGAGGCGTGACAACTGTTAGCATTGATGAGCGGACGACAAATAATATTTTTTTATTGCTTACGAAAATTTATCCTCTAAGGACCACATTATATAAAAAAGGTGTGAACAGATCATTAGGCAACATGCTTGTCGAAATGAAAACTTATAGTAGGAAATTTTACTCTGTGTGACTTATACCAGGGCTATTTTCAGTTGAGTGTCGACAGTACTCTGCGACTGCATTGGTTTTGCCTCACCCTCCTCTGTTAGTAGTCTAACAAAACTCCTAACACCCTCTTAAACAATCAGATGCTGATTGAAACCAATCTTTATCTAGTTACTGGAATTTTCCACTCATCTAAAGCGGTTTGCTTGTTTTTAGTTTGAATTTTCAACTCCTTTAGGGGAGAACGATGCTGTGACTAGCTGTTTTAATTATTTGGTTTTGGTCTCATAACGGGGAGAAGCGAGGGTCTAAAATTGTTCATATTTACAGACTTAACAAGGTATATAATATGCCTCCTGCTTTTAGAAATGTCTCAAAAATTTTGAGTTCTCGGCTTAAAGAAATGTTATCAAATGAAACCTTTTGAAATTGTTAAATTAAGGAAGTATACGGTTTGATATCTACTGGTCTTACTTTCCGGCCCTAATTTCATTGAAGCGTAAGCGGGTTGTTGTAATCAAAGCGAAGCCATGTCAGTTTGAAAAGAAATGAGCCTTCAGTGGCTGTTTCAAGAGCTTCGTTTTGATGATTAAAAAGCTTTTGAAGGAACTTGATGAAAATTTTACATCAAATCTAGTTTTCAATATTCGCAGATCACCTGGTGTAGTTCCTGATGTGTACGTCGCTACAAATCCTGGTTTGGGTCTTCCAAGGCGCTCCGCTGACTTGAAAGCAATCTTGAGCTCGTTTGACGAAATGTTGAATGATTGTGGGATCTGATTTCCGCAAAGCTTTCTTGTCTTTCCTCGAATGGGTTCGTCCACCACCACATAATCATCTTCGCAACTGTGGAGATGCATAGTAAAAAGCTGTAATACTGAATAACAATGATGACAATTGGGGAAACAGCGGATATAAGAGCTTGCTTATTTGTGTCTTAAATTTTAATACATGAGGAATTAAGATTTTAGCACCATGCAAATGACTTCCCTATGACGTGAAAAAAGGCAACGAAACTACAAGAACGACTTAACTTCATCTGGGCGGCTGATCGAAGGTGTCCTATCATCACGGACGTACACCACTTAAGTCTGTCAGCCGATAGCATCAAGGAAAAACTGACCAACCAGGTTTCACGAGCCACGCGGAAAGTCAGTAAGTTACATACAAATAAGCCTTCTCAAGACTACCATCCCTCGCAAGATTCAACCACTGATATGATAGATTAATTAACCGTTGAAGTCAAGGCAAAACTGACCGATCGGCTTTCACGACTTATGGAGGTCAATTGACAAAGAGAGTAAATCTCTACTCCGGTGAGGTCTTCCTCTCTATTGCTCGGAAAGTCAGTCCCGGAAAGTCAGTCAAAGTCATTAACATGAGCCCTTTTCAAGACATCCCTCGCCAGGATAATCCAACTATTATGATCCAGATGTTGAGTTGCTTGACATAAAGAAATAGGCAAATAACTCTCCTTGCCAGATGAGATTAGGTTTTACAATATTTCTAAAAAAGCAGACTTTATTATATTTGCTTACTTTGCATTTCCTACGTCAAATGCTTGAAACGCAACTTTGATTGGTCCTTTGACGACTTTGATAGTGGTATTACATTCCTCATTGCTTGGATAAGGCTCTGGATAGTTAGGTGACGTAATCAAACCAACTGGTGACGTCAGAGTAGCACCACACTGATCTGTAAAGAAACGTTGGTGATGATTTTCATGACATAAAGCCCTCATGAACAGGAAATAATCAATGTCAAGCTGCTTTTGCATCGTCCATTCAAAACATGAGGTTGGTTTCGATTATTAAATAATAATTTCAGCCAAGGTAAAACAAAGGTAGATTTTGCTTTTCGTATCACTAATAAATTGATGTGTTTGTAGGCTATCAGTTCTGATTTTTAAACTGGTTTTTCAAGCATGCAATTATTGATAATAGTACATAATTCACCGTAACTGGTAATAATGAACAATTTCTTAAACTGTCTTTCGCTTTCTTTTAAGAGTGAATTAAGTTATGTACTATTACACCACAGTTAAACACGAATATACTTCTGGCCTCAGTTGTTCAAATGCTGAATAACGCTATCCACCGGTTAAATATCTTTTTTTATCGATAGCGCAGAAAAGTCCATCCTAACATTTATCCCCCGAAAAGCGATGTATCCGTTAGAGAGCGTTATCCACCGTTATCCACCCTTTAAACCCCTGGGTCCGAGTATGTGTTACATTTCAAATGCCCCCTCTCACCTCCAGGGTTAGTTGGTCGATCTACAGCCTCATAACTTGCACTGAATCCCTGAGCTGTCTGAGACTCGTCAGAAAAGAACTTAACACAGAGTTTGTTTCCGGTGGAAAAGAATGGAGCAGGTTCCTGTTTTCCACAGTATCTCGTTTCAGCTTTGAATGCCGAACAATCGCCATCCATAACCTTTACAAAGTCCCCTTTACACTTCTCCGATTGCGACGTGTCTTCTGGGGAGACTACTTGCATGCTGAAAATAAAAGCCTGGTAGTTACCTCATTGAGCCATAGAATTACATTGGAACATCGTATAAATGCATATAGGTTGATTTGTCAATTCGTTTCCTTCTGCCTGCTAACAATTAGAACAATTCACATATACTTGTGAATAACTTATAACCCTTAGAAATTGTTAATAAATAGCATAGCAATTTTTTAAGAATAGCTAATCATTTATTTCAAAATGGTCATCGATGTGCCTACAGACGCATTTACATTAACAAAATCCACTTCTAAAACGCACCTGTTGGTGGCAGAGAAAACTTTCTTACTTTGAAAATCAGAGACTGGAAAGCTTGTCAAAGATGGTTCTACTCATAGAGTCACTGGAGAAGAAGTTTTCTTAACCTTCATACAATTTCCTCATCACGTGTCTATATCTAGTCATCAACACAAGCAGAGTTCGTCCCTGGCAAAGTTTCTCTCGACAAGTCTCTCTTTTCAGAAACTGGTATTTCAGTTCTTGGGGAAGGCTACTAAGTTACATTTTCTAAGAAAAAGTGGCAAGGTGTACTACATGCGGCTTATTAGTGATTGAATCCAGCTATACCTGTGAAAGTTAAGCTTGATGACCTTGCTGGGGTTGACTGTGATAGTAGTAACACATTCTTTGTTGTCCGGGTAGTCTGCCGGGTAGCTGGGAGAGGAGAAAGTGCCAACGTCTGTTGTAAAGTTTCCACCACAGTTGTCTGAAATACAACCGAAATTTTAAATTCAGATTTGTCAGGCAAGAGGAACTATTTAAGGTCAAGGGCTAGAAAAACATTTGAGGTCATGCCAGGTTATACCTCGAGACTTACCCTAGTGAACCGTTTACATGTGATTTAACTTGAAGTTTGCAAGCTCAAACGTTCAAACGTTAAAGTTTTCATGTATCGGATTTTAAACGCGTACTTCCCTCAACTCAAATAATAAAGTACGAGGGTTGGCTTCTGTAAATAATGGGATACTTGCTACAAACGTACCATCTCCAGGACAAGGATTATGCACATTGCAGTATTCATGTATTGGTGGCTTTAGAGTCGCATCACATTGTGCTTCCTCCATGTCCATCAGGTTACCTCTGTGGTCAGCCCTCATGCATTTCACTGTTCGCTTCTGAACACCTCGCCCACATCTTGTGGAACACTATTGAATTAACAAAGAAAGAGAGCGTCAGCTCGAATATATATTTTCCACAGTTTAGAAACCACACCCGCCTGATGACGAGACACGAACTTTGCTGTCCACCCTTGGTTACATTATGTATAGGGTATGTTGCAGTGGTTTTCAATTCTTCATCATGTTGACATTACATCACACATTCTCAAGAGCCTTCTGCTTCTTAACTTTACATAATTACCACTACGCTATGAAGAATCATATGAATACCTGTCCAAATGGCTGAGCCACCCACTCGGCTGGACACGGGACATTATTGCACGCTTCTACCATGGATGGTTTAGGATCCGAGCAGAGTCTGGAATCGACGTCATATTCAATACCATCAGCTGCTACCTGCATGCACTTTATTTCACGGGTTCTGTTTCCTCCGTTACAGGTCTGAGAACAATCTTCCCAACCTTCTGGTTTCCAGCTACGATGAAAAGTAGATAAAATTGTATTACCCTCTGAAAGGACAAACATCAATTATTTTGAACTCATTACTTTTGGAGCTAAAAAGCCTTTATCAGGGAGCAAGAGTAAAATTTATATATCATTGGTGTTCAAAATTCATGCTTTATTAATTTCATTTCAAAATTAAAGAATAAGTTGACCTGGAGTTGGCAGATTTGCTAGTTGAGGTGGGTCAATTAACTGGCTAACATCTACTTAACTATTTAACGGATGAAGAAGCGAAAGAAACTAAATACCAGAAGTTAGGGAAGTTAAAGAACTGAAAAACAAATAGATAATAAAATAAGTGGTGTACATTGAGGTATTTCTATGGGAGCGGTAGAAAACAAACAAGTTGATCATTCAAAATAAAATTGAGCAAGGTAAGTTTTAATTATTCATTTTTTTCCGAAAAAGAAAAAACTCATGATAACTTACACAGGTGGGCACGGTTGATAGTTGCAGTGGACTGTTTCTCTTGGTGGTCTCAAGCCAGAGTCACACTTTTCTACGTTAACTGGAGAACCATCATCTGACCTTCGACACTCAGCATAGGACACTTCCGAGCCTATTAGTGAGGAGTGGATTAAAAAAAAGCGGTAGCTAGCCATAGTATTTTACCTCAATTTTCTTTAAGCGATTGGAACAGAAAAATAGGGTTGTATGTAGTTGTTTCTGAAGATACAAATGTATAGCCTCGGTAATTTACACCATCGTTGTTGGATATGTCACAAAGTAACCAGACAATTACGATTCTGTCCCAGTAAGAAAGAGAAATATAGGAAGTAAAAAAACATGTTCTGTTTTACAAATTTAACTTTTGGTCAGTGATTAAAGAATTATGATTTTGAAATGAACGTAGCCCCTCTGAATAATGCTGCGTCGGAGACGCTAGAAATTTGATAGATGCCGAGGCAATAAATCAAGTGAGTGCGGTAATGGAGAAGTGTAGTGTTTTTAAAAGATGATCGCTTCATTACCTCCACCACACGAAACACTACAGCCAGACTTAACCACGGCCCAGTAAAAGTTATCTTTCTGCGAGTCTTTTGTTGCGCTTTCGGGAGAAGCGATTTGTCCACGCCTATCTACATCATAACCCATTCGCTTCAACCAATCCAAAGCGCTTGTTATAAGATTGACAGCTCCTGGAGTGACCGCCTTCTTTGTGCTAGTGGTGTTTCTTGCCACACTATCCCTGGAACCGGGTGCGCATGAACTTCCGTCTCCGTTACATACACCGCATCTATCGACAACTGCTGTGGAACCAATGATTCCATCACAGCCCACTTTCTGTTGTAGAGACAATGATGCATGGATTAATCGTTATCACACCAACAACAGGTTTTAAAATGAGGATTAAAATATATAAGAAATTGAAGCGCAATTTACAAACACTCATCGAAGCTTCTGAGATGTGAACACAACATATTGGTGGATTCCAGTTTCCAGGACACAATTAGTATAAGCCTTGACAGCGACAAAAACTCTGCTCTTATCGTTCTACAGCAAAGCCTCAATCAGTTATGAGATAACAGCGGCATCGGGCTCTGTCTTCGTTGAAGTGAGGTGGGATTATGGGCAGTATCTCTACAATACCATATCGCAGAACTACTCTTTGCCCAATCGTATAAATGGTGTTTTGTAGGTTAGAACTGCAGCCGTACTGTACCTGTAGGTCATCAATAACTTGACAAAAAGCCGATGGAATGCCCGTTAATGACTATCAATGGTCTATCAAGGGAGATCGATCAACTTGATACGAAGGGGTAAATCTAGAGAAGCTAGTCTTGGACTTAACGTTTGAGGCATTTTGTATCAGAAGAGTAATATTTCTAGTGCGTAAACCATTTCGGTAACTTTACTTTACTTTACCTTTCCCTCATATCAATGTTGCCTTGGTTACATAATCTGCCATACTTGATATCGTTGCACCATTTAAAACCGACTGGACAAGAGGAAGGATGGAAATTTTCTATTTATGAGTAGGTTTTACGCCCTATTCGGTTCAAGAGGGTTCGTGCAAGTCTTCCGACTGATGGTTTTGAACATCATGTGTTGTTTTGAAAAATTAAAACAAAAAAAAAACAAAAAAACAAAAAAAACGAGACAGCCCCTGACAGTTATCGAAAAATTAATTTTTTATCGTCTTACCGTACACTGTCCCTCAATACATTTATCAAGGGAATTCTTTTCACAGTCTGTACCATCAGCAACATTTCCAAAAGCAAAACCTAACCCAGTTCCTTTGATAAAGCATCCTAGAACACACTTGCTCTCTGCAGATAAAATATTTCTGTTAACCCTTTGGCCCCTAAGAGTGACCAGAACCTTATTTCTCCTTACAATAATACTTCTGAATCATTCATTAAGATCATGAGAGTACAGGAAATGATCGCCAACCTAAGAAGCTTTGATTGTTACATGAATTCTCCTTGTCAATACCAAAGGATTAGTATGGAGAGAAGTATGGAGAATGCAGATACTGACGTCAGAGTGTAAAGGGTGAATTTTTTTTAACTCTAAACGTATGTTAATCTTAAATTAAACAATCTAAACAAATGGATGTTCCAAGTTTGAAGAAGGCAGCCACTTTTTTTTCTTAAATTAAATGGAGCATACTAAGATTAAGAAACTCTTTACGGTGGCCGATTATCATCATAAACTTGGTTATTAAAACCAAATTACTCGAATAATCTTTTAATCTGATTCTGTTGTCAAACTTGTGACTATTTTATACCTGTTATATTCTCCCGAAAATACTTTCACAATTCCTTTTCATTTATGTCTAAATTTTTTCCCATACTTCAGGCAGAATTTTCCAGGTAGTAACAGTTAAAAACCAGGCAGGAATTTTTTTTTGAGTTTGCATGTAGTCTCTTACTTAGAGTTGATGGTTTCCATTCCCACTCGTAATACTGATCATTGAACAGCTGAGAATTCTTTAATTGACACTGATGGTTTCTGTATTCAAGTGTATCAGATGAACAGCCCTAGAAATTAGGATAAGAGATTGTCAACCTTACTTTCATTTAGAAAAAAGGAAGCTTTCACTTATTTGTTCTATTCGTAACTCTGAGAAACTTAATCTGCGGGGTTCAGGAGCTAATTAGAGAGAAAATGGAGTTAAAGGATACAGTCACGAGAAAAGTCTGCTCCGTTATTTTTCAGCTGTCTGGCTACCATTATTTGGTAAATGCTATAAACTGAGGTACAACGGAGATTAAAACTCACCGCAGTATTACAGAGCCTGTATTTTCTTTCTTCTCCTTCGCATCGTTTCCCTCCATTTTTGGGGCTGAAGGTAGAGGAGAGAAGTTATTAATTGGATAATTTATCTTTGGAAAATAAACAGCAAGTATGTTGCAAATTTCTATCGAAAGAAAACTAAAATAAAAACAGTACAGAAGAACTTGCCAATGATGACAACAGAAACAAAATAGAAAAGGGAAATATGACACCGAAACAGTTATTTTTTTTACCGTGGTGCTATACATCTCCGTTCTCTGAACTGCACCCCTCCCCCACACGATCTACTGCAGTCAGAATACTCAGCGGACCACTCTGACCAACCACCATCCACAGTGTCGGCGCCCTCAGTACCAAGCTGAATACACTGACCACGCCTACACCACTGGAGAAACCAAGCGGGGAAAATGAAGCATCAATAGACGACGACATTTTTTTAATAACTAGAACGTTTGCTGAAAATAGAGCTAGTTTGCTCAACGCAAATTTCCTCAAAATCTTTAATAATTCTGAATTCTTTTATCAAAAAATCCAATGTGGAAAAAATTTAGGCCAACTGAGAGTTGTACACCCGGGAAATTTTCGATGGATTCGGACTAGTGAAGGAGCAAATTTGAACCCAACCTTCTTTGAGAGAAAACGTCGTGGAAAGAGACTGACCAACCAGCTACAGGTTCTTGTAAAGTTGTTTCCGGTAGCCACCCATTATCGCCCCATTCAAACCTCTCTCTATTCACAGACTGATCTTATCACCTTACTATCTCCGCACGGTGTTCCATCAGCTGCCGGCATCTCCGCCGTCTTGCAGTTTCCGCTTCCGCCAGGTACCTCACACCAAAGCTTCACGCAGATTTGCTACAAGCCATGCATTAATGCAAAAATAAGCATGGGTGGTAACTTCTTACTTTTTATAAGGGAGTTACTGTTATATTTGTCCTATAGCAAAATTTGTGAAGAAAGGTAATGTTGAAACAAGGTTACTTTCTTTAGGTAAATTCCTTTAGTATATGCTAGTATTGGACATGTGTCAGTAATGTAGGGTCATGCAGGGCACATAGATGATGAAAAAACTGTTTATTCTACTATTTTCAATGACAAAACGCAGTATAAAAGACTTTAAGTAAAAATGTAGCAAGTGGCTAAGTCAACAGAAGAAATGATTTTTTACTCTGTCTAAAACTAAACATTTTGATGTCAGTAACTGGAGCATGAAGCGCACGTTGAGACGAATCGCGGGGTTCAAAGACATTCCAAAGTTAATATTCGTAAAACTACATCATGTGCGGGACATCACGTGTAACTAAGTACAACTTTAGTGTCATGTACATGCAAGTTTCACAGTTGACTGGCTGAGAGCTTGGAGAGTAAAGAAAAACCATTCCAATCCCGGAGAACGTTCGATAACGAATTAAAAGTAGTCGCAACGAAAATGTATATTATAATTTTGAGTTTTGATGGACAATCACATTTATCACTCTCAGTACTCACGTCCAGAAACTTCCCTCCACCACAGAACTTAGCAGCTTGGCCGTAAGCCAGCTGACATTGTTCATCAGCATCGTACAGTCTGCCAGGTTTATCCAGCGTCCTGGTCTCTATCACATTCTTTTTGGTTGGATTATCATCCAAGCAGCGGGAATCATCTGAACTGGAAAAAGATAAGAAGGTTAAATCTTCCTAAACTGAAACCTTTGCACGATGGCCTCTCGGAGGTTAAAGTTGATGAAAAGTTCTTCGGTCACTGCTGAGATCACAACAAGATTATAACCAAATTGATTTTGGAAACGTAATATCAGTAAATTGTCGCATAGCTATAATACCTGGATCCTTGAAAACATAATAGAGGCCAGTTCCTTCCTCAAAATTTTCATATTTTTCGCACTTATTATTTGCGATGCTTTAGTATGAACTCGATTGAATCTTTAAAGCATTTTTTCCCTTTTGTGCTCAATGGACCTGATGAACCCTCTTGTCTATATCTCAACATGAGCAACATCACACTCCCACTGCATATCTTGCGTCTGGATAGAACTGTCCAAAACTAAACACAGTAGCCGACATACTTTTTTTTTTTACAAGTTTCCACATTTTTTTTTTCATTTAAAAGAAAGCAACTTACTTTAAAAACTGCTGAAGATAGTTTTTACTGCAGGGTGACCAAGAGAAAGCAGACTTTTTCCCAGCCGGTAAAGACGCCATAATGTTTACACCATCAGGGCACGCTCCCCTGTCGTGGTTCATTCCAAGACTGAAAAAAAAACATTACACATGTCCTGAAGAATAACTTGATGCTGTTAAAATGTTAGAAAATTCTTAGTTTTCTTATTGTTCGGGCTACGTTACCCTGCTACATCAAGGATGTAAATAATGTTCTTTATTGCATGGAAACAGACGAGCAAGATTAAGTCATGATAAGTGTCGGTTTTGCAGGTGCTTGCTTCAGAGGGTGGCGCGAGTTTTCTTCAACAATTGCCGAGGGAAGTAAATAAAAACAAATGCAGTCTCCGTTTACTTTCTATACGATATTCTTAGCTTTGTAATTAAGATCGCGGAATCTCTTGTGTAAGGAAGTAAACCCCAACTCATTAAAATTGTCTAAGTCATCTGAGTATTAGAACTGACAGTTATTCATATGGAGAGGGATTTGAATTCTCGGCAACTTTAAATAGGGATTTAAATCAGTTTCCCAACCCACCTGTGTCCTGTCTCATGAGCTAGTGTCATTCCAAGCATCAAACCATTATCTTGACCAACACATGCCGAGTTCGGAAAGTTACACATTCCACGTGTCCTTGTAAGACCTGTCCGAGTGCAAGGTATATTACGGAAGTCAGCAAAGTGCACCAAACATTTGTATTTATTTCATGTATGTGAGTCCGAATTGGAGGCAAGTTGTCTATTGTTTAAGAGCTTATCCCGGTTTCATTTGCACAAGGCCTTTGAGAGAAATACCTTCCCCCCACCGCCCCTCCTGGATGGGAATTGAATCCATTGCAAGTAACCTTAAGCATTCACCTACTCCTGACAGATAGTCAGTACCCATTCATACCTCTGGGTGGAGAGAGAGTTTTGAGAGTGAAACTTCCTAACGAGATAACCAGGTCAGACTACGAATGAAGATCTCTCTACTTGAAGTGCAGCGGGCTAACTAATAGGCGACTGCGCGCGCGTCTCCCAATTTTGAAAAAGAGAAAAGTCTTACATAATGCGTTCATTACATACTGCCAAATACAAGATGTCAGATTAAATAGCTACGTTTGAGAGTAAAAACGAATATTGGGATTATGGTACCTAACGTATCACATGGTTGGTTCTTGTCCTTGCAAATGTTATATCTATAAAGAAAAAAAATCATATTCGCATGGGAAAGAATTAATAAAAAAATCAACAACGAGAAAACTTTAAGCGTCAACTTTGTTAAATCAAGTTTAAAGAGTCAAATTTTCTCGCAATCCTTCATCTAAATTAATTTTAAATCATCCTCAAATAATAACATTTTAATTAAAATTTTCTATTTTTAATTTTATTTTCTTCTTAGCTTTAAATCCTATTTGAATTTTTGTCATTTTCACTATTACTACTCTTATTTTAATTCCATTTCTATTGATTCTGAGGGCCATGAGTTCATCAGTTTAACAACAGTCAAGTTTTACCCTCGTTCAATAAAGTCTACTTCTTTTATTACTTAAACAAAAAAATTGTCGTAGACGTAATTATTGTTCCAAGCGGAAAGTGATTTTGGTGAGGAACCCTCTATAATGTGACACGTATTCAAATTTAAAAAAAATTTTCTAGGGTAATAATTGTGCATTGAAGAACATCAGCACGATTCGTGTTCCGGGATCGACCCACCTGGTAAAGAGGGTAGCGTAGTCGTAATGATTTTCATCGTTATCCAGTGGATTATTATTCCGTTCCGCCCATCTGCCGAAGCTTTCCAGTGTGTTACTTGCATGGTGGTTAATAACCAGTCCAGTCTGAAGAAAAAAACTTAACGTAGTTATTACTGAAAACTATGAACCCATACCTCGTTGCATATTTAAAGAGTGAAGTGACTGAAATCGTGACCGATGGACCACGATTGATTGATACCATACGTTTCGCAGTATTACATTGTTATGCAAAACTGAATTAGCATTTCAAGCTTCAATAACACAATGCTGACAGAATATAACCCATAAGGATTGCCTTTCCTCATAATTTTGAGGATAAGCGCGTTTCAATTTATTGCATTCTTTATGGCCTCTGTAGTTTCTGGTTGGTTGACTGTTCTCGTAAATACTGCCGTTGAATTTGGAATACATTTTCTTTTCTACACAATGTCGATGTCAAAAACAATACCAACAAGATATTTCGTTACCTGTGGAGTTGTGAGAATCTGCATTCTACTGATAACAAAATTGATAGGATTTTCGCCAATGCTTCCATCTCGAAGAAGGTTTGAAGCCTAAAGAAATAAATTGATTAAAATATTGGTGCAACTGGACTAAGCTAAGTCGCCATTCGTTTTAAATTGACACTCTTGGCTTCGTATGTAAATTAGCCATTTCGGATAATGTGTTGTTTTGTGCGGTATTTTTTTCTCAAATGCACGCAGAAATATTTGCATCCAAATTCATTACAATATAGAAAACAATGACTTTCTTACGGCACAAAATATTCTCAGATAGTTCTTTGCGGAGACTTGACAACTGCTGGAAATTTCAGCAAATTTTTTTAGAAATCTTGTCTTGTTTAGTTAAACAGAAGCAACTGAGCGTTTTGAAACGCAAAAAGGGAGGGAAGAAAGGCTCGACTCAGCCTAGTTAGACTTTGTAACAGGCTTCTTAATATTTTGCTCGATCAAGAAAGTGAGTCAATTGAAATCTTCTGGAAATACAGGTCGATAAGGAGCAACGTCGTCAGCTCAGTCCAAGCAAGAGCACCCCCTCGTCGTTGTTTGATTTGTGTGGCCAATAGGCTGAAGTCATTCTCATAACATATTACCTCGCCAAGTGCAATGCTGATAAAACGATTTATGGAGAGATCACGAAACTAAATATTTCGCAAGACCAATTTCATGTCAAGCGAGTGACGTTTTCGGTATCGAAACATGAGCGTCCTTCCCCGTCTACCCACCTCTTCCATCAAAGTTGAAAAGATTCAAGAATCAGTTCCGAGAAAACTTTGTTTAAGAATTGCAAACTTTTTGCTCAAACTTTCCACCAATTTTAAACCATCCTGTGGACACTGTGACTTCTTTTCAAGTAGATAAACCAGAACTAGTCCTGGGGTATCCCCATCTGTTTAACCGATTAAATCACTTACTATGTTACAGGCAGACAGTGCGTATTGTTTGGCGGCGTCCTCTCCGTGAAAGTTCGTCATCTTTGGATCAACCACCACCAGGGTCTCAATGTATTTCTCTTCCCCAGGTCCCGCTGGTCCACGTCGCACAGACTGCTGCGTTTCATTCAATGCTCGTACTAAGCGAATACGCGGGTCATCTACACAACGGGAGAGAGTCCTTAGCAAAACTCTTTAGAACGCATCCGTATAAAATACAAATTAACAACTTAATCTTCCAGAGCAAAGTATCTCAGGGACTGGTCATTATTATTTGCCTTGAGAACGGGGGTCGGATGGTTTTGGATCTGTCACAATAAAATGTGTGATCCTCCCATGGGTATTTGTAGTATTCTAATGTCCCGCACATTGGCAGTCAAATCTTCATAGTCCGCTCCCATGTGTTCTCCAAAAATCGCCCGACTCCTCCCCCCCCCTCCCGGGCGGTAAGTAATAATAGATCCCTTACCTGCAGTTCCGCAAGTGTGTATTTCTCTTTTTTCTTTAATAACATGAAAGTTCTTTTTTGGATTTGAGTTAAGAGATCTTCTATAGATAATGTGAGGTTTACTTCTGCCGCTTGTTGTTACTTTGTTGTGCAAGTGAACCGGAAGCGGTTCCATGAAGTAAGCTTCGTCCTCAGTGTGAATAAGTCCGCTCTGGAAAAAAAATGGCCTCATTAACTATATGTAACCACAAAGAAAGAAGTTATTTACGTACCACAAGTGTGGGATAAAAAAGAGCTGAGTTCCCCTAAGATTAGAACCTCAGACCTTCTGAGCTGCAGGGCACTCGTTGGTGTGCTAAGCCATTAACCCTTTAACTCCCAAGTGTGACCAAGACATAATTTCTCCCTACATTATCAATATCAAGCAGTCAAGTGATGAGAACAAAGAATAATATCAATTAGGAGATTATTAGTTGATCCAATACCAAATTCTCCGAACTAACATCACAAGAATTATATTGCGCGCATTAAGGAGAATTACCAATGAGATCTTGGGAGTTAAAGGGTTAACAAGGCGCAGAGCCCGCTGGCAGGATCTGTAATGTCGTTGTTACTTTCCCTGTGTACACTCGATTGCAAAAACGTTGACACCTAATAAGCTTGATTCACGAACGACAAGACCCATCATCTTTATGGGAAATGTTCGCACAGATACACAATCAGTGATTTACTTCTATCATTATTCATGGAAAATCTTTTCTCATGATAAAAAGTTTTCTTCCGGGAAAGTTTGGATAGCTCTTTGCTGAGTCTCATCGTTCATTATAAACGCCTGTTGCGTGTCAACGTTTTTGCAATCGAGTGTATACATGATGAATCCATGCTTGATGAATGATTTATCTTTGAAATTATTGATAGATGTTTTAACGATAGAGCAACACTGGTGTAACAGTCAGCAACTTACTGGGTGGACCACAGAGGTAATTTCTGATTTTGTGTTAATTAACAGAACTACATTTATTTTGCTATTTCGCACGCTGTTTGTACATTCAAGCTTTCATGCTAACGAAAAACAAAGAGTTGCTATCAACACAGCCATACTTTCATTGAAAGCCGGCTGTAACGTTTTCTTTGACGAACAACGAGTAACGTCCTAAGAAAGAATTATTAAGGAAAAAACTTACATCTATCTCTGAAACAAATTGTGAAGTTATCGATTGGTTTATGAACAATTCTTTGGATCGATCGAATAGCTAAGGTATGGATTAATTGAGTGGTTATTCATAAAAAATCTCGGGAGCATCATATTATTAAATTGATACATTAATGATGGTATGAAGTACTTACCAGTCCGTTACAATTACTAATTGCTACTGTTGATCTCGACTTGGCTTTTAATCTTCCAACATAGTGGCAATTTTCCATAGCATGTCTTTTCATAACTCTACCGTTCTTTCCTATAACCTCAACCTTGAAACTAGGCGTTAGTAGCCTTCTGTTTCGCTTTAAGTGAAGGTGAAGATTATTCCCAAAAGCTGACAGTTTGTAATGTACTTCTTCGCTGTCAACTTCATCCTCTTTATCCGAAGAGCGACGCAAACGTATTCTTGGATGTGATAACTCGTGAGAAACGAAAGCGCCCACTTCGTCTACTTGAACAGGATGCACAACGTTGTATTCAGGGACTGAAAGATATTTAACAAGTAAATCTGTCGATGAAACGTCTAAGGGAAATTTAGGAGCGTACCAGTATGACCGGAAGGGGTCATATGCACCTCTGCAACTCGAATGAGTCTGGCAGGTCACATGGGTATTAGATGCATGGAGTAAAACTTCAAAGGTTTTAACGATCAGGATGAATATGAAACCTTTGTCCGACTTTTGATTCGTTGATTGCTTGTTAGAATGCCTCTTTGGCCTAAAACGCAAATCAAGAACCCACGTTGATGGAAATCTATCTTCTTTCCTACCTTCGGGTTTGTTCCAAAACTTTTGTTCACAAAGAGGTTTTCAGTAACATTAAAATAAGAAAAAAAGTAGTACCGTCACTATGCGAATCTACTCCAAATAGGCGGGATAAGTCCCTTGTAGTCATGTGTCTGTGGATACCATTGCGATGGGGCTGGATAGAGAGATAAAAAAAAAATCAGCATCTTGATCTTGGAGCTTTATGTAATCTTTTGTTTTTAATCGCATTCGTTGGCGTGTAAAAAGCTAAAATTTTTGGGGCTGCTCACTGAAACGATGTTGTTTAGTAAATCAGCGTTGAAGATGCATCTTCTATTTAGCCAAACGTTGTAACTAAACTTGAGCTCTTGAGTACACTGCCGAGAAGGCCTATAAATAACACTGAAAAACATAATTTACTTCAAACAACCCACCAAGAAAGATATTTCTATGTATTTTTTGAGTGCAGAGCCTTTCCCTGATTTCTTTTACACTGTCTATCCTTTAACTATTGGTGAAAGAGCAAGATATATTTTTACGCATGATTTGATCTCTATGTTACTTAAAAATCTTAATGCAATTTCTTACGAATTTGAACTCTTATTCATGAATCTGCGAAATTCAGGAAAGACTGGAAGGGGCTGTTTCATATATTTTTCAATAAAAATGAAAGCTTTAAAACGATGCCCACCATCACATCCAGTACCTAATATTGTCAGTGATAGTGGTGCATGTGGGCTGAACAGTATGATACTGTTTTCGTTTTAAATCACTAGATCGTAGAGCACATATATTTCCAATACCAGAGTTTTTTCTTCAAAAGAAACAAGAGACCGATATCCATAGAAGGGTTCTAGGGTTTCGCCAATCAAAATTCAGCTTGTATGGCAAGCTACAAGGCATAGGAATCAATTTATTAGTTTATTGCTTTATCTATCACCTTATTATTATCTCCCACTTTTCAATATTATCTAAGTTTTTTTATATTTGTTTAGCCATTAAGAGCTTCGTGTTTCGCGGCGTTACTAAGTTTGCTTCAACTCTTGCAGTGCCTACGGTGATTCATTTTCCACAGAACTAATTACAGAAAAACTGTTCTTGTCCTAAAATCAAATGAGAAAAGAAGAGGCTGCTGTTGTCATCTTGGTGATAATTATGTTTTGCTTTTAATATTGTAATCATCTTTTCCGATAATTTTCCCGCCTCTTCTATTTAACATGGCTGGCGTAATAAAAGCCTTTGTGAGAAAGGACTTCTTAGGCAATATTTTTCAGCATTTTTAAGAAACGATAAACTTGTCAAACGTTGGTGCAGTTGGTCGAGAATAGTGTAGATAGACCTTAAAGCACTACCATGCAGTAATCAAAATAAGTTTCTGATCATCCAAATAAGTCTGCACTTAAAACGATGGTGCTGTTCGCTTACCGGCAATGGTTTGTTATCATTAAATGAAGCATTAGATAAAATGAATTTCAGCGATAACCATTTCTCAATAAACGAGAGAAATGACCCGAATGGCCCGAACAGTATGTCTCACCAACCGAGACGCACAAAAAACCAGGTAAAGCTAACACCAAAAGTGCATCAAGGTGTGTAGAATCAAAGATAAGTTGTCCATATACAGGGCTCTACCGGGGGGCATTGAAGCGTACATGTCTGTGCTCGTCTGTCGTATAATTAGTAGTTCATCATCTAGTACCGGCACGGGTGAAGCTAATGCATTCTTCTTTGCTTTCCAAATTAGTGATTAATTTCAACGCCAAAACAAACATGGGAAACAAGCTTGTTGTGCCGGAGAAATTTTCTTAGCAAACAGTCTTGTGTACTTTGTTTAATCTTGAACAAATGATCGAATACTTACGTGCATCGCTGTAACGGATAGCGAAAGGAAGCATAAAGCAAATTTGACAATCTTGAAACATCTTTCTTGCACGCTATCCATTTCCACCGCGTCTCAATCACTGCCTCTTAAAAAGAGAAATGAAATGAGTCACAGAGAGGAAAAATTATTGAAAACTCCTATTATTTGGGAAGATATGAAGAAAATAGTTCTTCCTAAGTTTATCACCGATACTTGTTTTCATTCGTACGATTTAACGCCATACCTTTGATTTTCAGGCCAACAGCATGTTGTATTTGTGTGAAACTCTGCTCACAGTCGAGTAACGCAGGATGTCAGATTCTATATCATCCACAGTTTACTCTTTCCCCTAATTATTACGGCGACTTGAAAATCAAATTAACACGACACACAAAACCGTGACCCTCGACAAAGATATGTTCAACACTTGCGAAAACAAATCTAAACAAACTGAGCAGCTGATTAATGTGGACTTAAAACGCTTCGATTCACTTGAGTGCCTTAACATTTGGGTTCAATCTGACGGCTGGGATACAAGCTTACCCTTTGTTGCGACGTTTGTGTTAAGCTTGGTTTTTCTCGTCTCCCTTGGAGGTTCAAGGTATCAAGAAAATCACGTATTTTTGCTTCAAATTATTGCCAAATATTCGATTCCTGTGCCATATTTTTTGGTTGTTTTTTGATCGCAAAGTTTCTAAACTGGTATTTTTTGGTGTTTATGACACATAGACCTGCAATTGCGAATATGATTGGTTGATTTTTATTGCTTTGCTTGTGGCATTACAGCAAGGGGTCAAGATGTAATTAAAAATGTATCTTAATGGAAAGATTTTTTGCGAAGTTAAACTAAATGGACGATGGCTCGTAGTGATGTTGACTAGTTTTTATTTTTTTGTTTTATTTTAGTTATTTGGGCTGTTAAATTAAATCCCGAAGAACTTCTGAATTGTAGAACCGAAGAAACTGTGGATGGAAACTCTAATTTCCAATTCTTATATCATACCATTTGTATGCTGATAACCGTCATGATACTCGATTAGAAAGACAAAAAGCATTCCCTTTCATTGTCTGTAAGGGGCGTTTAATGGCGGTGGTGTCTCGTTAAAACAATTTAGTAGAGCAGGAAATTTCTCCGGAATTATCATAAACAACATAGGTTCAATCCAGAAAGAGTTCACGTTTTGGAAAAAGCTCTTACTTGCGAACAAAACTGTGTTAAAAACACTTAATTTCTTGTTAAGAAGCAATTCATTTAATTAACACCGTGGTGTCGATGATGTTATGAGGGAACATCATCGACCTCTCTTTTAACAACACAGAACGCTTTAAAACTGATTGATATTTCTACAACAGTAATATTTACAGTGTGAGGAACAACTTATTGCAATTACCACTAGATTTGATAGCTTTTGAACGCTACGGTACACGACTGGCGATGCCCAGGGTCACCTCTAAGAATATGCGGTAAGGTAATTAGTTTGAAACTAAGAATATCAATAAAATAGGTCGACTCGAGGATTTCAAATCGCTTCCCGTATGCAAACAGGAAATTGATAGTTGAGCCAACATGAATTTCTTAACCGAGCCATTCCTTAAATAGAATGCAAACGTCAGATCGTGTTTCTGATATTTTCGTCAAAGACAACCCTAGCTCATCGTCAATCAACGCTTGAGATTTATAGGAATTGTATGTGAAGATTTAGCTCATTCCAGTCTGGTCTACAATAAAGTGGTTCCGGATGTATGCATAAGAGTTAAATTTGTCAACGCTTAGTTGTCTTTGTACTTGTATATGAACAATCGGTAATACTACGCAGAGGTCATTTCCCCCATCTGATGAATGGCTATTCAAAATGCCAAGAAATCGTGTATTTTTTGAGGATTTAAAAGGATTACGATTTTAAAGTAATGAACTGTTAAATAGGTTGAAAATAACCACGAGAGGCCATTAAGAAGAACCTATCACAGCCTCTTGGAATATTTTATTACACAAAACCATCCCTGGAATAACTTGTCATTATTTTTTAGGTTAGAATCACTGCGGTTTGCTTCAGTTTCCCATTGTACTTGCGGTTAGTTTGCGGGTCACTGAAAAAGATAACCACTTTCCTGAAAAGAGAGTCTATTATTCTTTATTGCTAACTGACCTTATCGGTCAATTTTGTCCTTCGTCGTTCCAAAAAAAAATAAAGAAAGTATTCGGGTTATCTGTGCGTCGCGACAACACATGAATTTCGGGTTCCTTTGACCTCAGCGTATCAAATGAATAGATTTTCCAAGTTTATCAGGAAGAATTTTCGGTGTGATCATTTATTTCTAAAGTGCTCACGCGTTTGGCTTCTTCTTGGCGCTAAGTAAGTAAACTGAAGAGGCGCGCAATACTAAGCCATTATCGATACTAAACATCCCGTTGGAGGCTCTAAAGGAAGCTTCAAACCTAGGTAAGTTGTTCTCTTATTTAATTTGATATGACACATCTCGAAAATCAATTTCGAAAAATAGCGTTAGCATTTAATGTTTTCTTGTTTTGAGAGGGAGGACTAGCTAAGTAGGTGTCTCTTGATTCAACTTGAATCAAAGGCCTGAGGCAAGAAACAAGCTCAGATAATTTAAATGAAGACGATGTTTGGTGAAAGGTTTTTCAAGCGCCGCCATTTAGATGGGCTACAATAAAAACTGTTCCTGATGTATTTTAAAAAGGCCGAAATTGAAGCAAGAGGCTCCCCAAAAATGGATGGCTCTCTGTAATTAGCGTATTGTGTATACTTGGAAAGAATGTTCGTCGGTTGAAAGCAATTTATTTTCTCGATGGGGAATGCTTGCATGATATCCCAAAAGAGTGTCTGCGAAGGTGACTAAAAGAACTGCCTGTTGTGAAAAGATATGCCTAAAATTGAAGGGATCTCTAGAAGTTATCAATTGCGAATGCTGACCCCGAATAGTGGCTCTACGCCAAAAGTGATTATTAATTGCATTTTCTGACTGTTTGCACGCAAAGCTATTGGCATACAATAGCTCCTTCAAGGCCTCAGGAATAGCTTGCCTTTTGAAAAATAAGTTTGCTTGAAACCAGCAGGGGATTGATTATGTAAGCATATGATAACGAGATCCTAAAAACGAGACGATATAATTTTTGAGTTTCCTAAGCTGTCTCCTCTTTCCTTAAAAAGGAAACGTTTCCATTACCAATCCACAAAGTAGAGCAGGACAAGAAAAGGTAGTCTCTTACTTTCCATTCCTCATGCGTAGCCTACAATTAAGGGAGCCACAATAATTATGTTATTCATATGACTAGGATATTCCTTGTTTCAACCAGTGAATAAGTTTGGCAAATGCAGTGACGTTTTCGTTTCGAGTAAAATTTGACCGAGAGGTCACTTTGTTATGAAGAGCTTGTAATCATCCGAACAAAAAAATTCAGTGCTGCTATTTGGGCTTTTTGCTTAATACAGTTATAACTGCATGAGTAGTAGGAAAAGAATTGAAGAATTATCTCTTCTCACTCTTCTAAGTCAAGCTGCCGGCGTTAGATGCTCTGCTAATCTAAGTTGACCTCTCCTGTGTGAGTGAGTGCGATTAGGAAATAATATTCGAGAGTATCACTTGCTTTTTTCTTTATCCAGAATTATCAAATTCAGCCTGTTTAATAAACGCAGCGAATCCAAAATTTAAGAATTTTGAAAACTGTGTGGGTGACTACATAGAAAACTTCTCTAAAGCTAGACTATGGACATAAATGTACTTCCTCATATGAATGATTCGCTTTATTCCTCTGTAAAAACCTGACGGGAAAGCCTAAATTTCCTTCTCGCCTGCAAGCTTATATACTCCGTGGACCAAAGGACTTGATTAATTCCTTGAAATGTCCAACTCAATTTGTTATGTAAAATCGACCAACATTGAGAGCTTGGCGTTACTAACTGAATTAGCCTTACTGTTCGCCTCAATGATTTTGTTTTTCTTGCATACGCTGGCTTCTTGGTAGTGTGCATTGTGACATGCAAAATGTTCAGAGAGATGTTTATGAGTCTCACCTGTAAATTGAACGCACAAGTTATGTGGTCATTGCAAGCTTTCATGGCAAAATAAATAAACTGTCGTGCAAATTTAACGAAAGGTGAGTTATTCCCAATCTGCCTCCATTTTTCGTAATCACGGTGAGACGAAATTGAGGTCGATCAAAAAACGGAGAGAAGAATTATGTTATTATTCAATAAAGGATTTATTACATGGCCAAAAAGTTACACAAACTTGACATTTCGATTTTGAGAGAAAAACTTAAAGCGGGAATCTAGGTCACAGAGTCAGGCACAAGGTATCCTGTTTAAATTTTGTTAAACAGAAGCATACAAGGACAACTTTTGAAAGGCAAAATTTAGCTGAACGCTTAAAAGTGTCGGTAAGTTCAAAAGCGTAATCGAAGGCGGTAGGACATTATCGTTTTAAGCCTGTTAATTATCAAAAAACAACAGGAACCTTTGCAAACAGTTATGCATATAAAGATATCGTTCCTGTAGAAAAGCAAAAGCAATATAATTTATTTAGTATGATTGGAAATTTTACTCTAGAAGATCGATGAACTATGAAGTAGTTTTCAGTTGCTGCTATTCCTTACATTCATCGAGCTATATTCCTAATCGATTTACATCGCGTTTTTAAAAAGAATTATCTGTATCTCTTATGGTTCGAAATGGCCTTTCGAAATTTGCATTAAGTATCTATCTGATAAACTTGATAAAAGGGGAAAAGTTCTTCGAGATCATGCAGTTATCATTATCATCATCAACTCACTCAACCTAGCATGGTTGTCTGAGGACAACCCCTTGTATTGTGATATCCTCGCACTGTTACATTGAGAACTGCCATACTAGCGGAGTTCCCTGCAAAAAAAACATAAGAAATCTAATTGAAATTTCTTACATTGCACTGACCAGAAAGACTTAGAAACATCCATGCAGGATGGATTTTGGATTCATGATGTGCAGTTTAAATTTTTTCAACCCTCTAACTCCCATAAGTGACCGAGACAGAATTTCTCCTTACGATATCAATACAATATCAACCAGACAAGTGATGAGAATAAGGAAAAATATCAGTCAGAGGATTATTAGTTGATCAAATACCAAATTATCAAAACTGACATCACAAGAACTGTATGGCAGACAATAAGGAGAATTACGAATGAGATCTTGGGAGTGAAAGGGTTAAGACTTTAACAATAGTCTGTGTTATTAGGGTTCACCTGCAGATTTGAAAGCTACATGTATACTTTAAGAGCACAATGTTAAATAGACAAGAGTAACATAGCGTCTGTATTGAGATCTAAACTGAACTGAAAAAATAACATCTGAATTTGGAAGCAATGTTGATTTTCACCACATTACAAAAAGTGCTGAATGACGGTATTTGTTATTCGGAAACCAATCTATATCGAGTTCATACTAATATTGCGAGAAAGCCGAAGACTATTCGAAAACCTTGCCGCTGTTGGTCGCTGATGCCAACCATTTACGTTGATCGTTCTTCGCTGCGCCTCTTCGGTCCAACGATGGACTTAAAAGGGATGGATGAGACGAACCATGAGCACAAAAGGCTTCAAAACTCTACAAACAGCAAGAGTAATATGCTACTTGTCAAACGTCCTATTTTGGTATCAGGACGTGTGCGTGTCTCACTGAGAGCTCCGGGAAAACATCAGAAACCAAACATTTTCAGCTGAGGAATAAGCCACAAAGTGGTATGTTGTCATCCAAAATATGAAGCTCTTGAACAGCTTCTCCTCACTCATCCTACTTAAAAAACTGTTACATATTGCCTGAATCTTAAATATTTCAAGATTAAGTAACGAAACTATCCAAATCGTTAAAGATTCCAAATTTCGTGGAAGATAACGAATTACTCATTCGTTCGCCATACACTAATTACGTGCGTAGCGTCATACTGACAGTAATTTCTCAACCAATGTTTAACTTGGAGACGCTCCCTCCCTCCCTCCCGATTCTTGTCTTCAAGTATATTTCCTCTTGTTTTGCAGCTGATTCACCATATTTTGAGGTCTTAAAGATTTTATTTGATCTGACTTTTGAAAGCATCTTAATTATTTCTTCAAGTTGATTCGTGTATCTGTTAAGCTGCCACTTGGCTTTATTTTATACATATTAGGCCGCTGATTTACCATGTTTTGAGGTTTAAAGAATTAATTTGATTTCACCATTGTGAGGTATTTTATTTCTTGTCCCAAAGGATAACTGAAGTCCAAATTCATGTAATTTTTTCCCTGTAGATCGTACATTTATGTATGATGGAACAAATTTCCGTCATGTTTTGTTCCTCGAACGACAGTATATTTCGTGTATAATTTTAGCTACCATTAGGCAAGATTTTAGACAAATTTGGTAGATGATTATGAGGTTTGAGGTTTTACAGATTTCTTGTGATTGACCTTTCTTTTTGTCCCGCAACTACATTGTGAGCTACTTCGCTCCTTGAGCGTGAATCTTATTAATCGCAGTTTTAACGTGCGGTCAGTTTTTATTTTTTGCCAGGTCACAGATTGAGTTTTCTGTATCAATTTGCTCATCATTCCCCGACAGTTTTGTCACGTTTGGCTGTAGATATATCTGACTTTTTTGGTAAAAACTGCGTTAAAAGCTCATCTTGCGTCTGTTGATATCACGTATATGATTCATTTTTAGCTCCAAGTTTTAGTGCACTGGCTAACGCTCTTGGAGTTAATAATTACATAGTTACTATAGAGGGCACGGTACCGCTACTGGAGGGAGATGGCAAAAGTATAAATTCTCACCACTATTGAATAATTTAGACATACCATGAGGTAGCTCCAAGGAGCCTTTGATTAGTCCTCCTGGTATCATTTCAGTTGGTTCAACAAGGAAGCACATAAACTTATACATGTAACTCTCTGAGTTTTGAGGATGTTTTAGTGGAAGTAATAGAGCTGCCTAGATACCAAAGATGCTGGGAACTTCTTTGAAATTTCAAGAATTCTTAAATATCCTTTTCCATGCATGAACAAATGAGAACTGCCGCCTTAAAACCAAATGAGACAATTTCAATGATAGTCTTTAATATCTATTTTCAGACGCAAACGTTATTCCTTTGTTACAACATAAAAGGTGAAGTATTAATTGAAATAGACCCTCGCCAGTCATGGAGGGAAAGTGGAGAAAGTTTTCACTACTAATCGAGGACGTGAAAAAGTTAACAAAACCGCTACAAGAAGATACAGAAAAAGTTGCTAAAATTTTGAAGGATTACGAAGAGATACTAAAAACTGAGGGAGCAAAGCCTGAGGAATGTGGTGAATTGAGCCAATTATCCCAAAGCCTCAACAAAGTAATGGATAATTTGAAGAATGTTCGGGAAAAGGAAACCTCGAAAGATATAGTCATTCAATTTGTTGGAGCAACCAGTAGTGGCAAATCATCCCTTATAAACGCCCTACTCGGCGAACGTCGTCTACCTGTTGGATTCATGCAAACAACCATGTGTTCCATTAAAGTTTGCATCACTGAAGACAGCGAGTGGAGCATTGAAAAAATTGACAACAATGGAAACAAAGAGCCTCTCACAGAGGGAAGTGACGAAAAGAGTGTAAGCGATCTCTTGAGTAAAATGAGTGGTCAAAGAAATGAACAGGAACGGGAAAAGAAGGGAATTGGTCTAAGGACCATAATACAGATCAATTGGCCTGCCAGCAAATGCAAAAAGTTACCACGAAACGTTATCTTGTGTGACACACCCGGCTTTGGAGAGAATGATGAAGACATGGAGCTTGTCACCCAGACGTGCAAAAAAGCAGACATAATTGTAGCCGTAATGGATTCCATGTCACCGTCAAGAGGGAGAGTGAGTAAAATGCACATGTTTCCTCTGTTAACAGAATCTATTGTTTCAATCAGGTTGATGGCAATGTGACCAAATATTAAAACTCCGCTCCATGGAAACTGCTAATTACTGACACCCTCTATCCCAGCGTAGACAATGCTTATCCGGGAAATGTCTGTCAGAACTGTCTCAATTATGATCGAATCATAGACAGTAAAATCTGTTCCCCTTTCAAACTAGGAATACTTTCTACGACTTACGATTTTATCACCGGAAAAATTAAGAAAATAGTATAACGAGTCGATTTTTATGTTTGTCACCGGGTGTTCTTGCCGCGTAGGCTTTAAATGTGGACTTCTGTCCGCTAGGCCTACAAATAGATTTCATTTCCTTCCTTTTCCGTCACTTTGTTTCATCTTTAGTCCTCCCCGCCATGCCGCAAAATGAAAGCTTCAATATAATGTAAGTTCGTGTTTCATTAATAAGTCAAAAAAGAATAACTTTATAAACTTGAAATACTTGCAGATAATATATGATTATGAGATGGCACCTAGCTCTATAATCTTAGAACACAATAAACAGCACTCTTTGACGAGGTGGGTTCTGTGGTACACGAGAAACTTCGTCTCCCCCTTTTTAAGCAACGTTATTTTGGTACATATGGAAACACGCCACACTGGTATTTAGAAACAACCTGACACGCCCTCAAATACCAAACAAGACAGCAGTGATCCTCTTTAGGAAAATATTGTCTATGGCCCTTCATATTTCTCACATTTCGATGTCTATTTTTCTAATTTTAAAACTGTTTTTAATATTGATGTTCCCGTAGCTCATTAACCTGGTGAAAAATGTTGGCTGCCAATTTACTTTTGGAATCTTCACCAAATGGGACGAATGCATAAGAAAAGCGCGGGAAGAAGGACAACAGAGCATCCGAAATGTGGTAAAAACGGCCAATGATTATATGAAGGAGTTCTGTGAAGTGCTTCAAGGGAAAGGCAAAGCTTACTTCGTGAACGTCAAAAACTTTGAAAATCATGATGTAAGTACTAAGTCCATGCATGCTGATTCTTGCTTAAATTTCAAATTTAAGTGTAATGCAATCATTTCAGCAAGAAAGTTCGAACATGGAGAGGCAAGACACACCTATCAAAACTTCGAAACATTCTTACCTCTGATGACATTCTTGTGTTCATTCTTTTCTGAATTTTCCTTATTTGCACTACAAGTTGGTAACAAAATAGCCACGAACAGAAAACGAAATACAAGTAAGAACGAGTACGTTCTCCAATGCCGGAGATAAGCAAGGATGGTAAGCTGTTATCATTCTTCAATGAAATTCTAAAAGGAAGGCGTATTCCTTTCTTCCTCTTATTTTCAGGATACATTTCTTCAGTTCGAGAACAAACTGGCCACGAGTGCAACAAAATTGAAGATAGAGTCATTAACACAGCAGGCAAAATCTGTAGCTTTGCATTCCAGGAAGGTCTGCGAAAAGCTGAAAACTGTCATTGAATCCAGAAAGAGAGAAAAGCTAACTTGTCTGGAAACAGAGTTAGCTTTGATGGTAGAAGACGGCGTGAAGCTATAGGACGCTTTTGATGACATTAAGAGTAAGGAGGAAGACCTAGAAATTTTAACCGACGACACAGTCCAACCGTTATTAAAGGAGGTTGAAGACGAATTGTTGAAAGGCACATCAGAAGAAGAGGCTGTCAAACATTTTCTCGACGAAATCAATAAAGAGATCCAAAAAAATCTGACACGCAAAAGACATATAACTGGTACTGCCCTCCAAGAATGGAAGAAAAACATGCAATTCCACAAGTTACAGTCTCTCAGTACGCCTCCGTCTCAAGCACTTCCTCAGCTTACAAGTCAGGGATTACCTGAAGACCAATACCAGTGGTATCGCGACTTTAATTACTACTACACGAACAACTACATCTGTGCAGCCTTGGTTGGTGTCGCAGCCGTCGCAACTCCTGTATTTTTAGCTGGTGCTGGTGTAGGTATGTGAGTCAGAATCAAACATTTCCAGTTATGTGTCCAGTCCTTTTCAGTTACCTTGAACCTCAGATTCACTTTAACATAGGCCGCCCCGGGGACGAACTTTTTCCAGTGAATTTGCCTTTTATCTCACGAAATTAGGGCGTGTTTCTGGATTTAGACTCTTCTAAATTTGGGCTCTATTCCAGGATATCGATTTACATGCTCTAGATTTAAGTGAGTAAATCTTTCCTATTTCACTTCGGATATCTCCAGCTTAGCGAGTGTCCCTATGTGCGGACTCTTATCAGTTTATCACCGTAATTTTGCTTCGCATTGGGAAATTACAGTGTAATATGCTGTGTATGAAATAATATGTGAAAAGGATGCCTTTTTATTAACCGCTTTAAAAGCCACCCCATTATTTTACATCAGCTTATGTAAGGGATAAAAAACAAGGATGTCTATAAAAATGCCTCATTCTCAGTTATGGTTTGAGTTTATAGCCGAAGCATCTTGTTTTACGTTATCACACATGATTAAGACATTCTCGCTTTGGTTTCTTAGGGGCACTCGCAGGCTGTGCTGGAGAGGCGGTCGCACAAGGAGTGATGACAGGTGGAGCATGGGCAACTACCTTAGGAGGTCCTGTTGGAGCTGTCGGAGGATATATTGGAGAATGGTTTCGTGGCTTTCGTTTGGGAGACCAGTTGAAGAGAAAATTCCCGATAAGCCAATACAAAATAGATTGCTGGAAAAGTCTCCTCGCAAATCAAATAAGAAAGCTCCGCCAAGACTGCAAGAAGCTTTTAAGGGAGGAAAAGGACGCTGCTCTTGCGAATATCTTAAAGAAATTGGAGAGCGTCGCACTTGAGAAGTCAGACGAGATCGCAGGGCTTTGTAACAAGTCACACATCTTGAACCAGCTAGCTGCACAACTGGGAAACATTTGTGACCGAGTACAGACAACAACAGAAGAGTTCGACATGCTGCTGGCTGCGTAAGTATTTTCTCTTCGCATAACTCTTATAAAGAGAAACATGGAAATTATCATTAGGTTTTGCGGATATGAGGGCTTTATATCTGCCAACTTAAACAGTTTGATTAAAAATATTCAAATACAAATTTCACGGTTTTTGTTCTTAATCAAAGGAAAAGCCAAGCATATGAAGTAAATTGAAACATTATGAACTATAGGCGATTAGACACTGTGGAACTATGGGAAAAAGGCAACGAATTGCTCCTAAATGACAAAATTAAGATAATTGCCTACGCGTTTTACTTTTCTGAATGTACTATTTTATGATAATTTTCACAGTATCTATAAGCTTCTAAAAAGCAATTCTTTTTCTGATTGCCAGCTAAGCCTTTCGATCGTATTGTATACGATTTTAAACTTTAACGCAAATTCTACTTACAATAATGTTCGCGCTGATAGAATACACTAAACATGACAAGCTGAAGAAACATAGGAATACACAAAACACAAATTTCAAATGCACGGGCTTAAGACGATCCCTGCATGCAGCCTTGACCATGTTGAACATGTATTTCAGTCTCAGTTGGTTATTTAAATATTATTTTCATTTCTAGTTTGCCGAAGGCCCAAGATAATATGGTCGGTGAAATTGATCCGGAGATATATATCTCTCAAGCAGGTATATTTTAAGATTATTATTTTTTTTGTTTTAAAGGGTCTTTCAAAAATATCATAGCACGGCTCTGTATTGATCGGTGGGTGATTGATCCATCTGTTGTCGTATGGCAACCGGAACAATATTTCAGCATGTAAACGTTTTATACAGTAATCTCAGAGGAATGCTTGTCGCGGGTATGCGGGCATGACTCAATTATTGCTGTGGAAAATTGAAGAAGATATTATGTTAAAAACTATCTTTTCTTTTTTCTTTTAGATAGTACGATGCACTCTGAACGATCTGGCTAATGACGTAATTCAACACAGGGAGCTGTTCAGTGCTACTCCGTGTCGGCATGGATTGGATTTTTTCTGTAAAATCTCAATGTATGGATACCATCCTTTGATCACAGGAGTACTTGGGCCCTTTACTCGTGGGGTTGAGGGGGCGGCGAAGAGAACTGAAACCTTGCCTCCCTAAGATAATGAACATTTTTTTAAAATATTGAGTTCATACGAAGGCGCGAAAATTGTAAAACAAAAGGTGCATTGAGACAATTTTGCACAATCCCACTGTATAGAAAAATATTTCACTGGAGGCCACGTTGCTGGTACTTTCAAATCCACAAAATCAGCTTTTTTTTGTTTTTCAAAAGGTAAGTTAGCTTTTGGGTTTACCACTGTAATACTTGGATTCGTCATAAGTGTTAGTATAGGTTTTGACATTTTAGAATTTGACTTCTGTTTTTTCGTGAGAGGTTTATACCCCTTTCATACCAGCAAACCAAGTTTAATTAAATCGGTTTAAACAGCATGAAAAGCAGAAAGAGGAAATTGAAACCTGAATTTTACATTAGATTCAAGTAGTCGCTAACTTGTATTTACAAAGCGGAAACTTTGAAGTTGACAAACATCGGCTCACTTTCCAAAAGTTTTCCCTATCTGTAACGATAAGTACAATAAAAAAAGGTTACCATACTTGTCTGAGAGATGTGATTAGCCAATCTTATCCATTTATGCCTGTATTAGCACTTATCACGTGCGTCATTCATCGGGTCGCGTTACATTTTGCGATAGCTTGAAGGAAGGATCTTAAAAGTACCACTTGAAAAAAGCTTGATAGGTAGAAATTCTCGAGCGTATGGAACAATTTGATCTACAATTTGTGGAAAGATCATGTAATTTTAAACGACATCGACTTAAAAGGTTCGTTGTTTTCAACGTTATAATTTGCGTCGTCAAATAACGGCTTCGTGCACGCATTCAGCTATATCTTTCTCTCCCTTGGGTGATGTTTCTTTAAATTTACCTATTTGAATGGGATAATTTGTGCACCAAAACAATGCAATTAAAAATATAGGTCGCCCTATTCGATCAAGAGCCAGAAACCATCGTATCTCTTTACCTGGTCCATTGATTGAAAAACAGTATCGTGTTCTCAGAATGCGTGCGCTTATTCGCCTGATTAGGTGATTTTTATGCGCAATACAGGATGCGCAATGCAATACTGAGAAATCACCTTAATCTCTGCGAAAGCCTCTGGAAATGACGAGGCTCACGACCAAAACAATTTTTTTTAAATAGATCTTTGGTAGATCGTTGCTTCTACATTAATGAAACGACCCCGTTAAGACCTAAGACACTATTTTTGTTAGGATGCATAGGGTCTGATGATTGTAATGTATATCTTGTAGCTTTCAAACTTTTAACTTTGTACTAATTCTAACTGTTTACCATATCTATATCTTTGTACCTTAAGCCCTATAACCTGACTTCCTTTGTTTTGAATTGTGTGATTATACAATTTTGCTGTGTAAGGTACCACATTGTAACATGTATTACGTGGGATGTATTAAGTACTCTTGCTCAAGCTTTCAATAGTGCGTGGTGTTTCTTACCAATGCTCATACCCAAACTGAACATTGATAGAAGGACTTGCACACAAGATATGTGAGTTTTAATGGCTGGGAATCTGGAAAGGCAAGGATCCTTCTTTCATTAGGACTGAAATTAATGTTTTCTCTCCTATTTTAATTCATGTTTCTACTTTGACCTGCCTCCTCTTTAATGTTTAGGTCACATAGATGAAGAGATGCATGAAAATAAAATTAATTAGTGTCCATATAGTGCACAAAGCAAGAATATAAATGCCTTAGTTATCTTTATAGGTTAAAAAATTAAAATGAGAGAGTTGTGCGGACCAATCCAACTTTTTATCATCATTTGGATATTTACTCAAATAACATACTCATTATCAGTCTAATTCACTCTCACTGTCCACTCAGCTTGTGGAAAGATGGTAACCTCGGTATTTTTCTAAATGAAGAAAGGAAAGCCTGCCTTCTTATCACAGATGGTTCTTTTGTGCATGAGCAAATTGCTATTTTTAAAGCACGCTCTCAAGATTAAAATTAATGGCTGACCCAGGGCTGTGGTTTGCTATATTCATTCATTCATTCATTCATTCATTCATTCATTCATTCATTCATTCATACATTCATTTGCTATATTCATTATTTTCGATCATTATTTTCTTGTAAAACGGTGATTTTTCTCACCATCATTACAAACCTAGTCTAATTTGTACATGAAGGTTTTTGTTCCGGGTATTTTAAACCTTGTAAATGAGTAGTCAAAATTTCTTGATCCTGTCGACATATGAAAGTTTGACTCAATTTTACCTCACTAACCTAAACAGAATAAATAGAAACTTGAAATTTATTTGTTTTACTTTTGAGATGTGCATCAAAATTTTGAAGTCATGGCAAGCTTGAACTGCAGGGTTATAGGAAATCTGCATGCGCAGGTGTTTTCAACATTAAAACCAGGATTATGACTACTTTGAATGACTAATTAAATACTATGTGCCAATTATAAGTACAGGCAGGAGTTGTAAAAAATTTTTCTTAACATATTTACTTGTGTATAAGTCAAATACATTAGTACACATTACTTTTGCTAGAATCCTGTTTATCCGGCTTAATTTATTTATGCTGAATTCTGATTTTTCAACCAAATTTTAAATTCTTTTGAATATTCTTAGATCTCTTACATGTAGTATCAATTAATATTCATGTAATTAAAAAAATTACAAGAAATCTTGCAGACGTATGGTTCATTCATTTTTCCTCTGACCCTAGTAAAAAATTTTTAGAACATGTATGTGTAGGGATTGCCAGATCGTGCAAAATTGCACGATGACGTAAACCTCTTCGGAAATGCTCGTATTACGTCCGATCGCTCTAAAATTCCGACTGTGGCGAGTAAACATTCTAAGCCAATCACATAGCAAATTTTAGCTCCGAGCTATCAAAATTGACCTTTGGAGCCCTTTCCGGAAATCATTTTCGTACGACTTCAATCTGCGATAATGGCGTCTGGTGCGAAGCGCTAGAGATACAGCGTAGCTGAGGCTTTAGACATCATTTTTGACGATGGAAGTGAGCATGGTAGTATGTCTAGTGGTGAGGAATCTGAACTAGACAGAAAACTGGAAAATCCTAGCGAAGAATCGAGGTAAGTAATCTATAAACATTGTTGCGATATTTAAATGCGTGACGCACGTGATGTTGAAACAGCGTAAAATTAAATTTACTTTTACTTTTCTCGCTCGAATCCTTGTTTTTTGCCTTGAGATAGACCTGTAGATGTATATTTGTGAATGTAAAGCAATATGTATTGTGATCAAACATGATTTTTGAGCGACAGAGTAAATAATCTTCAATGGAATTTGACAACGCAACGACCTAAATTATCAGCCGATGACAGATCGATCGCATGACGCAGTGCGCATCCGAACTAAATCAAAACAAATCCTTTATTTCAAAACGATAGTTGTATATAGATCGACCTGTACATTATCTTGTATGTTTTGTATGTTTTTTAGATGTGGTTCTACTTGTTACACGCTAAAAATTCTCAAAAAAAACAAATTATGCTCGAGAATGAGTGGAATGATATAAAATGACAGTTTCGGTTTCACTTCTGAATTGTTTACTCTTGAAAATACTGGTGGTGCATTGCACGTGAAAGGCTTTTGATGTATGTTGCACTTTATGTATTTTGAGGTTGATTATCTCATTTGTCCCTGTTTCAAGGCAAAATTTCAGAAGTCAAACAAAGAAATATAGTTCCAATGGTTGCACTGTAGACTTCAAGAGGGATTAGTAAATTTGGGCTTGGGGTCATGATAAGATAAGGTCAGACTAATTAGTCTGTATGTCAATCTTCAAACAAAGAACAATAGTTCCAATAGTTGCACTGTAGACTTCAAGAGGGATTAGTAAATTTGGGCATTTCACTTCTGAATTGTTTACTCTTGAAAATACTGGTGTTGCATTGCACGTGAAAGGCTTTTGATATATGTTGCACTTTATGTATTTTGAGGTTGATTATCTCATTTGTCCCTGTTTCAAGGCAAAATTTCAGAAGTCAAACAAAGAAATATAGTTCCAATGATTGCACTGTAGACTTCAAGAGGGATTAGTAAATTTGGGCTTGGGGTCATGATGAGGTCAGACTAATTAGTCAGTGTGTCAATCAGTGTTGACAAGATATGTGTAACACGTCTCAGATTTGTTATCTTTCAACCAATTTTTTATGGAGATGTTGCCCATATAACAAGGAACCTCTTAAGTTAATTTTTGCCTTATTACTTTGTATTATTTGGGTATCACTTAATTCACAGTTCAAATTTAGATGATATTTTATGCTAATTAATGTTAGTTTGAAAGCATTCAATGAGTTGTTTCCTTTTTCTTGGAGAGGAAACATGCATTTCAGGAAAGCTTATTTACTGCTGTTTCAAGTGAGGTATAGCTTACTTCCCTTGTGTAAATACTTGGTGAGGAATAAATTTTTCAATAATCTGGGTCAGTTTTTATGGTTTTGGGGTACAGTTTGGAAAAAAATTCTAATTAATTCCATATTTGTTCTTTTTCAGCCAGAGTCTCTGGATGTCTTGCCCATAAGATAAGGAATATTTTATCTTAGAAATGTTTCCTTTTTTACTCCAATCCATTCAGGCTCAGGCTGTTTCAAAGTCAAAAGTTGTACAATAATTTACGCAAATTGTATGCCATTTTCTTAGCATGATTTAAAATCCATGGATTTTTGGAGGCTAAATATATTTTTTCTGAAAAGCTAATTTTGTCCTCTTTCAAATGAGATATAGCACTAATCACTAGTGTAAATACTGTTGACAAAAAAAATAAAAGAAAAAAGGTTGCCATCATTTGTCGTTTTTTTAAGTTTATATGAAAGAGTTAAAGAGAAGATATAAGAGAAGCTCATACAATTCTAGAGTATTGTTTTACTGACTCACTGTTCTCACGTGTAGACTCCTCACTTGAGGTAGTTTACCGTCGTTTCTTTCAAAATTGGCTCATTTTACAAAAACATTTACCTATCTTCGAAAATTTGCTCAAAACATCAGGAACAGTAACGAAGATCTACCGCTACTTGAAAATACCGCTAACTAGCATGCATGTTGATCGCTGTGCAAGTTGTGAGAACATCGTCCATAGGTTCCAGACCATCAATTCCCCCAAACCCCCCCACTCTCCGACTGATCCCTAAATTCCCTGGAAAAGAAATGAAGGGCTGAAACATAAAATAACGAGAGCTCCGCTTTTAGGCTTGCCTAAATCTATATATCAATTATGTATGGTCTCACGTACGTGTTATTATCGAAAAGAAATAAAATGGCGGCATCTTTCACGACTCAAAAAGGAGTAATTAGAACGCTCTCGCCGGTACCGAAGTTTACGTTTTACGCAATTTTTTTTGCAAAGACGAAGAAGGTATTAATAAACTTTGTCTTCACGTTTGGAATGATGTGTCAAGTGCAGTTGATAACAACCTAAATGCAGTTAAATTCACAAAAGTTTCTTCGTAGCTCTGAAAATGTCAATTCTCTTTCTGAAGAAACGAAGGAAATTCACTCTAAACGTAGATGGTTAGTAGATGGTAGATGGTAAGTATTTGTTTCATTCATTGGCTAGTAGGGAGTCTGTGTATATCTTACCAATTCTGATAAAAACCGATTGATTGACGTTTAGATCACGTGATTCAACACGTGACCTTCGTGGTCAGTATTAGTCAGTATTAAGATAAAAGTTCGTACGGAAAACCATCCTCCTCGAAGGTTTCAGCGACATATACCTGTTTATTTTGGTAACACAGTTTACCGTCCTGACCCAAGCCTTAAAACTGCTTGAGCTCTGGGAGCTAAATAAGTGAACTATAAAGGCGCTCCATACTGAGACATCATCGATTATAAAAATCCTATTGGAGGCTCTAAAGGAAGCTTAAAACCTGGGTAAGTTGTACATTGTACTCCGACCCATTTTGTGATAGTTAGCTATTGATGTTTTCTTGTTTTGAGAGGAAGGAATAGCTAAGTAGGTGTCTCTTGATTCAACTTGAGTCAACGGCCTTAAGTAAGAATCAAGCTCAGATAATTTAAACAAAGACATTATTTGGCGAAAGAATTTTTAAGCACAGCCATTCATGTCAGTGATAATTTTCACATGTGGGCTACAATAAGAACGGGTCTTAAAGGGCGAAACTGATTCAAGACTCTCCCCAAAAGTGGATGGCTTTCTGTAATGAGCCTGTAGTGCCTGTATACCTCGTAAGGAATATTCATTGGTGGAAAACAATTGCTTTTTCTCGATGGGGAATGTTTTGATGACATTCTGAACTGAGCAGCTGCGAAGGTGACTAAAGAGACTGTTAAATGATACGACTGAAATTGGAGATGCTGACCCTTAATAGCGGCTCTTCGCTAAAAAGAATTCTTCATATTCTCGCTTTTAGCACGCAATAACTCCCCAAGACGCCGGAATAGCTCGTTTCGTGGAAAAATCAGTGAGCTTGAAACCAGTAAGGATATTATTATGTAAGCATATGATGGCGAGACCTTGAAAAGTATATGATCTTTATTTCGTAAAAAAGGTTGTGGTTATTCATCATGGCGAATAACAATTATTGCCTGGAGAAGACTAGCAGTATGCAGTCGAAACGTCGCGATCTACATTACACGTGACTACATCGTGAGACGAACGAAAAACTTAGCTTTTATTAAAGATGATATTAATTTTTCGAGTTTACTAAGCTGTTTTTTCCTCTTTCCTTATTCAGAGACATCTCCATAACCAATCCACAAAGTATAGCAGGATAAATACAGGTATTCCTTCCTGTAGCTTATGCGTTGTCTAGCATTGAGAGAGCTACTGTATGCTATTCATATGACCAGAATATTCCCTGCTACAATTAGTTTAAAGTAAGTTTTGAAAATGCATTGATGTTTTCGTTTTGAGGGAAAATTCGACTGAGAGATCATTTTGTTATGAATATTGAAGCTTCAGATCATCCGAAGTCAAAATTCAGCGCTGCTGTAAGGGCTTTCGCTCAATACGGCTATAAATGTATGATTAGGAAGACAAGAATTAAGAGAATTGTTGATTCTCACTCTTCGAAGTCAAACTACCGGCGGCAGATGCTCTGCCGATCACATATGAGTGTGCCTTGCTAGTTAGGTCTATTTGAGTGGATGTTCATGGGAAATGATATTCAAGTATTACACCCCCATTTTGCCTTATTCAGAATTGTTAAATTCGACCTGTTTACTGAAAGAAACGAATCGAAAACCTCAACAATGTTGCATAAGAATTGTGTAAGTGGCTAGTATTGAAAAGTTGCACTAAAGCAAGACTATGGATATGAATGGACTTTCTTTTATGGAAAATGCTTCATTCCATTCCTCAGTTAAAACCTCACGAGCAAGTTTCAAATCCCTTTTCCGTCATAAATTTGCCTTGCAGATAAAAGGAGTTGATTAATTCTTAGAAATCTTGAACTTAATACGTTCCTTAAAATCGAGAAACTGCACAATTATTTTTCTTTAGAGGAGTTTAGCATTCCTAAAAAATGAGAGAGCTACTGTATGCTATTCATATGACCAGAATATTCTATTCTACAATCAGTTAAGAGTAAGTTTTGAAAATGCAGCAATGTTTTCATTTTGAGCAAAAATTTCCATTTTGTTTGAAAGAGGTTGAGATCATCTGAAGTTAAAATTCAGAGCTGCTTTAAGGGCTTTCGCTTAATACAGTTATAAATGCGTGATTCTTAAGAGCCAATGTCAGCATGCATCAAACAAACAGCGGCAAGTCACCCAAATTTGTTTTCCCTCCTACTTTTATATTTTGTAGCCCAATATGTTCTTATAATTTTGGTGTAGTTTTTTTGTAAAAATATATTTTAGTTTTCGAGAAATAATTTTTTTCGTTCGACCGCTCCATGATATGCAAATTTTCACCGTGAATATTACCCGAGTTGTGTGACCTCATGTATCAAATGTATTAGACTTACGGTATTTCTGTGAACACAATCCTTTGTTTCATCATCTAAACTTAATCCCCTGTCGTTATTGTAGCTGCCAAGGAAATATTTATTTTTTGGTGAATATTTTTGTCCGACATACTTTTCCTATGTCGAAAAGTAGCATCAAAACAAAGACAGTTTTAACAATAACCGATATGACACAATCTACTGAGCTTCAAGCTTTTAAAAGAGCAAAGGATGGTTATAAAGTTACTGTAAAAATTTCCTTGTGTATTTGCGTTGTTCTATCATGAGACGAACTCAAAGTCCGGCAAAATTTACTTGATAGCGACTATTAAATGTACATGATGCGCCTACTTGTCGCCACCGTTAACTGGCATAAATCACTACAACTTGCAAAAACATCTAACATAACACTCTTATCTTGTTTATTTATGATTTTATTAGCTGTTTCGATAATCATGTTAATTATGCTCTACCACATTCTAGCCACATTTCAGTTCCAGTTTATATATCTTCTCTAACTTATTATATCAGCTGCGTGACAAGCGTGACACAGAAATTCAAATATGAATCAACCTCCGAAATACCAAGAGATGGGTTTTTTCCTCTTTGCATGACATCTAGAAAAACCTTTCAGGAATTGCTGCATTCAGAAAACTAAAATGTCCAGATCCATCAATGATTCCTTTGCCGGCTGAAGTCAAAGTGTGGTTACAGTGGTCAATTTGATTGACAAGCCACATACTAATTTAGCCAACTGATCTGTTTTATAAGCGTCTCATCTTACATGCTAACATGGAGATTTGCTATTTAGTTAAATCGTTCGCTGGTGGAACTTGTGGGTTTAGTTATCGAGACCAAGTCGTTCCCTTGCGTGATTGTTAAAAAGACATTTCATGTCACTTGCGGAGTTGCAAGTTTTCAGATCCAGAAAATGAAGTTGATCTTGTTTTGTCGCGTGCCGGCATCTTCTAGACGCCAAAAGATATCGATGATTTTACAAATTGCCCCACTCACAGATCAAATCTCGGTGTTGGTTGGAATCGTAGTTCCAATAGCAGATGTAGGGTGCCAAAAGAAATGCTCGGCCATGGTAAAGGTAGGGTTAAGTCGATTCCAAAAGCTGATAGGGGAATTAGCAAGCGTGTATCACAGATAGTACTCAAGATGTCTGGAAAATTCATACAAACTGGCTTCGGCAAGTAGGCTACTTACCACCGTGAGCAGAATTACGCGTGACGTCAGAGTTAAGTCTCGATTGGGAATTTGTCAATAGGCTACCAAAAATTCAGACAGAGGCGGAGTTTTCTGAAGTAATGTCTGAACACTTTGTTGGCTTTCCGCCGTATGGGGGGACGCGTAATTATGCACACGGTGGTAAAGGGCTCTTCCGCACTAGCGACTAGACGCTGACAAAACATGTTTCTCTTCGCCAAAATCACATCAGAATTTGTCCTTGCAAAATGTCAAGTGTGCTGCACGTATTAGCACCCCCAGGGGGACCCCTTTACATAAGAGGGCGGGGGAAAACGATCGCTATAGAGTTATAAAAGGTGCTTAATTCTTATCCGTGTGGGAGTGGCAACAATTAGCCTGTAAAAACAAGTCTTTCTGTCCTTTTCTGTCTTTTTCAATGCTTCCCTCGCTCCTACAGAGGATTCATACAAATATGAGAGCCGTGCTGCGTTTACATTGTACAGGTAGAAAAGGTTGTCCAGAATGAGTGTTTCGTTCTGTAATGAAAATCTCAATAAACTCACTCAGAAATGACTCATTTTGAATACATTTTAAGCTGGTTATTTTGTGGCAACCGGTATGAACTCGTTCTTGTACAAAACTCATTGGGATATCATGTAAAAGGCCCCTAAAAGTTTTTATTCCCAGAGCATCATGCTTTGCTCGCAACAACCCGCTTTTAACTGCTTCGCTGTCGCTGAAACAACGATTAGTGAAGAAAGCACATATTTTGATATTTTCAATTCAACGTAAACAAAATCTTTATGAATGGGAATATTCACTTGTGTCGGTATCAACTTTTGCGTGACTAGCTTATGATATAAATGAGGGAGGGGAAAACACAACGCAAAACCTGAGCTCCTGTCAAAAAGTAATACCCAGACGTAATATAATAATTGAAGCGGTTAATAAAATCATAAATAAACAAGATAAGAGTGTTATGTTGGACTTTTTTTCAAATTGTAGTGATTTATGCCAATTAACGGTGGCGACAAGTAGGCGCACCATGTACATTTCATAGTCACTATCAAGTAATTTTTGCCGGACTTTGAGTTCGTCTCAAGATAGAACAACGCAAATACACAGTAACTTTATAACCATCCTTTGGTCTTTTAAAAGCTTGAAGCTCAGTAGATTGTCTCATATCGGTCATTGTTAAAACTGTCTTTGTTTTGATGCTACTTTTCGACATAGGAAAAGTATGTCGGACAAAAATATTCACCAAAAAATAAATATTTCCTTGGCAGCTACAATAACGACAGGGGATTAAGTTTAGATGATAAAACAAAGGATTATGTTCACAGAAATACCGTAAGTCCAGTTCATTCGTTACATGAGGTCACACAACTCGGGTAATATTCACGGTGAAAATTTGCTTATTTGAGCGGTGGAACGAAAAAAGTAATTTCTCGAAAACTAAAATATATTTTCGCAAAAAAACTACACCACAATTATTAGAACATGTTGGGCAACAAAATATGAAAGTAGGAGAGAAAACGAATTTTGGGCGATTAGCCAGAATATTTCAAATTTGTTCGATGGATGCTGACATCCTCTCTTAAGAATGCATTTATAATTCCTGATTATTAAGACAAGAATGGGAGAATTGTTGATTCTCACTCTTCGAAGTCAAACTACTGGCCTTAGATGCTCTGCAATCTCATACAAGCTTACCTTCCTATTTGAGTCTATTTGAGTGGATACCAGTAGGAAATGATATTCAAATAAATGAATACACCTCCATTTTGCCTTAAATTCCACCTGTTTACTGTACGAAAAGAATCGATGGCTCTCTGTCATCATTCTATAGTGCCTGTATACCTGGCAAGAAATGTTGTTAAAAGACAAAATTGGCATCAAGCAAGAATTTTCTGCATATGTGTTTTTAACTTATTTAAGTGTTGGAAATAGCATATTTGCAAAAGCCATTCAGGTAAAGAACCCCCTAAATCCTAACCCAAAGCAATATTATAAGTTAGTTGATAATTTCCTACTACTTTGGTGGTCTTACTTTTTAAGTAGAGTAGTTATTTAGGAGTAGAAAACGTTAGTTTAAGTTCAGCATTGACCCATTTTGCTCTTTGGCAAATAACTGACGTTAATGTTGCAAGAAGTGATAAAAAACATTAAACTACTTCTCCCGTTTCCCCCTTCACTTCTTTCATACTCTAGCTGCTTCACGCATGCTTTACAACAGAACAGCGCACAGTCAAGGCTTCTCTATTTGTTAAATATTGTTTAATTTAATATTGTTTAATTAAAAATAATTGTGGCTTTTACATTTCTTATGTTGATTCACTTTGGCCTGACACCCTATGAAGTAAAGGAAAATATTCCCCTTTCAAATAACACTTCAAAGGTGTGTGCCTCAGCTGGGGCCACCTGGGTGCTTGAGGTATACAGCGCCCTTAGTATTTCAATCATTTACTGTGAGCTGCACAGGTACGGGCTTAGCTTTTTCATTTATTTACATTTATTTTTCCAAGAATCTTGTTTATCTGGCCTTTGCTGAATTTTAATTTTTCAACCAAATTTTATACTCTTTTGAATATTCTTAAATCTTGTAGCATCAGTTAATATTCATGTAATCAAATTAATTACACGAAGTCTTGCAGATGTATGGTACATTAATTTTTCCTCTGACCCTACTGATGTTTTATGTGTAAGGACTGGTAGTGACTCTAAATGTATAGTCAAATAAGAGTTTTGTGCACAGCGTATGCATCATATTTATATAGTGAAATATTGTATCCTTCTTAAAACTAGTTTATCAGAATAACAATGAGTTATCAAGAATAGGTATAGCTTTTCACAATGATAGTTTACATTGGCTTCCTACATGGAATATTGGAACATTTCTTTAACGGTAAATCGTGGACATTTGAGGAGTTCATGTATTAATTTAAACGTTCTCTGTTTTATGATCTGTAAGATTTGGCAGGAATGTTGACGTTCGGTAGGATTCCTGCCATCTGGTTTTTAGCACACAATAACTGAATCACTCCCCAAAACGCTTCGCCCATTGGATTGAAAACTGAAGCTGTTTGCTTCATCTTTTCTGGTTCAGAAATCAGCCATCTTTGCTGTTGGGCCAAATATCGTGTTGTTTTATTGAAATTCCACACGCCCTAAAGGTTAGCTCGTGCGAGACAGACTGCTCCCCAGAATTGAGTTAGCTTCTTGATCATGAAACAAAGGGCGAAATCTAATTTCCCTTTCCTCTACTTCCTTATGAAAGCTTTTGAAAGGCTTTTTAAGCAATCACAACGACAGCCGACGCTATCCCGCATCAACAGAATCCAACTGGAGTAGGTCGCTAGTAGGTTTGGGAAAACCTTTTTGAAAACCTTCTTAAATGAGATGCAAATGCTTTCCGAATGTAGCATCGTCATCTGTTAAAAAGGTTATCGATGCCCTAGAATTTGTGTTTTGTTTAACCTTTATTTTAATGCAGGCTTAATGATCGAAATTACAAATTAAGCAAACCATGAAAATTAAAACCTCGTGATCGTCTGACAAGAAGTATCTTACGGACTTTCTTTCAAAAGAGCAGCGAAGACGATGAAACAGCACTTAAAATTGCCTAAATTGCTATAAATACATTATAAGACATTAGGCGACCTGTTTTATGAGGTTGGCAAGGTTGCAAGAAATTGAAACAAAGTTGCAAATGGAGATCCTTTTATGATTTAGATATATTCTTTCTTTTTTTGGTAAATATACTACTTCTGGCGGCTGGTGTGTCTGCTGATAGTGTCCACAGCTGAGAGATTGTGAGGTTCCCAGCTTCGAGGGAAAATGTGAAATTTTAAGGACAATATCTCAAAAAGAGACATTATCAGCCGACGTACCAGCGAGCCAGAAAGGAGTTTATCTATTAATAACCCTCCCATTGATTTTTCAATCACGCGAAAACCGCTCATGAAAAAGGCCAGTATTAAGCTGAGGGCTGATGCTGGCCAGCTTATTAATATGACCATCACTGAACTCTATAAAAGGAGTTTGTTTTTCTTCCGTGTGAAATAATTGAGAAAAAACTTTTTTAATGGCTTTATTTCTTTTCACATAAGTTATTGAAGGATGAATAACGACGTAGACGGGGATTACTGCGGGATAGCTGTCCAATGATTTTGCACCACGTGACGTAAAGTAGCCAATAAAATCGCACAAAATGGGAGGGTTATATAGTATAATCGAACTCCTGTTAAACAAATTGACAAACAAATCAAGGAGCCAAGCAAAAGGTTTTACTGTAATACCGGCTTTCTCAATTAGCTAACCACAAAAATTGCCATAAAATACTTCTAGAACCATCATAATACAGTTTATAAAACTATAAAAAGCTAGTCGACGACGTTTGGACGTTATGGTAACGTCGTTATGAAGTCAAAAAATTGCAAAATTATTTGGCTATAAATAGTAAAAACAACAATAGGTAGTAATGAAGACGTTTAAAAAAATAAATAATTTAAAACTAAACAAGTTTTTTTAAAATGTGTCATATTGGTTTTAGAGGTATTTTATCGCAATTTTTATGATTTTTTTTATGATTAAATTTTTATTTTCATAGTTAAAAGTTTTCTATGACGCTTCTTCCTCTCCGTTTATTCAATTATCATTCAATGATCACTCAACGATCCTCAAATGCCATAGCCATAGTCTTGCAGTTGTCTTTAATATGAAAAAAAGACTGAATTGCAATTGTCAAGATCTCCAGTACTCATTTTTATCCATATTTTCTGACATTTTTACTTTTCCTGATGAATACAAAACCAAGCGAGGAGTGCGGTCATTCACATACAGTTCGCTTAGGGCGCAACAACATATAAAGATCGTTTTGTTCCGCAACATTTTCTAAACCGTGCCATCCACGTGCAAGTCCTAACACTTAAACTTAATGAAAACAACTGCCTGGGGTGACGGGTTTGACAATTCTTTCAATTTGTTTTAGGAATCAAGAGATGGCAACCGCAGGATCAGCTGTATCGAGTAGAGAACAGAAGTGGGAGGAATTTAGAGAAACAGTACAGAAAGTTAAAGGGGAATTGAGCTACAAAATTCATAGCTTAACGAAAGCCTCAAAAGAGTTTGAAGAGATCCGTGATGGGTACTGTAAGAAGTACTTCAGTGAATACTCTCCCGCATCAGAGACTACTGAGCAGCCGCAGAGTGGCTTAAAGCGAGAAGTGGATGCGTTGGAGGAAGACCTAAAAAGGGCAAAATCTGAAGACGTAACCATTGTGTTTGTGGGACATACAAGCACTGGAAAATCATCCTTGATAAACGCCTTACTTCGAGACGACTGTCTTCCCACTGGATCATTTACATCAACGATGTGCATCTTCGAAGTTCGTCCTACAGATAAGAAACTGTGGAGCGTTATTGACACCGTTAGTGGAACCATACTCACCGAAGCAATGAACAAAGAAGAAGTAAAGGACTATTTAGATGCACTGGCTGATGACAAAATTGTGGGAGAAAGAGAGGAGCAAAATATCAGCTCTGAGAGTGTAATACAGGTAAATTGGCCCCGTTACCTCTGCAATCTACCAGAAGATATCGTCCTGGTAGATACACCCGGTTTAGAAGAGAATTACGAATGCTACCGAGCTGTCACTAACTCCTGCAAGGAGGCAGATCTAATTGTGGCTGTGATAGACTTCATGTCACCTTCCTTTATGAGTGTAAGTACTGTATACACGGTTCAAAACTTAGATGGGACATCATAATAGTATTTTGGTGCGGGGGCAATTAAAACTTATCATGGTGCATCGTTTATTAATCTTATATCGATCGTTTTGATTTTTTTTTTTTTTTAATTAAATCAGTGAGATGAAAAGAGGTGAGGTGAAAAGAGATACTACTTCAGTTTTTTTTTAAATCCACAAAACTGTCTGTGCATCTTTTGGGATTATGTTATTACATTCAAACACTGAAATGTAAAGGAATAAGAACAGAGGTGTTTTCTCAGTCACTAGCGATTCTAGTCCATCAAAAGTTTGTCTAAAATAAAGGCAGACCATAAGAGGTGGAGGTTTTGTTCGCTGTTTAATTGATAACGCTCTCGGGTCGATATACTAAAATAAAATACCAAAATAGCACAAAAAATAAAACAACATAGAAAAACAACAAAAAAAATTGTTCGCTACATTATTAAATTTCGCTTCGAAGATTGCAGATGTGCTAAAGAAGAAGAAGTACCAGTTCAAGTTTGGAGTCTTTCCAAAGTGGGATGAAGTCATTAAAAAAACCAAAGAAACGAAGCGGCAACAAGCAAGAAAAAAAAACAAAGAGGGATTCGAAGGGTCGGTGGAAGGCGACAAAGAGGTTTATTTCGTTGAAGTAGAGAATGCCTCCGTAGCGATGGTAAGTTTTGTATTTGTGTATTCTGGCAATCTAATTGAAGCAACCTGAAACCGGAAAACGAGGCAAATCTAGGTACTGGAGTATTCTGTAGGTGACAGACGCTTATAAGTTGTAAAATCAGTTTGAAGAAGGAAATTGCTCAGGAGAAACGAAGGGATTCTGCATAGACAACAACTGCCAACGAATACATTAACCAATACATAGAAAATGTTATTTTTAACATGACTTAAACACAGCGCGCACTCTGATCGGTCAAAAATCTCTCGTATATTTGTAGTAGATATATCGAAACCCGTTTTCAAAAACGTCCTACACTAAAGATGTACTCTAAATTTATATAATTTTCTTTTTTTCTCATCATTTCGTCGTGAATGGCAACGTGTTTTGTCTCAACTTAATTAATTACTATAGCAAACACGGTTCTTGGATCTAAACTCCCGCCTTTGATTGAGGCCAACAGGGTAAAGCGTAAACAATTGGCCATTCCAATTCGCCTTCCTAGCTTGAAGCAATCGATCAATATTAACGGCGTCCTCCTCGCTCGTGACTTTTTTCAGATGGGTGTAAATGGAGTGATGGCTATCACGGCTAACGGTTAAGAATTGCCCACATTACGGTTAACGGTCATATCACTCCATTTTGTCACCAGACTTTTTTTACGCTTAACTTTTTACGTCTATCGGCTAAAATTTTGTTGATTTCTACTCCTAACGATTAATATTTTGTTTGCCGTTTTACGGCTATCGGTTAACCCCATTGAGACTATCTTTCCATGACAATGAAGCTAATTTGGGAAATGTCATGTTCAATAAGGATGAGCACCAGGTCATTTATTTCCTTGTTAATGATGACGCGTGGTTAAGAAAATAGACTCTAAACTCCGTTGCCGTAAAACCCACATGTTGTAAGTAATTGATTGCACCACGTCATGTAAATAACATAGTTGGACGAGCATGTTAATCTACGATTGAACATATATACGGCCTGTGCCAAAGCTCAGAAAACTATTGTCTTGAATCCAAAACTTCTCGCATATCTGGGAGCATTTTAAAATACTCTCCTATTTTATTCCTTTTCCGGGTCGAACCTACTTGCACCGGAAAAATTTGAGGGTGCTTGAATGTCTTTGAGGTTTTTGGTTCTACCATATGCAGTGAAGATCGTCATTTCGTGGAAAAGTTTCCAAGGGAAAAATGTCTGCTCAATGAATATGCATTATCTTTTTTTATGATAAATGCAGCATTTCGTATAATTGTCTTTGTAGGAGAAGACAGAAAGAAATACTGGAACAGAGGAGTTTCTGAGGTTTGAGAGAGATCTAGCCGAGAGAGCAAAATCTGTCAAAGCAAGAAAAGGCATTTTTCTCGCAAACGAAGCTAAAAACGTCGCTTCAAAACTTGCCAGCAGCCTTATAAAATTTATATCCACCATTGATGAAAGGAAAAAAACCAAAGAAGACCGTTTAAAAAGTCTAGAGAATAAAATTAGCATTATGAAAAAAGATCACGATTTCCTTGATGCAGTGCACAAGGAAGTGAAAAGTCTCGATACACAGATACGCGACCTTCTCTCTAGCGAAGAGATTGATCGGTTGATAAAAGAATTTGGCAACACAATGGAGAATTGTAACAGCGAGGAAAGTGAGGATCTGGCTCTTAGCGCATTTTTTAAAGGTGAGATCCGTGTAATCAATAAAACTTTACAGAAACAAATTCTAAAGGTAAAGGCCGAGTTTCAGAAGTGGAAGAAGGCTCTGGAACTTAACTATGGATGTTCAAGAAATAAGTTACCATTTCATGAAGCTAGAGAGGTCGAAGAACCTGACGATTGCGGCTACGACAGTAAGAGAGATCCTCACGCCTACATTACAAGCAACAACCTATGGGCGGCCGTGTTTGGTTGCTCAGCTGCCGCAGCGGGTGTTGCAGCGGCTGTAGCAATACCAACAGCAGGTGCAGCTGCTGGTAAGTGACACTACAAGTTATTGTGCTCAGGTATACCGGGGGATGGTGGCATCTCTTTAAATGCAATACAGGTAATCATTTCTTCGTTCAGACATTTTCACGGGGGTGATTCTGCCCTTTTTAAAGAATTATTAAAATAGCGCTATCAGAGCAACATTCCAACCACCATAGCTACCACCACTATCACTACTTGCACTTCCAATACCACCACTTCCACAAAAACTAGCACCACAATCAGAACCAACGGCAACACTGCCACCACCACGACCACTACTATCACACCAACCAACCAACTCTTTCAGTTAACATGTATTACATATCCATACATCAATTGACGCTTTTGCATTGTCTGTGACTAAACAATCAACCAGCTTTTTTGATCAATTAACAAATTAGCCAAACTTCGTTCCGCCCTGGGTCAAGTGATCATAACAGCTTTAAAGCAGTGAAATTCTTCCTCCCCTAGCTGAGTCGTCAACTAGCCATACTTATTTGACTACTGGAGTATGCTTTCTCAAGGTCTGGTTGTGTTCTTTAAGTACTAAGGCATGGCTAGCGGATCACCTTGCATGGTGTCCTGTGACGGATCAATAGTCTTGAAGGGCCACTGTAGGTGTTGATTATGTACTTACACAACTCTATATTTACATACATTTTTGATATGATATTACATTAGTAATTATGAAAATGATAATGACCAGGCAAGGATAATTATGACGACAGTAGTAAAAGAAGTAATAATATTCCTTGGCCACTGTCTATTACAAATATTGTCTTCTGAAAAGACCCCACGTATTGCGCTCCCTTTACAAGCTATGAAACCTTGGGAAAGGTTTATCCGGGTTAATTTATGGGTTCATCGTTAAGAAGAACGTGTTTGTATGTATAACTTTTAATTGAGATGAATGGATGATGTAAGAGGAAAAAACTAAAATTTATCAATTGTCTTATGATAGGATGGTTATTATTTTTATTATTACAGCGATTGTCACAGCATTAGAGACGGCAGGAGTATCTGTTGCCAGCAAAGGATTTGCCGCGGCAATTGGAAGCTTGGGATTCGGAACTACTCTGGGTTTTTCAAAGTTGGTGGAAAACGTTGGAGGTCTCGGAGTCGGGCAGAAAATAAGACGTGTTATTGGGCCGAGTCAAATGAAGAAGGGTAAAATTGAACATCATATACGGACAGTGTTGGAGGAGTTGAAAGCACAATTTGAAAACTTCCAGAGGTCAGTATCAGAGATTATGACACAAAACTCTGAATCAATTTTGTCACACATAGAAATGGCAAGAGATGGTTCGTCTCAAGAAATGTCAACGCTGGAAAAGGAATTACAGCAACTTCAAATATGGTCACAGAAACTACGTAAAATCACAAATCGCGTGCAGGTTGTCGGGAAAGAACTTGACGAGGTGCAGCATGGGTAAGTGTTGCAAACAAAAATGTCCCACTATGACAAGCTTTATCAGATCGGGAAGTTCAGGTAAAAAGATAGTCAGGAACGTCTTAAGTTTAAACGATTACACTTGAAGTTGTCTCTGCCACAGTTTCTAGATCGCGCAAGCCAAGATTCCTTATTTCTTGCGGTTACAAATTATGAAAAAAGGGAAGTTCTGGCGACGGCCAGTCACCAGATGTTAGAAAAGTGAATGGTAACATAGCTATGGTCAGTAGTTAACTTTGAATATGTTCATGCTTCGTTTCCTTGGGAAGGAGAGGGTAAGCCATACTAACTTGTATTCCTAGTCATTCGATCGTTCAGTCGGTTAGACGAATCCCAACAAATTTTCTTTCTTTGCGACATTGAGTGGAAGTGATTTCAACTAAGGGTTTTACAAAGAGTTCTTTTCAAAAACTATCGCTTTCATCTTTGAATATCTTGGTTACTAACCAATTGATAATCGCACCACTTGATGTTTCTTTCCCGATCTCTCTGAAGACCAAACGTACTAAAAGAAAGAAAAAACCCACAGGCGAATGTTTCTTGACCGAATTTGTCTCAGGGATATTTTAGCTTTCAAGTGAAAGATAAAATCATGCATGCACATTCTTTGAAAAAACGTGAACTAATGTCGGAACACCGTCTAGTTGTTTTTAAGTTAGTATCTAGGTAATCCATTCGTTCACCCAAGAGAGTCAGATCTAAGAAATAAATTACTTTCAATTGTGTTCTTCAGGTTGAAAGTCAATGCCTCAGTTCTTTCTGATGACCAGACAGAAAACCAGTCATCCGTCCAAAAAGCTGTATACAAGCCCTACACTGAAATTTGAGAGTAGTCCGTGTTACTCAGCAACACGTCATTGTAGTTTTACCGTAAACTAACTGGATTTAATTCAAATTAATTTTCTTGTTAATGGTTCATGAAGAAAACAACCAGTAGAGCACTTATTCTTCTTACCCAACAAAGCCATTAAGACTTTGTTATTATATTTTAACCTTCGTTGGGCTCATCACACCTGACGGCTCATTTCGTTTGGTATTCATTACTAGTTTTAGGGAAATATGCAGGAGTAGAATGGCACATTTTCTTCAGTAGCACTTACACTTGGTCAGCATAAATACGTTTTGTAAATAACCAATCCATATCTTTTAATTTCAACTGATTTCTCTGTACAGTAATGCTTAGGCCAGCCAGTGACATGTAAGTCAACTCTTACTGTCAACTCTTATTGTTCATGAAATACGTTAGGCAAAATTATATATATTCTCCGAGCGCTTTGCCTCATCAAAACGTCGTTTTTCACAGACACTTACTAACTTCCCTGTCTGTCATTAGGTCAAGATATCGAAGAGGATGGTGGTCAAGTAGAAATAGTAGTACAAATTCGCGATAAAGCGAAAGCAAAGCAACAAAACGTATTAACCTTCCGGTTCACATTTTCAAAGCCCCATTAATTATAAACAAATCGCCCTTAAGGCGAATTTAGTACTTTACTTAAAACAAATAACACAGGGTGTCTGAAATATATATGATTATTATGCATATTCAAGGCCCCATTTACTGATAAATAAATTCTTAGTAACCTGAGCCTCTCTGCCCAAAGTATTTACATGTTGTAAGTTCTCTGTCTCTGCCTGGTTATAATTGGATACAAACTGGAACACTTTTAAATATGCCAAGAAAATATCAATCGCAAAATGTTTTGAATGAGAAGACAGACACTGAAATTACTTTCATACTATATCCAAGCCATACTTGCCATGCTTCCTCCATTAGTGATGTAATACCGGGTTTACCACACACACGTGTACCGAATAATTGCTGTACAAACAGTGAGATCGGTGATACACCCACCGAATGAAAATTGAGATACACACTGAAGGAACAAATTTTGTGAAAAATAACCTCTCTACCTCAATAAAAAACACCAAAGAGATAGAGGAATGACTAATGTAGCTATTAAAATATCGCTAACAGACAAGAATTTTATGGAAATGTCGATAGCTGTGCGGAAGCTCGGCTTTTTGCAAGTGAACAAAGAGTCAGTACGTACGAAGGAACTGCTAGGAACATGAACGAGGTTATAGTAACATATCATATTCAAAATCGTCCATATAATAACCTTTGGTCTCTTTTGACCCATCAACACTGGATTTCATGACATTACCTGTAAAAACTAGTGTTACTCCGTAAATTGATTCTCAGAGGACCTGGGATTTTTTTTAACCAAACTATTAGTGACGGGTTGAAGGTCAAGATTGTTGTTTTTAATTTTTTTTTTTCATTGAACTCAGAACATGAAATATGCGTTTGCAGTGGAAACAATGCCATTTTGCGAAAAGTTACTATTGTTTTCCTTGCAGTAAACTACACATATCGTCTTGTATGGATACTTACATCTAATCGAGAAACATTTTAGTTTCATGTGAAACCTTGGCTGTGCTGTTTGCGCTGGCGAAGAACGAGTTGCGGTAACGCAAAGCAATTGTCATTTTTCTCTTTCAATAACGGCTATCTATCGTAGCCTTTATAACACAAGATTAACAATTTAAATTGTTAAACAATTAACCGTCTGAAATGTTCAAAATAAGCACAATAGATACTAACAAGGAAGAAGTTGTTTAAGAGTTTTTACAGCGGATAATTTCCGGCCTAATGATTAGGTTAATTAGATTTTTAAGAACAAGAAGTGACATGTAAATATAAATATGGCAAGTAATCTATCACTCCTTCATTACTAACAACCTTGCCAGATTTGTCTTTCATCGATCAAAAACATAGTTCGAGTTATCGGTACGTCGCGACCGCACACGAGTACGCCGACAAATGCATATCGAGCTCGGTTGCCCAGGAACAAAAATTGATCCGAATTATCTGTATCTCTTATGGTTCGAAGTAGCCTTTCGGAATTTGCATTAGGCATTTATCTGAGAAACTTGATAAAAGGGGAAAAGTTTTCGAGATCATGCAGTGATCATTATCATCATCAACTCACTCAACCTAGCATGGTTGTTTGAGGGCAACCCCTTGTATTGTGATATCCTCACAACGTTACATTGAGAATTTCCATACCAGCGAAGTTCCCTGCAAAAAAACTTAGGAAATCTAATTGAAATTTCTTACATTGCACTGACCAGAAAGACTTAGAAACATTTTTCAACCCTCTAACTCCCATAAGTGATCAAGACAGAATTTCTCCTTGCGATATCAATACAACATCAAGTAGACAAGTGATGAGAATAAAGAAAAATATCAGTGAGAGGATTATTAGTTGATCTAATACCAAATTCTCAAAACTAACATCACACGAACTGTATGGCAGACAATAAGGAGAATAACGAATGAGATCTTAGTAGTTAAGGGTTAAGACTTTAACAATAGTCTGTGTTATTAGGGTTCAGCTGCAGATTTGAAAGCTACATGTATACTGTAAGAGCACAATGTTAAATAGACAAGAGTAACACAGTGTCTGTATTGAGATCTAAACTGAACTGAAAAAAGGACATCTGAATTTTGAAGCAATGTTGATTTTCACCACATTACAAAGTGTTCAATGACGGTATTTGTTATACGGAAACCAATCTATATCGAGTTCATGTTAATATTGCAAGAAAGCCAAAAAATGTTCGAAAACCTTATCGCTGTTGATCGCTGATTCCAACCATTTACGTCGATCGTTCTTCTCTGCGCCTCTTCGGTCCAACAATGGACTTAAAAGGGATGGATGAGACGAACCATGAGCACAAAAGGCTTCAAAAGTCTACAAACAGCAAGAGTAATATGCTACTTGTCAAACGTCCTATTTTCAGGACGTGTCCGAGTCACTCTGCGAGTTCCGGGAAAACATCAGAAACCAAACATTTTCAGCTGAGGAATAAGCCACGGAGTGATATGTTGTCATCCGAAATATGAAGCTCTGGAACCGCTTCTCCTCACTCAACCTACTTAAAAAACTGTTACATATTGCCTGAATCTTAAATATTTCAAGATTAAGTAATGAAACTATCCAAGTCGTTAAATATTTCAAATTTCGCGGACGATAACGAATTACTCATTCATTCGCCATATTGGACATCACTAGTTACATGTGAAAGCGTCATACTGACAGTGATTTCTCGACCAATGTTTAACTTGGAGACGCTCCCTCCCTCCCTCCCTCCTGATTCTTGTCTTCAAGTTAATTTTCGCTTATCCGTTTGGTCTCCATATGAATATATTTTCCACTCATCTTGCAGCTGATTCACTATATTTTGAGGTCTTGAAGATTTCATTTGATCTGACTTTTGAAAGCACCTAAATTATTTCTTCAAGTTGATTCGTGTATCTGTTCAGCTGCCACTTGGCTTTATTTCATTCATATTTGGCCGCTGATTTACTGGGTTTTGAGGTTTAAAGAATTAATTTGATCTCACCATTGTGAGGGATTTTATTTCTTGTCTTAATGGAGAACTGAAGTTCAAATTCATGTAATTTTTTTCACTGTAGATCGTACGTTTATGTATGATGGAACAAATTCCCGTCATGTTTTGTTCCTCGAACGACAGTATATTTCGTGTATATTTTTAGCTGTTATCAGGCAAGATTTAAGACATATTTGGCAGATTATTATGAGGTTTGAGGTTTTCCGGATTTCTTTTGATGCGACCTTTCTTTGTGTCACGCAATTACATTGTGAGCTATCTCGCTCCTTGAGCGTGAATCTTATTAATCGCAGTTTTAACGCGCGGTCAATTTTTATTTTTTGCCAGCTCACAGATTGAGTTTTCTGTATCAATTTGCTCATCATTCCCCGATAGTTTTGTCCCTGTTTGGCTGTAGATATATCTGACTTTTTGGTAAAAACTGTGTTAAAACCTCATCTTCAACTGTTGATATCACCTATATGATTCATTTTTAGCTCCAAGTTTTAGTGCACTGGCTAACTACGTAATTATTAACTCCAAGAGCGTTACTATAGAGGATACAGTACCGCTACTGGAGGGAGATGGCAAAAGTATAACCCACTACTGAATAATTAAGAAAAACCACGAGGTAGCTCTAAGGAGCCTTTGATTAGTCCTCTTGGCATCATTTCAGTCGGTTCAACAAGGAAACCCATAAACTTATACATGTAACTCTCGGAGTTTTGAGGATGTTTTAATTGAAGTAAAAGAGCTGCCTGGATACCAAAGATGCTGGGAACTTCTTTGAAATTTCAAGAATTCTTAAATATCCTTTTCCATGCATGAACAAATGGGAACTGCCGCCTTAAAACGAAAATGAGATAATTTCAATGATAGTCTTTAATATCTGTATTCAGACGTAAAACTTAAGCCTAAAAATAGATTTCACTTCCTTCCTTTTCCGTCGCTTTGTTTCATCTTAAGTCCTCCTCGCTATGCCGCAAAATTAAAGCTTCAATATAATGTAAGTTCGTGTTTCATTGATTAGTCAAAAAAGAATAACTTTATAAACTTGAAATACTTGCAGATAATATATGATAATGAGATGGCACCTAGCTCTATAATCTTAGAACACAATAAAACAGCACTCTTTGACCAGGTGGGTTCTGTGGTCCATGAGAAACTTCGTCTCCCCAGTTTTTAAGCAACGTTATATTGGTACATATGGAAACACGCCACACTGGTATTTAGAAACAACCTGACATGCCCTCAAATACCAAACAAGACAGTAGTGATCCTCTTTAGGAAAATGTTGTCTGTGGCCCTTCATATTGCTCACATTTCGATGTCTATTTTTCTAATTTGAAAAGTGTTTTTAATATTGATGTTCCCGCAGCTCATTAACCTGGTTAAAAATGTTGGCTGCCAATTTACTTTTGGAGTCTTCACCAAATGGGACGAATGCATAAGAAAAGCGCGGGAAGAAGGACAAGAGAGCATCCGAAATGTGGTAAAAACGGCCAATGATTACATGAAGGAGTTCTGTGAAGTGCTTCAAGGGAGAGGCAAAGCTTACTTTGTGAACGTCAAAAACTTTGAAAATCATGATTTAAGTACTAAGTCCATGCATGCTGTTTCTTGCTTAAATTTCAAATTTAAGTGTAATGCAATCACTTCAGTTAGAAAGTTCGAACATGGAGAGGCAAGACACACCTATCAAAACTTCGAAACATTCTTACCTCTGTTGACATTCTTTTTTTTTTATTCTTTTCTGAATTTTCCTTATTTGCACCACAAGTTGGTAACAAAATAGCCACGAACAGAAAACGAAATACAAGTAAGAACGCGTACGTTCTCCAGTGCCAGAGATAAGCAAGGATGGTAAGCTGTTATCATTCTTCAATGAAATTCTAAAAGGAAGGCGTATTCCTTTCTTCCTCTTATTTTCAGGATACATTTCTTCAGTTCGAGAACAAACTGGCCACGAGTGCAACAAAGTTGAAGATAGAGTCATTAACACAGAAGGCAAAATCTGTAACTTTGCATTCCAGGAAGGTCTGCGAAAAGCTGGAAACTGTCATTGAAACCAGAAATAGAGAAAAGCTAACTTGTCTGGAAACAGAGTTAGCTTTGATGGCAGAAGACGGCGGGAAGCTACAGGAAGCTTTTGATGGCATCAAGAGTAAAGATGAAGACCAAGACATTTAACCGACGACACAGTCCAACCGTTATTAAAGGAGGTTGAAGACAAATGGTTGAAAGGCACATCGGAAGAAGAGGGTGTCAAACACTTTCTCGACGAAATCAATAGAGAGATAAAAAAAATCTGACACGCAAAAGACATATAACTGGTACTGCCCTCCAAGAATGGAAGAAAAACATGCAATTCCACAAGTTACGGTCTCTCAGTAAGCATCCGTCTCAAGCACCTCCTCAGCTTACAAGTCAAGGATTACTTGAAGACCGATACCAGTGGTATCGCGACTTTAATAACTACCACACGAACAACTACAT